GGTGAGACAGGGTCAACCATACGTTCTATATCTATGGGGTCATATTATCACTGACTTCTACAACCACCAACCAACCTCCTATCTCCCTCCCTGCCTTCGCCAGCTGTCGAAGCTAATGATCATAATGACACTGATGATAGCGACCATGGCGATAACAATGCTGATGATGGCGGTAAAGAGGTTAGCATTGGTCTGGATGTTTGTATTCTCTGGGTCGTTGCCGGGGCAATGGAGAAAGTATCCGTCAGCAGCGGCAGCTGGCTGCGTCAAACAGGGAATACCGCATCATTCAACTTCCTGTTTCTAAGAAAGCAGTTTGTAGGTGAGGCTAGAGCTCTCCCCCTGTCTATCTCTTTTTCTCTGTTTATCCGTTTCACTCTCTCTCTCTAGGTCGACTCCCTCCCTCTCACTCACTTTCTCTCTCTCTCTGTCTCTTTTATTCATTTTTTTACAGGACATATCTGAGGGGTCATGTGCCGCTGTGCCCCCTATGGGGCATGATGCCTCTACGTGCAGAGGTGGCAGCGGGACGCACTACCTCACCTGCTGCCACCTCTGCCCATAGGGGGCACAGGGGTACATGCCCCCTCAGATTTCTCCTGTAAAAATACATTTTAAAAAGGGGTTGTATTAAAAATAGAAAATGGTTGTTGTTTCTCTGTAATACTACTAGCCACCAAGCAATTTTATGATTTTGGCTTTAACTAGCCCAGATAGGTTCCCAATCTCCCAACCTCATAACAAGCTACCAAGAAGCCATTTCAGGCTATCAATCAAGTTAGAGTAGCTAGCCTGTCAAACTAACTATCTTAGCTGGCATACCTGCTAGCAAGGTTGGTAGACTTTAGAAAAGCAAGCAATTACTAAATGGACTGAATAAGACCCACATTCCTTTCAATCAAAAAATATATATACCCACCAGTCAGGAGGATACAGACAGTATGCTTAGATATGCAAAAAATAAACATATTATTTGACATAGAATTTAACATAATTATTATGGCTCTAGATTGCAGGAAAAACCTGTTTCAGATGTTTGAAAAATGCTAAATTCTCCAACTATCAGCAAGAGGCCTAGCCCCCCTCCGAACCCCCTCCGAACCCCCCCAGCCATCCTTACATACTTTGTGCCCTCTCAGATTTTGGGGGTGAATGACGCCCCTGTCTGTAGGTTAGCTTGGCAGGGATCCAGGGCGGGAGTCCCCATGGCAACATAACAGGTAAACAGTGAAGCAGATAAGGGCATGAGGATGTCGCTCCTAGAGAGTGAACAGACAGGACACACACACTACATACATAGAAAGATACCCACAACAACACACACAACACACTGCACTAGACTCCAGACAGGCGCAACCCAAGCCAGTCATCTTTCACTTTCCCTCTTTCTTTTTTCCTCCTCCCTCCCCCTCTCTTTCTCTCTCCCTCTTTCCCTCCCTCTCTCTCAGCAGATATCTGCCAATCTGGCTGCTGTACAGACATAATTGCCATTATGACTCCTGTGACCCCCACATCACACAGAGCAGTGATTGTTCAGCGGGAGAAGGTCCTAACACTGTCCGCTCTGTGGGGACGCCACACAACATTATCGTAGCGTGACTAGATAATGCACACGCACTGCCGTGAGCAGCACAAACATACTGTCACATTCAAAAGACACTGATGACCTTCAAAAACATACCATACACAGATACACACACACACAAGAAAAGTATCCACGCAATATCTTCCCTCTCTCAGGATTTCTGTCTCCTCATCATCCAATAAAGCACTAAACAAACAAAAGCGTCTATACGTGATGGAAAATCCATACAGTGTGGCCTTTGTTCTGTCAATCTAATGTCTAGCCCTTGGTAAACACACACCCTACAGCACACTGTGCCACACACACACACACACACACACACACACACACATACACACACACACACACACACACACACCATACAGCACACAGAGCCAATAGGAAATGAAAGGAAGATGGATGTAAAAGCATTTTGTGCAGAAAGAGGAACGCCCAACTGAAGTGTGTGTGCATGTGCGTGTGTATGTGTACGTGTATATGTGTGTGTGTGTGTATGGGACACATTGAGGCTGAGGTTTGTTTTGTTCCCATCTTTCCAAATCCAGAAGGAAAGGTCAGATACATTTTTGGCAAAAAATGAAACATTGACAAACAAAACATTTCTGACGTCACTGTGGCTTTTCATGAATAAACACATTTCTGGTTGTTTGCAAATGTTCCATTTAAAAGGTTGGAATATAATGGGTCTGCATGGTGACGTGTAGAGTGGAAGTTTGGGTATATGGGAACTATATAATTAGACATTGGAAGGCTCAACTCCCCTTAGGGGAACACTGATGGCGCTATTTCAATGAGAGAAAAGAGTGCATACTCTCTCTACTATTGAGGTTAAGTATATAGTGTGAAGTGACTGATGTCAGACTCATAAAAGCTGAGAATGTGTTGACAATTATTTCATCGTTATGTAATGCAGGTCACAGTGTGCGTGTGTGTTTTTGGTTTGACTATCCTTGTGGGAACCAGAAGTCCTTATAAGGATAGTAAAACAAGAAAATAATCGGAAAAGTGGGGACATTTCGCTGCTCCCCACAAGGAAAAAGACTATCTGAAGAAATTATAATAATAATAATAATATAATAATAATATTATATTATTATTATTATTATATTAAATTAATTTGTTAAAAACTGTTCAACTATTGTCTTTCTCTTTGAGTCAACTACTCACCACATTTTATGCACTGCTGTGCTAGCTAGCTGTAGCTTATGTTTTCAGTACTGGATTCATTCTCTGATCCTTTGATTGGGTGGACAACATGTCAGTTCATGCTGCAAGAGCTCTGATAGGTTGGAGAACGTTCTCCGGAAGTTGTCATAATTACTGTGTAAGTCTATGGAAGGGGGTGAGAACCACGAGCCTCCTAGGTTTTTTATTGAAGTTAATGTACCCAGAGGAGGACGGAAACTAGCTGTCCTCCGGCTACACCATGGTGCTACCCTAAAGAGTGCTGTTGAGGCTACTGTAGTCCGTCATTGCAAAAGTGTGTTTTTATCAATTATTTGGTGACGTGAATATATTTAGTATAGTTTTATCTAAAAAGGAAAACTTTTTTAATGTTTCACTATTTTTATTTTTATGAAACTCATTGAGGATGGTGCTCCCTTCCTCCTCTGAGGAGCCTCCACTGCTCATTGTTACATTAAGACACCTAGGAGCTGGTGCCAGATATGGGTTTGAAAACGTACCTCAATGCAGGGATGTGATATGCCAATGTACTCAAAATGTGACCTTTATCCACACTGATATATAGAGGAGATTGAAATACTGCTAGTTTTCCCAGAAAACTGCCCTTTTTGTCCTCATGCTAGCTCGCAGTAGCCACTGCAGCCATTCTGGAATGGCTGTGTCAGCCAATCAGTTCCTTTGTTGTTCAATATGTAGTGCCATTCCATAATGGCTGTTGTGGCTAATGCTAGCTAGCATGAGGACAAAAAAGGGCAGTTTGGATAAAGGTAGAATGTGGAGTATAGTGGCATATCCCATCCCTGCATTGAGGTACGTTTTCCAACCCATATCTCGTGCCAGCTCCATTGTGTCTTCATGTAACCATGATTGTGTTCCGACCCCAGTGCATAGGGTCGGTATCTTCAGCACACATTCAACTCAGAGGGCTTGATGACTAGTTGACAAGTTGAATCAGGTGTGATTGTCCAGGGCTACAATAAAAAGGTGTACTGTTGGGGGTACTTGAGGACTGGAGTTGGGAAACACTGTGCTAAATGACAAAAATGTAGTGTCTGCTGGTTTTTGGGTTTTCCTTTCAATTAAGACCGAGACAACCAGGTGAGGGGAGTTCTTTACTAATTATTGACCTTAATTCATCAAGTTAAGTACAAGGGAGGAGCGAAAACCCGCAGACACTCAGCCCTCCGTGGAATGAGTTTGACACGTGATGTAAATGTATAACGCTGTGCAATAAGTGGGATGCCCAATTCAGATTTTTTTTCTCCACTTATTGGTCTTTTGACCAATCAGATCTTTCTACAATATTTGGGCAAACAATCAGAATTGGGCTGCCTGTACTCAGCTGTAGATTCACTCACATGATGCTGATTTATGTAAAGTATAGACATTCTGACTGATTGACAAGTACATCCATGTACAATGGTAGCTAATGCCTCCAGCTCACTGTCAGAGATGATATGCACTGTGGTGAGAGAAGAGTTTCGTTCAAGGACTATGGACCATTGTTTATGTATGTGTACAAAGTGGGTGAGGCAAGGGAGACCCCTTATGGTTATTTCAAGTACTACAACACTCAGGGTCAAACGTCTACTGAACATCGCTGTTGGGAGAGGAAAACAAGAGATAGGAAGACAACATCAGATGTTTTATTCTGTAATAATGGAAACATTCTAACAGATGTTTTATTCTGTAATAATGGAAACATTCCAACAGATGTTTTATTCTGTAATAATGGAAACATTCTAACAGATGTTTTATTCTGTAATAATGGAAACATTCTAACAGATGTTCCATTCTGTAATAATGGAAACATTCTAAGGTTGTTTTTATTAATTTACATTTTCAGATATATTTAAGACACTCCTAATACATAGTAATGTACATGAGTAGGTACTAGGTAATAAAGACGAATACATTTCACCTCTGGTAAGCGTTTCTTTGAATAACAGTGCATGCTCCCCTAAAGAGACCCTCTCACTAACTTATAAAAATAACATCTCTTATGAGTAAGTTTACCATATAGTAATGTCTCACTCTGCAATGTCATTCTCGCATGACGCATACACACGCATGACTCATTGGTACATGATAATTCACTTCATTCAACAACAAAAACACTTAAGCTACACTTAGCAAATGTACTAAGCATTTGGTAAACAAAACATGTGGATAAACAATTTGTCATTCTAAAAATAAGAGGTACACACTGTCTACCAGTGCCAAATACTTATATCTGAAATAATGGAGAGAATAGTCAGTAAACAGATCATCATATCTAAAAATAGACACAAAGAGAGATTATCATGATAATGCATCATATGACAATGTGGCAAGAGACAATTAGCGTTTTGAAAGTTCTATATCTTGAAAACTTGACTGCTGACATGCAAAACATTTTGGGACTGTATTAACAGTGGACTAATAAAACAAAACCAAAGAGTTGTTTTTTGTGGATTATTCCTTTATGTGTTGAGTGGGAACACCTTGGTTTGTTTGGTTATTCTTTCTTCTCGGAATCAGCTTGTCAGCATGGTGAGCAAACGTCTCAGCTACCAGCAGTGGGAAGACTATGGAAGCATCAGCGTACACCTGGAGAGAGAAACAAAACGGCACAGAAAGGAAACAGAAAGCCATACATACAGATCATAAGAGAACGTTCTGGAGATGGGAATGGAAAGAGCCATTGGAAAAGGTTCAACGTGAGTCTGTGTTTTGTCTTTGGTAGATCTAATGCATCTATCAAGAGTTCTGGGGCCGCTGCTCTCCTGTTTGACCCCGAGTTACACCTTCACTTAATCTATATTAGTGTAAGGTGAGGCCAAAAGCACATTTCCATCTTCAGATGGCCAATAAACATTATTTTATATTCTATTCCATCCATTAACCTTCAGACTGGGGATAAGATAGCTTGCTAAATTCAGGAAAAAATGTTTGTCTAATATTGATGCTGTGAAACTGGTGAGTGAGTTACCTTGACTGGCTTGGCGTCCATGCGGATCTTCCCCCAAGACACTGCCTCATCAGGCCTGGCCCCTGAGTCTGAACCATCAAACTCCTGCCCCGTGTTCACAAACACTGCATAGTCCGCTCCGTTTCTCTGGGGAGGGGGGGGGGACTGAAATGTCAGACCACAAATTGCAAGAACAGATCACTGGAGTCAGATGTTAACAGAATGTGTAATTTAGCCTAATAAACACAAAAACTATGTTTCAAGTGAGAATTATGCAGGGCTGATCCTGATAAAGAAAGGAAATTATTCCCTACTTCATCCATATTTTATTTTTGCAAAAAAAAGTAGTGTGTAGTTCCAGTAGTTAGCTACACCGCTACATGGCAAAAAAGTAATTAACTACTGGAAACAATACCAGGATTAGAATTTAGTTCAACTACCACCAAGCTACTGCAAAATGTAGTTAAATTACTAGTTGAACTACATGTAATGTACTACTCTCCAACACTGCTAAGCACGTTAACGTTCTGACTGGTGAATTGCGATAGCACAACATTATATGAAAATAGGTGAATTGAACAGTTCATAATTTACATCAACATTATAATTAAGGAATATGATCATACAGACAATTTTAATGAACAAGAGTAGTTACTTACCATCAGATTGGCATTGGCTATATGGTGTTTGACCAGGCCCCCACCCAGAATAATCATCCCTGTCCTCTTGGCAAACACTGCCTTGCTGTTCAACCTACGGATATCTACAACAAAACACAGACTGTGTCATCAGCACGATACATTACACACCACCCTTTAACTATAAAACCAAGCACCAAAACAGTGACATATACTATTGAGCATATAGATATCTAGAATGAATGTCACCAAGTGGCAAGTTTGTGGTGGATGAGATACGTAGTTACAATGTAAAGCAAGACAAGTGTGCGGTCTCACATCACCAGAGGAAAGAACAACTGGCAGCAGGTATTCTAGCGGTTAGAGCTTTGGGCCAGTAACCGAAAGGTCACTGGTTCGAATCCCTGAGCCGACAATGTGAGAAATCTGTCGATGTGCCCTTGAGCAAGGCATTTAACCCTAATTGCTTCGGTAAGTCACTCTGGATAAGAGCGTCTGCAAAATGACAAAAATATAAATGTACACAGACAGAACCCCAGTTATCATGTCTCCTCTCTCTCTTACCATCTACTATATCCAGCACCAGCCCAGGGTTTTTATAGGAGTGGAAATAGATCATGTCCCCAATGGATCCATCTGTCAGAGCAGGGCTGAACACTGGGATGTCATTCTACAACACAGAGGTTGAAAATCTATTGACAGCTTTGATTATATGAATAAAGCCTATTGTAACTCAATGAGGGCTATAGGGAGGGAGGGAGGGAAAAGATTAATGACAATTTAGTGTATTAGACAGTACCCGCAAACAACTGATACAGCAACAAATATGAACAATTGTATTATGATCCGTTATCCATAGTAGAGGTCATAGTGATAGTGTAAGGTGAGGCCAATGAGGGGCATGAGCCCCTACTGTACATTATACTGGTGAGTTTAGAGAGGGGAATGATAAAGATACTTCACAAATGGAGAGAGAGGGCAAAGAGCAGTGGTTTCAATTCATTCCACTGATATCTACTGTATTATATCAAGGACAGGCTGATGAAAGCAGTGAATCCCTCCAGTCCTCACCTTATAGGCCCAGTAGTAGACAGACTCTGGGTTGTTGATCTCTTTGCCCAGGCGGTGGATCATCTTGGACGGGGTCCAGTGGGTGCCCTAGAGGGTTGAGAGGTCAAAGGTCAAATTAATGTCACAATACCAGCAACACCAGGGTGATGTTCAACTTTTTTGCTACATTGTACCCCAATGAATACAACCCAGACACAGATGGTGAAGATGACATTTCCTGTATGAAGTGTTAAATTAGCTCACCTCATCTTTCTGCTCCTGCACCATCTGGTCCAGAATGGGCATCAGCCAGTCCTCAAACTTACAGTAGTTATCATTAGGTACCAGGAGGTTACCTATCGTAGAGAGAGAAAGAGAGAGGAGAGAAAAGAGAGAAATGATTAATGACAATTTAGTGTATTAGACAGTACCCACACAACTGATACAGCAACAAATATTAACAATTATAAAAACTGGGTGGTTCGAGCCCTGAATGCTGATTGGCTGACAGCTGTGGTATATCAAAAATGTATTTGTACTGCTCTAATTACGTTGGTAACCAGTTTATAATAGCAATAAGGCACCTCAGGGATTTGTGGTATATGGCCAATATACCACGGCTAAGGGCTGTATCCAGGCACTCCGTGTTGCATCGAGCATAAGAACAGCCCTCAGGCCTTATTGCTTAATTGTATTATGATCTGTGATCCATAGTAGAGGTGATAGTGCTCTACCTATTGATGCCTCTCTGTCTCAGCTCCTTGCCAGACAGGCTGAACTCCCCCAGGTAGGTGGGGGCCAGACACTTGATGAAATCCTCCTCGACTCCCCCCGCTGTAGTCACTATCACGTCCACCTATTAGGAAGGTCCACAAACACATGTAGCATTTTACTAGCGTAGCATTTCACCTATAAACACTGGCATCTTGAAGTGAGTGTGTATGTTGCAAGGGTGTCAAACTCAATTCCTGGAGGGCTGCAGTCTCTGCTGGTTTTTGTTATTTATTTTCAATAGGTGTCCAATTAAGACCTAGGTAAACAGGTGAAGGCAGCTCCTGAGTCAATATCACTATGAGGTGCCTTTGGTGTCCTCATCAGACTCACTCAGTCATCATGAAAATGTAGCAGAATATAATGAAAGTCTGAGGTCTTATTATAAGTGGCCAAACATTTGCACACATATCAGTAGAATGATAAGTCTCTAAAAAAGTGTTTCCTTCATTTTATTACATTTTTTTCATTGGTTGTACGTGATTTTGGCATGTCCCACACACTGCTCTGCTAACTACAGTGTGTGTAATAAGTGGTTAAATGATACTAAATCCCAAATTTTTTACATGGTTTTACTGTCCACAATAAGTTATTTGATAAAACAAGTCATTTTGATCATGTATATTGTATTTTCATAATCATATTGAACATTTTGCATGTGTCCCTGAAATTGCTGTCCACCCTGTCATTATGGGGTAACTGCCCCTTTAAGAAACCCACTGATGTTTTCAGTGACATCACTACGAGCATTTTGTCTTTCTTCAATGAAGGCTGAAGCAGTGTCTAGTTGCAGAGTAAGTATTTACACTTATGTTTCATAATTTTCATCATATTATGTGTGTAGTTGGATGTTGTCAAGCTTAACATGTCCACTCTGTCATAGTGAAATATCAATTGATAGAAAAACCTATCAGAACTTTGAAATATATTTGTAAAACAGTACACAGTCAGCTTGCTAACTGTAGTATGTTGCTAAGTGAAGGTCCACCATGTGAAAATGCAAATTCCAAATTCAGTCACAAGCCCATGACATACTTTACAGAATTTAGACCACATATGATATGTACACAACCGTTACACACTTTATAACCCAGGTCCCCCGCATTCATGTATTTTTCACTATGAAATAAAATTATTTTCACAAGTTAGCAAACTTTTGTGTGTCCTTTATAAACAAATGAGGGCAAATAGTATTGTTTGAAAGTTTGACCAGATATCTTTTTTTTTAGATTTTATTTAGAAAAGAAAGTGCAACTCTCGCAGATTTTATAGAGAACAAATAGTTTGCCATAATTTCATTATTATCCAAATACTTTTCCAATAACTAAAATATATTGTTGAGAAAGTGACTAAATAGTTTTCTGAAAATGTACGTTTTATAATCATATGAAATTACATGTATTTATTCTGCTTTGAAATTGTCCATGACAGGGTGGACATATTTTGCTGTTTGCATGTAAATTGTCTGCTTGCAGTTAATTTATAAAAAGTGTGGGAGCTTGACCAATATGCATTTCTAACAGCATAACATATACTTAATACAATGAATATGAAGTTCAATGGAAAATCTCAGCTTTTTGGGGGGGAAATGGGGAAGTCTCAAGTCACCTTATGGTGATATTGACCCTCCTACTAATCAAACGCCTTAATTGATCAAGTACAAGGGAGGAATGACAACCAGCAGACACTGAGCGATGGAGGACTGGCTTTTGACACATACAAGGGTGGGCTGTTGTATAGTACTGTACCATTTTGTACTGTGCCAGGTAGCGGATGGACTCCCTCACTCCAGAGCTGATGAGGTTGGAGGTGTACCCCAGGAAGATGGTACAGCCCGAGTGGGAAGGGGAGGAGTTGCATCTTTCCTCTTCCTCCAGTGGCTCCAGACGCTTCTCAATCTGGGGTTAAAAATGGATGACAATAGGAGAGGAAATCTAGACACAGTCTGATAGAAGCTCTCTCTAACAAAGGGTTTAAACATTTCTCCCTCTTCTTCTCCATCTACTCTTCTCTCTCTCCCCCCAAAAACTGGCCTAGAATCAGACCAGGAATGACATATGTCTACATAAATGGCAACAACTTGGATGCTAACATAACTCTCCACGTGCCCAATTACTAGGCATCTTATCCCCTATATGTCGAGGGATGTTTGGAGTAGGATCCCTAGTTCCCCCCTGTACACTGATCTTAGGTCAGCTGATTCTAGATCTGTAGACCTAGTAGATCAACTCCTACACAGAGTGGGACATCCTCTGACCCCATGACGACACTAGCCTGTTCTCAGATCTGTTTGTGCTGTGTTGCCAACTCCTATGGTCATTGTGAGTTGTCAAGACACCATAAACAGATCTGGGACCAGGCTCTGAGAAGGCATCTTAACTCCCTAAACCTCCAGAGATGGATTGATGTCATCTAGCCTGGAATCCAACGTTTTATGCTCCGTTTCACCATAGCTTCACTGAGCATATCTGTTAGGATTCCAGGCTAGATGTCCTCCAGTGTGTCTCACCATCTTGTTGATCTCCTGTATGGCATGGGCAACGCTGCTAGCCTGGAAGCCTGTGGTGAGGAAGGACTGGAGCAGGGCACGATGGTCCACTCCCTGGTTGAAGTCATAGCCCTTGATACGGGGCATGTCGTCTGGGAGGGCCGTGCTGGGCATCAACACCGCATCCATGGCCACCAAGGGGGCGTGTTGTTCTGCCATGCCTTCTGTCAAAAACAAGGAAGCAAATCAAAAAGTAATGCAACGGTTACATAGAGTGCTGAACATTAATTTTGCTTAAGTGGCTGCAAAGATGATTTAAGTGGCTTTCAACCTAGAATAACTACAAGAAAAATGCCAAAATTATCTAACAGCTGGAATCCTGTAGTTCATGTTGAAAAGGTTTGCAAATTTGCAAAGTGTCAGCAACATTATCAATTCCCAAAATCAACTGTCAACTCCCTGAATCATTCTGATTCAACTGTATAGCTGGTGGCAAGCAACAATATTAGGATCATGCCTTGTGTTGCGCTTAGTAGCATGTTATAGAGACAGAATTCTAACGTCATTATCATTCAGCACATTTCATGACACTGATATCAAAGTATAGCCAACTGACGTTAGTTGGCAAGCTAACACTCCATTGCCTGCTGCCTGGCTTTCAGGTAGCTATCCATTCTCTATTGGCTTAAAAACAATTACATGCACTGACAAATGAAGCAACATACCAAGTTTTTTGAAGACCACTGGGTCGTTGTATTTAATCAGAGAATGCTTAAACTAAAAGGTATCATTGTAATAAAGACAGCCAAAACATTAGCAACACACGACAAGTCTAGCGCGCTGACATTCCCCATGTAGCACGCTTTGGAAACAACTACGGACACCGCAAAGGTTCAAACATAGCAACGCATTCTGGTGAAAGATTGTGTTCTGTATGTATCCTTCCTATGATTATCATTATGGGGGTCAACATTAATATTTTTTTCTCACACACACACACACACTCCCACAGCCAGACCGTTTCCTGTCCTCCCTGCTCCCTCCAGTCTCTTTTATCATCAGTGAGGGATGTGTTGATGTGCTGTGACTTTCCAGGACTGTGTGGTGTGACTTTAAAACTGACACCACAGCAACAGCAGCTTTGAAGTGGCCTCTACAGTCAACACAAAGAGGGGGAGACAGAGGTAAAAAGGGAGGCAGAGCCACTCTGACAGAAATGGGACCTCAGTCGGACTTGGTCAACATAAACCTGTGTTGAGTATAACAGTAACTTCTACATTATTATTGCAAATCTAAAGCCATATTTGGAGCGTGGAACAGTTTGTGATCGGCAAGTTGACATTTTACTCTTTCAACAATTGATTCAATTGAATCTTATTTTCTCTCTCTTCACGTTGGCGTGGAAAGAAGGGGGAGTTTCAGCTTGATGTATGACTAAAAGTGGGGTGTGTGGTTGTCTCTCTGGAGGAGGGAATGTCAGGGAAGGTGTGGCAGCAGTAAACAGTGTGGTGCAGGCACGGCGGACTGTGGAACAACTACGAGTGGAGGCAAGCATGGAGAGGATCAAGGTGAGAGTACACTACAGTAGCCGTGTGTGTAATTAATTTGGAGAATGACAATTTGGTTGATCTATATTTCCTTTCATTTGATGAATCAAAAATAAGAAATTGTGGGCGCAATGCATAGCAGTCTGATACAGAATGGATAAAGGGAAATCTTGTCTTAGGACACATCAGTAACTAGTGTATATTGGGCATCACCTTTCTTCTGATATACAATAACCTCAGCTTTAAGTCATGGCTGTTCCTTACTTCTTCTTCCTCCCAGATCTCCACAGCAGCTGCCCAGCTGGTGCAGTACTGTCAGGAGCACAGTCGCATGACCCCCTCCTCACCGGCATCTCTGCCTCCTCCAACCCCTTCAAAGACAAGAAGACCTGTGTCCTGCTGTAGAAAGGCTGCCTCAGGACACTGCTCTGGTGCTGCATTCAACAGTGCTTCATCATCAACAACAGTGAAACGTTTTGATGCCAGGCTACTTCAACATGTCCTACTTCATCATGTCAGACATTAATGTGTTGGCTAAAGCAGAAACAGACTGGTTGGTACAGTAATGGTCATACTGTAATTTCAACAAATGGCTTGCAGTCCAGAGTGTCTCAATAACAAAGGAGAGCAAACCGTTTATCTTCTTCTTGATATTACAGAACGACAGGGTACACTTGTTAACAATTAATTGATTGAGTGTAACATTTTAATTCATAACAAAAGAAATCACACATAGCATATTCACAAAAGCATATTTACAAAATCTGAATCATTTGGTTATTTTTATGCAGTCAGAGGGCTCTCTTGCAGCAGGTGAAGTCTGGTCTCAGATAAGGAGTTAGCAACAATCAATCTCCATGCCAACGAGAGCAGCATAGACACTGTAGCCTCAGACTGTATCAGTGTGTGTAACAACAATAACTTGTAAGAAATAATGAGTGAACAATGCAGTACTATTGGGTTTTGGACTCTAACGAGCCACTGGAGCGAGGTTGATGCTGGGACGCTACAGATTCAAATCAACGTTTATTCGTCACGTGTGCAGGATACAGCGGGTGTAACTGTACAGTGAAATGCTTACTTACCAGCTTTCCTCAACAGTGCAGAATCAAATAAAAAAATAAAAAGAGCATTCCGTAACATGGTAAGAGTTGGTAAAGTAGTTACCCTAAGAGAGAACGACAACGAGGAAGAACTCCAAACAGTGGAATTGACAAACAAGTGGTGTGGTACTGAGTATAAGCACGCCACTAGACACATAATTTATGACAGTTCGACCATGCTCATAAATTAATATACAAAATACATTACAATCAGCGTGTCAGGGACGGCTTGACTGATTCTTTCCATTGTGTTTCTGCATCTATTTCAATTGTCACAGAGAAAAATACAATTATTTTCTAGAGCTTTTTTGTGTGTTCTTTTCTTTGAAAAAATGCATGGGAAATCACACAGACACAAATATTTTAGTTTTTGTATATAGTTTTGGGGTGTAAAGCTAAGACACTGGTCCTTCACATCAACATTCTCACTGCATATGAGAAAGTTGTTCATGTAAATGACAGAGCATTATACGTCAGTCATCTTGCATCACTTCAGGAACGTAAGTAGATTAGGGTGGGTGTGGTGGCCCTTGTGGCCCCACTCACCTCCTTGCCCTCCACACCTCAACCACACATTTCTCTGAGGCGAAGCCCACGCACTCCTGCCTCCCATCAACTACAGAGAGATGAGAGAGACAGAGAGAGAGAGAGAAAACACATTTTTCTTCAACCAGATAAAGGTAGGAGACTAAGGAGAGAGATTAACAGACACCTACAAGCCATCAGGATCTCTAAAATAAAAAGTGGACCAATGTGACGAGAGAGGGGAGGAGACTCACCCCATTGACGCCTGCTTGGTGTGCAGTGTTCACAGCGTCCTTGGAGGGGCACAGGGGAGGTGCACCTGGAAAAATGAATGGTTGATAAGATAGGAACAGGGAGGAGAAACATGGATTTGTACATCCATGTTCATCAACGGCCAACACGGTTTTTGATAATGGGTAATGTTGTTGTAAACTGATTTGATTTATAGATCAGCATTAGCCGACGCAAATGGGAGTGAAAATATCATCCTCTTTGAGGACAATAAAGTAGAAATCTATCTAAAACCCCTAAACAGGAATACATTACAAAGAGCTGAAGAGAATTACTACATATGTTATAATCATTAGTGATTGTGATGCAAAGACAAATTCCCATCCCCATGACTAATAAAGACATTCTATTCTATTCCAATTAGTGGGCTCCAGGGTGTAAGCCTGGCTTAATTTGCTGTCTAAAATCTTAACAACTGGGACGTGGCTCACAGTCCTTCAAATCTTTGCATTCTGTCCATCCTCAACCCAAGGATGGGGGTTCTCACATTACACGATGATTCCCTAGCTACCTGTGTTCTCGTTGTCGTAGGAAAAAAATGCCGACACGGCAAACAGTAAGCGCCTTTATAGTGTGCCACATGATATGTGCAGAAAACAGAAAAAAAGACGGAGGCCCAGGAATATGTACTTCATATGAAATCAATGATAATATGAAATTCTTTTTTGGTTTCTACCATGGACGCAGATTTAAAATAAATAAAAAATACAAATAAATTAAAATATATATTGCTGGAATTCGTTTTGCAAGGCCGGTGCCCAGGTGGGTGGAGTTTCAAATTAAGGACCAATGAATGGTTCGAAAATATCTAACTCCACACATTTGGCACCGCGGCCATGTAAAACAAAAAATCTTCCACACCTCTGGTCCACACCATGCATTTTGTTGTTGTTGTTTCCTCTTTGTGTGGTCTCACATGCTGAATGCTCATTGGCTATTTGGCAGCAGACCTTGCACAATCGCGTGTAGCACGCTCATACTACAAGATACACAACAAAAATGTCTGACATGTCAGAAAAATATTGGGACATCCGACAGGGGTCCTCCGGAGAACAGAACAGCCATCATCGGTGAGTCCTTGACCGCCTCAAACAAATGGGTCCCGAAGTACTGACACTAGTCAAATCATAGGATTTTACCCCGATCATGAAATTTCAATCTGGGACGGCAAAAACGTGGCAAATCGTGTAGTTATGCCTGGCATAAACCAGACAGAAACGCCATGGTTCACCATTGTTTCACAGCATTCAGACTGGTTTAACCAGGCTAACCTGACGTACCTTGATGGTGCGGTCAGCGGAGCGGTGTAGAGGACTCCAGGGTTTTTGTCAGACCTGTTATTTAGAAAAAAAGTGCAAATTTTTCTTTTCGCAAAGATTTTAAGGAAAGAACAAATTTATTTGTGCAACTTAATTTATAATAGTATCCAAATAATACTTTTCCAATAAACTAAAATATATTGTTGAGAAAGTGACTAAATAGTTTTCTGAAAATGTACGTTTTATAATCACTATGTAATTACAATGTATTTATTCTGCTTTGAAATTGTCCATGACAGGGTGGACATATTTTGCTGTTTGCATGTAAATTGTCTGCTTGCAGTTAATTTATAAAAAGTGTGGGAGCTTGACCAATATGCATTTCTAACAGCATAACATATACTTAATACAATGAATATGAAGTTCAATGGAAAATCTCAGCTTTTTTGGGGGGAAATGGGGAAGTCTCAAAGTCACCTTATGGTGATATTGACCCTCCTACTAATCAAACGCCTTAATTGATCAAGTACAAGGGAGGAATGACAACCAGCAGACACTAAGCGATGGAGGACTGGCTTTTGACACATACAAGGGTGGGCTGTTGTATAGTACTGTACCATTTTGTACTGTGCCAGGTAGCGGATGGACTCCCTCACTCCAGAGCTGATGAGGTTGGAGGTGTACCCCAGGAAGATGGTACAGCCCGAGTGGGAAGGGGAGGAGTCGCATCTTTCCTCTTCCTCCTGTGGCTCCAGACGCTTCTCAATCTGGGGTTATAAATGGATGACAAAAGGAGAGGAATATAGACACAGTCTGATAGAAGCTCTCTCTAACAAAGGGGTTTAAACATTTCTCCCTCTTCTTCTCCATCTCTCTTCTCTCTCTCCCCCCAAAAAACTGGCCTAGAATCAGACCAGGAATGACATATGTCTACATAAATGGCAACAACTTGGATGCTAACATAACTCTCCACATGCCCATGCTAACATAACTCTCCACATGCCCAATTACTAGGCATCTTATCCCCTATATGTCGAGGGATGTTTGGAGTAGGATCCCTAGTTCCCCCCTGTACACTGATCTTAGGTCAGCTGATTCTAGATCTGTAGACCTAGTAGATCAACTCCTACACAGAGTGGGACATCCTCTGACCCCATGACGACATTAGCCTGTTCCCAGATCTGTTTGTGCTGTGTTGCCAACTCCTATGGTCATTGTGAGTTGTCAAGACACCATAAACAGATCTGGGACCAGGCTCTGAGAAGGCATCTTAACTCCCTAAACCTCCAGAGATGGATTGATGTAATCTAGCCTGGAATCCAACGTTTTATGCTCTGTTTCACCATAGTTTCACTGTTAGGATTCCAGGCTAGATGTCCTCCAGTGTGTCTCACCATCTTGTTGATCTCCTGTATGGCATGGGCAACGCTGCTAGCCTGGAAGCCTGTGGTGAGGAAGGACTGGAGCAGGGCATGATGGTCTACTCCCTGGTTGAAGTCATAGCCCTTGATACGGGGCATGTCGTCTGGGAGGGCCGTGCTGGGCATCAGCACCGCATCCATGGCCACCGAGGGGGCATGTTGTTCTGCCATGCCTTCTGTCAAAAACAAGGAAGCAAATCAAAAAGTAATGCAACGGTTGCATAGAGTGCTGAACATTAATTTTACTTAAGTGGCTGCAAAGATGGTTTAAGTGGCTTTCAACCTAGAATAACTACAAGAAAAATGCCAAAATTATCTAACAGCTGGAATCCTGTAGTTCATGTTGAAAAGGTTTGCAAATTTGCAAAGTGTCAGCACCATTATCAACTCCCAAAATCAACTGTCAACTCCCTGAATCATTCTGATTCAACTGTATAGCTGGTGGCAAGCAACAATATTAGGATCATGCCTTGTGTTGCGCTTAGTAGCATGTTATAGAGACATAATTCTAACGTCATTATCATTCAGCACATTTCATGACACTGAGATCAAATATAGCAAGTATAGCCAACTGACGTTAGTTAGCAAGCTAACACTCCATCGCCTGCTGCCTGGCTTTCAGCTAGCTATCCATTCTCTATTGGCTTAAAAACAATTACATGCACTGACAAATGAAGCAACATACCAAGTTTTTTGAAGACCACTGGGTCGTTGTATTTAATCAGAGAATGCTTAAACTAAAAGGTATCATTGTATAAAGACAGCCAAAACATTAGCAACACACCACAAGTCTAGCGCGCTGACATGCCCATGTAGCACGCTTTGGAAATGACTACGGACACCGCAAAGGTTCAAACATAGCAACGCATTCTGGTGAAAGATTGTGTTCTGTATGTATCCTTCCTATGATTATCATTATGGGGGTCAACATTAATATATTTTTTCACACACACTTCCACAGCCAGACCGTTTTCCTGTCCTCCCTGCTCCCTCCAGTCTCTTTTATCATCAGTGAGGGATGTGTGATGTTGCTGTGACATTTCCAGGACTGTGTGTGTGACCTTTAAACCTGACACACATCACAGCAGCTTTGAAGTGGCCTCTACAGTAAACACAAAGAGGGGGAGACCAGAGGTTAAAAAGGGAGGCCAGATGCCACTCTGACAGAAATTGGGACCTCAGTAGGACTTGGTCCACATAACCTTGTGTTAGAGTATAACAGTAACTTCTCCATTATTATTGCAAATCTAAATCCATATTTGGAGGTGGAACAGGTTTTTGTGATCTGCAAGTTTGACATTTTCAACTCTTTCAACAATTGATTCCAATTGCATTCATTTATTTTCTCTCTCTCACGTTGGCGTGGAAAGAAGGGGAGTTTCAGCTTGCTGTCTGGGACTAAAAGTGGGAGTGTGTGGGTGTCTCTCTGGAGGAGGGAATGTCAGGGAAGGTGTGCAGCAGTAACAGTGTGGTGCAGGCACGGCGGACTGTGGAACAACTACGAGTGGAGGCAAGCATGGAGAGGATCAAGGTGAGAGTACACTACAGTAGCCTGTGTGTGTAATTAATTTGGAGAATGACAATTTGGTTGATCTATATTTCTTTCATTTGATGAATCAAAAATAAGAAATTGTGGGCGCAATGCATAGCAGTCTGATACAGAATGGATAAAGGGAAATCTTGTCTTAGGACACATCAGTAACTAGTGTATATTGGGCATCACCTTTCTTCTGAATATACAATAACCTCAGCTTTAAGTCATGGCTGTTCCTTACTTCTTCCTCCCAGATCTCCACAGCAGCTGCCCAGCTGGTGCAGTACTGTCAGGAGCACAGTCGCAGTGACCCCCTCCTCACCGGCATCTCTGCCTCCTCCAACCCCTTCAAAGACAAGAAGACCTGTGTCCTGCTGTAGAAAGGCTGCCTCAGGACACTGCTCTGGTGCTGCATTCAACAGTGCTTCATCATCAACAACAGTGAAACGTTTTGATGCCAGGCTACTTCAACATGTCCTACTTCATCATGTCAGACATTAATGTGTTAGCTAAAGCAAAAACAGACTGGTTGGTACAGTAATGGTCATACTGTCATTTCAACAAATGGCTTGCAGTCCAGAGTGTCTCAATAACAAAGGAAAGCAAACGGTTTATCTTCTTCTTGATATTACAGAACGACAGGGTACACTTGTAAACAATTAATTGATTGAGTGTAAACATTTTATTCATAACAAAAGAAATCACACATAGCATATTCACAAAAGCATATTTACAAAATCTGAATCATTTGGGTATTTTTATGCAGTCAGAGGGCTCTCTTGCAGCAGGTGAAGATGGGTCGCAGATAAGGAGTTAACAACAATCAATCTCCATGCCAACGAGAGCAGCATAGACACTGTAGCCTCAGACTGTATCAGTGTATGTAACAACAATAACTTGTAAGAAATAATGAGTGAACAATGCAGTACTATTGGGTTTTGGACTCTAACAAGCCACTGGAGCGAGGTTGATGCTGGGACGCTACAGATTCAAATCAAAGTTTATTCGTCACGTGTGCAGGATACAGCGGGTGTAACTGTACAGTGACATGCTTACTTATCAGCTTTCCTCAACAGTGCAGAATCAAATCTAAAAATAAAAAGAGCATTCCGTAACATGGTAAGAGTTGGTAAAGTAGTTACCCTAAGAGAGAACGACAACGAGGAAGAACTCCAAACAGTGGAATTGACAAACAAGTGGTGTGGTACTGAGTATAAGCACGCCACTAGACATCATTTATGACAGTTCGACCATGCTCATAAATTAATATACAAAATACATTACAATCAGTGTGTCAGGGACGGCTTGACTGATTCTTTCCATTGTGTTTCTGCATCTATTTCAATTGTCACAGAGAAAAATACAATTATTTTCTAGAGCTTTTTTGTGTGTTCTTTTCTTTGAAAAAATGCATGGGAATCACACAGACACAAAATATTTTAGTTTTGTATATAGTTTTTGGGTGTAAAGCTAAGAACACTGGTCCTTCACATCAACATTCTCACTGCATATGAGAAAGTTGTTCATGTAAATGACAGAGCATTATACGTCAGTCATCTTGCATCACTTCAGGAACGTAAGTAGATTAGGGTGGGTGTGGTGGCCCTTGTGGCCCCACTCACCTCCTTGCCCTCCACACCTCCACACACATTTCTCCTGAGGCGATAGCCAGCACTCCTGCCTCCACACTCAACTACAGAGAGAGAGAGAGGAACAGAGAGAGAGAGAGTAAAACACATTTTTCTTCAACCAGATAAAGGTAGGAGACTAAGGAGAGAGATTAACAGGACACCTACAAGCCATCAGAATCTCTAAATAAAAAAAGTGACAATGTGAGAGAGAGGGGAGAGACTCACCCCATTGACGCCTGCTTGGTGGTGCAGTGTGCACAGCGTCCTTGGAGGGGCACAGGGGAGGTGCACCTGGAAAATGAATGGTTGATAAGATAGGAACAGGGAAGGAAGAAACATGGATTTTGTACATCCATGTCATCAACGCACACGGTTTTGATAATGGTTTAATGTTGTTTGTAACTGATTTGATTTATTAGTATCAGCATTAGCCGACGCAAATGGGAGTGAAAATTATCATCCTCTTTGAGGACAATAAAGTAGAAATCTATCTAAAACCCCTAAACAGAATACCATTACAACAGAGCTGAAGAGATATTACTACATATGTTATAATCATTATTGTATTGTGATGCAAAGACAAATTCCCATCCCCGGATGGACAATAAAGACATTCTATTCTATTCAATTAGTGGGCTCCAGGGTGTAAGCCTGGCTAATGCTGTTCTAAAATCTTAACAACTTGGACGTGCTCACATTTCCTTCAAATCTTTCATTCTGTCCATCCTCAACCCAAGGATGTGGGTTCTCACATTACACGATGATTCCCTAGCTACCCTGTGTTTCTCGGTTGTCGTAGGAAAAAAATGCCGACACGCAAACAGTAAGCTGCTTTATTAGTGTGCACATTATTATGTGCAGAAACATAAAAAAGACGGAGGCCCAGAATATGTACTTCATATGAAATAATAATGATAATATGAAATTCTCTTTTTGGTTTCTATCATGGACGCAGATTTAATATTGCTGGAATTCGTTTTGCAAGGCCCGGTGCCCCAGGTGGGTGGAGATTTCACTTAAGGACCAATGGAATGGTCTAAAATATCTAACTCCACCCATTTGGGGCACCGGGCCATGTAAAACAAAATCTTCCATCACCTCGGTCCACACCATGCATTTTGTTGTTGTTGCTTTCCTCTTTGTTTTGGTCTCACATGCTGAATGCTCATTGGCTATTGGCAGCAGACCTTGCCCAATCGCGTTGTAGCACTGCTCATACTACAAGATACACAACAAAAATGTCTGACATGTCAGAAAATTATTGGGACATCCGACAGGGGTCTGGAGAACAGAACAGCCATCATCGGTGAGTCCTTGACCCGCTCAAACAAATGGGTCCCGAAGTACTGACCCTAGTCCAAATTCATAGGATTTTACCCCGATCATGAAATTTCAATCTGGGACGGCAAAAACGTGGCAAAATCGTGTAGTGTATGCCTGGCATAAACCAGACAGAACGCCATGTTCACCATTGTTTCACAGCATTCAGACTGGTTTAACCAGGCTAACATGACGTACCTTGATGGTGCGGTCAGCGGAGCAGGTGTAGAGGCTCCCAGGGGACCTGTGGATGCCGGTGACCAGCGAGGTGTGTCCCACGTCGAACTGGGAGAGGGGCTTGACGGAACCGGCCTGCATGGAGAAGGCATGGAGCATGCCCCGGTTGTCCCCCGCCCACACCTCACTGCCACTGTAGCACATTGACAGCAGGTAGGAGCTCAGCTGGGGAGAGGAGACAAACCAGAATGAAGACACACATATTAACCTATTATAGCCTGGTCCTGGATCTGTTTGTGCAGACTTGCCAACTCCTGGTCATTGTCGAAACAAATAAGACAAAACAGCACAAGCGGAAGGGGGAGAAAGTAAGGAACTTGTCTGTTGGCCCTGCATTAAAGATCAAAATTGGTTAAAGAAAATTGTGATAAATCAAAAAGTATACCAGTTTCATTTAAGGACCAAAACATTGACAGCTGTGCCATATAAACTCAGCAAAAAAAGAAACATCCCTTTTTCAGGACCCTGTCTTTCAAAGATAATTCATGAAAATCCAAATAACTTCACAGATCTTCATTGTAAAGTGTTTAAACATTGTTTCCCATGCTTGTTCAATGAACCATAAACAATTAATGAACATGCACATGTGGAACGGTCGTTAAGACACTAACAGCTTTCAGACGGTAGGCAATTAAGGTCACAGTTATGAAAACTTAAGACACCAAAGAGGCCTTTCTACTGACTCTGAAAAACACCAAAAGAAAGATGCCCAGGGTCCCTGCTCATCTGCGTGAGCGTGCCTTAGGCATGCTGCAAGGAGGCATGAGGACTGCAGATGTGGCCAGGGCAATAAATTGCAATGTCTGTACTGTGAGACGCCTAAGACAGCGCTACAGAGGGACAGGACGAACAGCTGATCGTCCTCGCAGTGGCAGACCACGTGTAACAACACCTGCACAGGATCGGTACATCCGAACATCACACCTGCGGGACAGGTACAGGATGGCAACAACAACTGCCCAAGTTACACCAGGAACGCACAATCCCTCCATCAGTGCTCAGGCTGTCCGCAATAGGCTGAGAGAGGCTGGACTGAGGGCTTGTAGGCCTGTTGTAAGGCAGGTCCTCACCAGACATCACCGGCAACAACATCGCCTATGGGCACAAACCCACCATCGCTGGACCAGACAGGACTGGCAAAATGTGCTCTTCACTGACGAGTCGTGGTTTTGTCTCACCAGGGGTGATGGTCGGATTCGCATTTATCGTCGAAGGAATGAGCGTTACACCGAGGCCTGTACTCTGGAGCAGGATCGATTTGGAGGTGGAGGGTCCGTCATGGTCTGGGGCGGTGTATCACAGCATCATCGGACTGAGCTTGTTGTCATTGCAGGCAATCTCAACGCTGTGCGTTACAGGAAGACATCCTCCTCCCTCATGTGGTACCCTTCCTGCAGGCTCATCCTGACATGACCCTCCAGTATGACAATGCCACCAGCCATACTGCTCGTTCTGTGCATGATTTCCTGCAAGACAGGAATGTCAGTGTTCTGCCATGGCCAGCGAAGAGCCCGGATCTCAATCCCATTGAGCACGTCTGGGACCTGTTGGATCGGAGGGTGAGGGCTAGGGCCATTCCCCCCAGAAATGTCCAGGAACTTGCAGGTGCCTTGGTGGAAGAGTGGGGTAACATCTCACAGCAAGAACTGGCAAATCTGGTGCAGTCCATGAGGAGATGCACTGCAGTATTTAATGCAGCTGGTGGCCAGATACTGACTGTTACTTTTGATTTTGACCCCCCCCCCCCCCCCCCCTTTGTTCAGGGACACATTATTCAATTTCTGTTAGTCACATGTCTGTGGAACTTGTTCAGTTTATGTCTCAGTTGTTGAATCTTGTTATGTTCATACAAATATTTACACATTTTAAGTTTGCTGAAAATAAACGCAGTTGACAGTGAGAGGACATTTCTTTTTTTGCTGAGTTTAGATTACAAAATAGTTGGGAAGAGATTTTCGATGTACCGATTCCATGGCACATGGTTTATGAACTGATACGCAAAACGACGACGGATTTAGAATAACAATTTTCTATTTAAATTATTATACAGTGGGGAAAAAAAGTATTTAGTCAGCCATCAATTGTGCAAGTTCTCCCACTTAAAAAGATGAGAGAGGCCTGTAATTTTCATCATAGGTACACGTCATCTATGACAGACAAAATGAGAAAAAAAATTCCAGAAAATCACATTGTAGGATTTTTTATGAATTTATTTGCAAATTATGGTGGAAAATAAGTATTTGGTCAATAACAAAAGTTTCTCAATACTTTGTTATATACCCTTTGTTGGCAATGACACAGGTCAAATGTTTTCTGTAAGTCTTAACAAGGTTTTCACACACTGTTGCTGGTATTTTGGCCCATTCCTCCATGCAGATCTCCTCTAGAGCTGTGATGTTTTGGGGCTGTCGCTGGGCAACACGGACTTTCAACTCCCTCCAAAGATTTTCTATGGGGTTGAGATCTGGAGACTGGCTAGACCACTCCAGGACCTTGAAATGCTTCTTACGAAGCCACTCCTTCGTTGCCCGGGCGGTGTGTTTGGGATCATTGTCATGCTGAAAGACCCAGCCACGTTTCATCTTCAATGCCCTTACTGATTGGCTGGAGGTTTTCACTCAAAATCTCACGATACATGGCCCCATTCATTCTTTCCTTTACACGGATCAGTCGTCCTGGTCCCTTTGCAGAAAAACAGCCCCAAAGCATGATGTTTCCACCCCCATGCTTCACAGTAGGTATGGTGTTCTTTGGATGCAACTCAGCATTCTTTGTCCTCCAAACACGACGAGTTGAGTTTTTACCAAAAAGTTCTATTTTGGTTTCATCTGACCATATGACATTCTCCCAATCCTCTTCTGGATCATCCAAATGCACTCTAGCAAACTTCAGACGGGCCTGGACATGTACTGGCTTAAGCAGGGGGTCACGTCTGGCACTGCAGGATTTGAGTCCCTGGCGGCGTAGTGTGTTACTGATGGTAGGCTTTGTTACTTTGGTCCCAGCTCTCTGCAGGTCATTCACTAGGTCCCCCCGTGTGGTTTTGGGATTTTTGCTCACCGTTCTTGTGATCATTTTGACCCCACGGTGTGAGATCTTGCGTGGAGTCCCAGATCGAGGGAGATTATCAGTGGTCTTGTATGTCTTCCATTTCCTAATAATTGCTCCCACGGTTGATTTCTTCAAACCAAGCTGCTTACCTATTGCAGATTCAGTCTTCCCAGCCTGGTGCAGGTCTACAATTTTGTTTCTGGTGTCCTTTGACAGCTCTTTGGTCTTGGCCATAGTGGAGTTTGGAGTGTGACTGTTTGAGGTTGTGGACAGGTGTCTTTTATACTGATAACATTTTCAAACAGGTGCCATTAATACAGGTAACGAGTGGAGGACAGAGGAGCCTCTTAAAGAAGAAGTTACAGGTCTGTGAGAGCCAGAAATCTTGCTTGTTTGTAGGTGACCAAATACTTATTTTCCACCATAATTTGCAAATAAATTCATTTTTTTTCTCAATTTGTCTGTCATAGTTGACGTGTACCTATGATGAAAATTACAGGCCTCTCTCATCTTTTTAAGTGGGAGAACTTGCACAATTGGTGGCTGACTAAATACTTTTTTTCCCCACTGTACAAAATTCTTGCAACCAATAGAATGTTATATATATGGGGGATACAACCATCCCAGCTCTGCAGATTTTGCTGCGAAGAGACAGAATCATTAGATCATTTGTTTTGGTACTGTCCATATGTAGCTTGTTTTTGGTCGCAGGTCCAGGAATGGCTGAAGCTAACTCTGCAAATAGCTAACTCTGCAAATAGCACTGCTGGGTGATTTGAAAAGTAATTGTCAATCGATCAATAATATAATACTTTTAGCAAAAATCAGTATCTTTAATTTACAATCTGTAGAAACTATGAGAATAGAAAGGTTCAGAACTTTTGAGAAACATCACAGCACAGTTGAAAAATATATGGCAAATAGAAGAATAAAAATGGATGGTGTTAAGAGATAGATGGTGGGGGTTGAGTGGAGCTGAAGGGTGGGACTAAAAACAACACGATAGCTAATGTAAAATATGCTGTGTCCGTAACATCTATATAGGTTCAGAACTTTTGTGAAACAGCACAGTTAAAAGTATATGGCAAATAGAAATCAAACTGGATGGTCTTCAGAGATAAATGGGAGGGGTTGAGGGTAGCTGAAGGATGGGATTAAAAACAAACAAAAGATATCTATTGTAAAAGACATTGTGCCCGTATAAGCTGGAAGTAGAAGCCTACTTGGAAATGATGCAAACAATTACATTGATCGAAGCTACAATCTATCTGCAATATTAAAGCTGATCTACCCCCCCCCCCAAAAAAAACAAAAAAAAAACAGCACAAACAGATATGGGTCTGGCTATAATCCACTCCCAGTGAACTGATAGACCACCTTCTAATGGGAAAAAGGATAGTTATGTAGGGATGTGTGTTGGTGAGTGTGGGTAGGGTTGCAAAGCAACCGGTAAATTACCAGTTACCGGAATCTTCTGTAATTTTTCTAATTAACAGGTAAACTATGGCAATCTATGGTAACTTTGGGAATTTATACTGGAATAATGTTTTAAAATGTATTCATAATATAAAGTAATATCAAATTAATATTATATACACACACACACACACACAGCGCATTCAGAAAGTATTCAGACCTCTTGACTTTTTCCACTTTGTTACGTTACAGCCTTATTCTATAATTGATTAAATTGTTTTTTCCCCCTCATCAATCTACACACAATACCCCATATTGACAAAGCAAAAACAGGTTTTTAGAAATGTTTGCAAAAATTAAAAATACAACAATAAATGAATATCACATTCACATAAGTATTCAGACCCTTTACTCAGCACTTTGTTGAAGCACCTTTGGCAGCAATTACAGCCTCAAGTCTTCTTAGGTATGACGCTACAAGCTTCGCCCCCAGCCTGAGGTCCTGAGCGCTCTGGAGCTGGTTTTCATCAAGGATCTCTCTGTACTTTGCTCCATTCATCTTTCCCTCGAACCTGACTAGTATCCCAGTCCCTGGCACTGAAAAACATCCCCACAACATGATGCTGCCACCACCATGCTTCACCGTAGGGATGGTGCCAGGTTTCCTCCAGACGTGACGCTTGGAATCAGAACAAAGAGTTCAATCTTGGTTTCATCAGACCAGAGAATCTTGTTTCTCATGGTCTGAGAGTCCTTTAGGCGCCTTCTGGCAAACTCCAAGTGGGCTGTCATTTGCCTTTTACTGAGGAGTGGGTTCCGTCTGGCCACTCTACCATTAAGGCCTGATTGGTGGAGTGCTACAGAGATAGTTGTTCTTCTGAAAGGTTCTCCCATCTCCACAGAGGAACTCTGCAGCTCTGTCAGAGTGACAATCGGGTTCTTGGTCACCTCCCTGACCAAGGCCCTTCTCCCCCAATTGCTCAATTTGGCAGTGTGGCCTGCTCTAGGAAGAGTCTAGGTGGTTCCAATCTTCTTCCATTTAAGAATGATGGATGCCACTGTGTTCTTGGGGATCTTCAGTCTTGCAGAAATGTTTTGGTACCCTTCTGTGCCTCGACACAATCCAGTCTCGGAGCTCTACGGACAATTCCTTCGACCTCATGGCTTTGTTTTCGCTCTGACATGCACTGTCAACTGTGGGACCTTATATAGATAGGTGTGTGCCTTTCCAAATCATGTCCAATCAATAGAATTTACCACAGGTGGACTCCAATCAAGTTGTAGAAACATCTCAAGGATGATCAATGGAAACAGGATGCACCTGAGCTCAATTTCAAGTCTCATAGCAAAGAGCTGAATACTTATGTAAATAAGGTATTTCTGTTTTCTATTTGTAATACATTTGAAAAATTTTATAAAAACCTGTTTTCACTTTGTCATTATGGGGTATTGTGTGTCGATTGATGAGGGAAAACTTTTTAAAATCCATTGTAGAATAAGGCTGTAACGTAACAAAATGTGGAAAAAGGGAAAGGGTCTGAATACTTTCCGAATGCACTAATATACATATATATAAATAACAGTATTAATTTTTTATATCTGTGTCTACACACACCTGTGATGATCTGAAGTACCCCAAAATACTTTGAAAGTTTCCAGTAATATACCCTCCCTTTGCAACCCTAAGTGTGGGGAGTACATGAACAGTAAATTGTAATTATTCTACTATTCTTATACAGTCTGTGTGTAAGTGTGTGTGTTCGCATGCATGTGTATATGTGTGTGTGTGTGTGTTTGTACCTGTAGTTTCTGCAGGGTTTTCCCTGCTCTTCGGTCGTAGATGACCACAGTGCGGTCTTTACTCCCAGATAGGATGTACTGCTCGTCTGCTACCAGGCACAGCACCGCGTTGCTATGGAGACGCAGGCTCTTCACAAGGGGCTCCGCCACTGCAGCACAGACAGATCATGACATCATCATCCAACGACGTCTGACAATTGATAGTTTCTGGATTTGCTCTAATCAACTGATATATTCTGAATGGGCAGTCCATTTGGCCAACCAAAGGATAACGCATAGAAATATAATTACTAGACGGGAAAAGGCCCTTTGTCCAATTACCCCTCAGTAAGTCTATTTCTATACGATAACCATTAGTATTGTTTGTGTTCACTTTTATCGACTGATATAATCTAATTTAGTAGAACAGAGACTACAAGTGCCCTTCTTATGAATCACTCACCTCTGGTGTCGTAGACGCTGACCTTCTTGTCATAGGTGCCGGCCAGCAGCACGTCCGTCTGGGGGAGGGCCAGGCAGAGCACGGCAGCCCGGGCCCTGATTAGGCCCCTCTCAGCCCCTTGGGCCCCCAGGTCCCATAGCCTCACTGTGCTGTCGAAGGAGCCCGAGGCCAGCAGGGGTCCCCGGGCCGCCAGGCACCACACCCAGCCTTTGTGGGTGCTGAAGAGGCCCTGGCCCCCCAGTGTATGGAGCAGCCTGCCCGTGGAGCCCCCCTCCCGTAGGTCCCACAGGTTCACGTTCCTGTCCCGGGAGCCTGAGGCACACACTGCCCCCTCTCCCCCCACCAAGAGAACCGAGTTGACCTCAGCAATGTGCCCTGAGGGGAGGGAGAGGCGCTCCAGGGCTGGGGGAGGACTGGGAGGGCAGCTGGACCCGTTTCTCTCTCCCTCTCCTCCCAGTTTCGGGCCCGCTATGTAATCTTGACCGTCTCTATCCGCCAAAACTCCCACTCTCTCCTCCACCTCGATGGCCTCCAGGACCCCTTGTTCATCATCTCTCTCCTCCACCTCGATGGCCTCCAGGACCCCTTGTTCATCATCTCTCTCCTCCTCCATCATGGCCTCGGCTGCAGCCTCCTGCCTCTCCTCTCCCTCCCCAACTCCCATCGGTAGATCCCCTCCCCCATCTTGCTGCATCTCTCCCTCCTCCATCAACTCCTCCCCATCCCACGGTACTGCCATCACTCCCTCCACCCGAAAACCTACCTCCTCTACCTCTATCCCCTCATCCACTTGGGGCCTGCCCTCTTCCACCTCCTCCCACTCTCCAATCCCTTCCTCTGCCAGGGCCTCTCTATCCCTTTCCCTCTCCTGGGCCCTCTCCACCTCTCTCTCCCTCTCTGCCTGCTCGGCCTCCCTGGCGGCCCTCTCCCCCTGGCCCGTCCAGCAAGTGATCAGCTCCTCCATCTCCAGGCAGGCCGAGGGCCAGTCAAAGCCGTCCCGTGGCCCCACGGGGAAGGAGGCTCTGGGACCGGTTAGCCTGCATGCCCGCAACTGCCATGCCGTGCTGTCCTTACCCACATTTCCCAGGGCGTGACACACCTGTAGAGGGAGAGACATGGACCTGATTCACACTGTAGGGCTGGCCTGAACCGTACTAGGCTGACTTGGACATTTTATTTTCACAAGATCCTTTCCAGCATGTTTCCAGCAGCTATGATGGATGTGTAACCAGGTCAGGACAGCCCAGTACAGCTCAGATACATAAACAACTCAACCATTTCTTTTTCTAAAAGATTAAGCCTGTAGCTTTTTCCAAATGTCCCTAGCCTAGCATGGTTTCCAGTCTATTATGGCATTAGGCCCCGTGTAGCTCAGTTGGTAGAGCATGGCGCTTGCAACGCCAGGGTTGTGGGTTCGATTCCCACGGGGGGCCAGGGGGGCCAGTATGAAAATGGTAAGGTAAGTCGCTCTGGATAAGAGCGTCTGCTAAATGACTAAAATGTACAGTGGGGGAAAAAAAGTATTTAGTCAGCCACCAATTGTGCAAGTTCTCCCACTTAAAAAGATGAGAGAGGCCTGTAAGTTTCATCATAGGTACACGTCAACTATGACAGACAAATTGAGAAAACAAAATCCAGAAAATCACATTGTAGGATTTTTAATGAGTTTATTTGCTAATTATGGTGGAAAATAAGTATTTGGTCACCTACAAACAAGCAAGATTTCTGGCTCTCACAGACCTGTAACTTCTTCTTTAAGAGGCTCCTCTGTCCTCCACTCGTTACCTGTATTAATGGCACCTGTTTGAACTTGTTATCAGTATAAAAGACACCTGTCCACAACCTCAAACAGTCACACTCCAAACTCCACTATGGCCAAGACCAAAGAGCTGTCAAAGGACACCAGAAACAAAATTGTAGACCTGCACCAGGCTGGGAAGACTGAATCTGCAATAGGTAAGCAGCTTGGTTTGAAGAAATCAACCGTGGGAGCAATTATTAGGAAATGGAAGACATACAAGACCACTGATAATCTCCCTTGATCTGGGGCTCCACGCAAGATCTCACCCCGTGGGGTCAAAATGATCACAAGAACGGTGAGCAAAAATCCCAGAACCACACGGGGGGACCTAGTGAATGACCTGCAGAGAGCTGGGACCAAAGTAACAAAGCCTACCATCAGTAACACACTACGCCGCCAGGGACTCAAATCCTGCAGTGCCAGACGTGACCCCTTGCTTAAGCCAGTACATGTCCAGGCCCGTCTGAAGTTTGCTAGAGTGCATTTGGATGATCCAGAAGAGGATTGGGAGAATGTCATATGGTCAGATGAAACCAAAATATAACTTTTTGGTAAAAACTCAACTCGTCGTGTTTGGAGGACAAAGAATGCTGAGTTGCATCCAAAGAACACCATACCTACTGTGAAGCATGGGGGTGGAAACATCATGCTTTGGGGCTGTTTTTCTGCAAAGGGACCAGGACGACTGATCCGTGTAAAGGAAAGAATGAATGGGGCCATGTATCGTGAGATTTTGAGTGAAAACCTCCTTCCATCAGCAAGGGCATTGAAGATGAAACGTGGCTGGGTCTTTCAGCATGACAATGATCCCAAACACACCGCCCGGGCAACAAAGGAGTGGCTTCGTAAGAAGCATTTCAAGGTCCTGGAGTGGCCTAGCCAGTCTCCAGATCTCAACCCCATAGAAAATCTTTGGAGGGAGTTGAAAGTCTGTGTTGCCCAGCGACAGCCCCAAAACGTCACTGCTCTAGAGGAATGGGCCAAAATACCAGCAACAGTGTGTGAAAACCTTGTGAAGACTTACAGAAAACGTTTGACCTGTGTCATTGCCAACAAAGGGTATATAACAAAGTATTGAGAAACTTTTGTTATTGACCAAATACTTATTTTCCACCATAATTTGCAAATAAATTCATTAAAAATCCTACAATGTGATTTTCTGGAGAAAAAAAATCTCATTTTGTCTGTCATAGTTGACGTGTACCTATGATGAAAATTACAGGCCTCTCTCATCTTTTTAAGTGGGAGAACTTGCACAATTGGTGGCTGACTAAATACATTTTTTCCCCACTGTAAATGTAAAAATGTTTTGCCAACTCTGTTGTCATTGGCATGCTGGACAAGCTAAAGCAGAAGCAGATCGGTATCCAGGACAGGTATGACGCTGTCCACTGACACACACACCTGTGGCAGGACCGTGATGACACACTGTGCTGGGAGGTGCGAGGCGATGCGAGCCACCATCTCCCACGGCAACGACAGCAAGCCGCTTCCTTCAGCAGACGGGGAAGGGCTCGGTTCAGCAGAGGGGAGCCGAGAGCCTGAGGGCAGCCTGTGAGAAAGAACAGTGTGGGATGGGACTGTTATACCCTTCTTACACATCTGTGTCAACCCAAACGTTATAGGCTCTGACATGTTCTTGTCACACTGTCCTTTTCAGCAGAGTTCCAGCTACTATGGTGGGCGCATCATAACCAAGCCAGCAGTGCTCATTAGCGCACCCCTAAGAATAATGGAACTTTTCTGAAAGCAGGAAGACTGTTGTGAGGGTCATCAGAGGTACCAACCTTAGCTGTCCAGGCCTGGAGGCTTCATTGGAGGGCTGATTCAGTGGTGCAGATTCAGCTTCTTTCTCCTCTCTCCCGGCCCCTGCCTCATCTTGCCCCACAGTGACCCGAGGCTCAGACATCCACTCCACTTACTGCAGGAGTGTATCATACATTTTAGTTTCATTTCAGATTCTCGGCTAAGGCAGTCAGTCATTGATGACTAGCACAATCAAATTGTCAATAGGGTCATGATTGTGCATTCATTGCTAACAAATGGAATAACTACAGTAAAAAACATCCTAAAAACTATACACCATAATGGGAACAGAACTTTATAATTGCCCTAGGACTTTAACAGATACAGGGAACAAGTGTAACATGCTAGTTAGATATGATGCACTTAACCACAAGTCCTTCTGTTACTTATGAGGTCTGACAGTTCATTTGACAGCAGTAGCCTTTGTCAGTCCACGTATGACATTTTTCAATATGAGCCCGGTGCAAGAAGAAAAAGCCTAAAAGCTAGCCAGCGACGGTTGCTACCGGGCGTTGGCTGGTAATATCAGTGTCAAGCAAGCTAACTTGCAAAATAGCCTTTGTTTGCCAATCAAGCGAGTAATCCTGGAACTTAACACATGTAAAAGTTAACAACTGTGATAACCAGCTCCTCGACATTGAAAGAAAACAGTGACCGATGATTCTTCTTTAACTCGAGTTTTATAAGAAATCGGATAGACATGACAGTTGCTAGCTACTGTACCGACAAATTGCTCCTTCATTCAAATGAGGTTTCCACTAGCTAGATGTATCGTCAAAATTCGTCAAAACAAAAACTAGCTTTTTGGTCTTAATTTAAGGTTATCAGTGTGGTTAAGGTTAGGTTTAAAATCAGATTTTAATAAGATAAATTCTAGAAATAGGCAGAGTTTATGACTTGCAGTGACGCGACGACCCTAACAAATGGGGTTTCTTTTCCGGCGCATTCCAAATTTCGTCATTAACCTAAGATGTAAACAAACCAGCATCTGTTCATCTTTTGTATGGCTATTTGTTTGTACTGTAGCGGTTTGTTGGCTTTTGTAAATTCTAGTGTTCATTAAACAAGAAAAACAGCATAGGATCAGTTTTGACAATGGTTTACAAATGTTGACATGTGTATCTCAGTTGGTAGAGCATGGCGTTTGAAACGCCAGGGTTGTGGGTTCGATTCCCACGGGGGGGCCAGTATGAAAATGTATACACTCACTAACTAAGTCGCTCTGGAGAAGAGCGTCTGCTAAATGACTAAAATGTTTACAATAAATAATTGCATTAATACATTGAATGATAGGTCTGCACTTTAAGCGTGATCCATAGGTTGTCAGGCTGCTGTATGAAGGTTGTAGAAAAAGCTGAGTTCAGATCCTCTCATCTGATGGATACCATGGAAAAATTATACCAAATGTGACGGGGTGCAACATTAACTTGGCACAGCCAGGCTCAATAATATATGTCAACAAGTTGGTACATCTAAATAAAAACAGTCAACATCAGTTTATTCCCAGCTTGATAGAAAACCTTTTATTTCCCCATTCACAAAAGTAAACTAGAAAGTGATACATCAGTTAACATCCCACCTGCACCACAGTTAAGAAAAAAAAAAACGCTACTACATCAAATTCATTCGTCAAGAATGATTTCAAGATTGAAACAAAATGTATACAGGAGTTTTCACAATTCTTCCCATCTTTCCCCAGGTATGCACCATGCTGTCTCCCACTCTCAGTACTACCACTTTACATTACATTTGACAAAATAAAATGGTCCGCTATAAAACAACGAAAACAAAAAAATTCTTTAAATAAAAAGAACATTACAGGGAAAAAACTTTTAAAGTCTAAAAAAAACTTTGTGCGCTTCCTCCGCACAAAAAAAAAATCATTGAAAACAAAAATGCAAAATTTTTTAAAAAAAATGGTATATCTCGTAAGTCTTGAAAAAAATGTTTTAAAAATGCCTCAACTTGTGGAAAACTGTTAAACTTGAGAATAAGAGTTGGTTTTGAGATCAATATTTCGCTACTATTATTTAAGAGGCGATTTAACCTCAACGTTTTTACCCAATTCTTCCTAATAGGACCAGTATCACATTGGTAGCATTGTACAAAGACTGTGGCAATTAGCCAGTAGATCTGTGCACACCTATCCTACTCACAACCTTGATGGTGGACCGGACCCCCATCCACCAACACTTGCATATCAGTTTACCCCTTTAGGATACGATTAAAGTGTCACCCTCTAAGGGTGGAAGCGGTTTACAAAAGTGTGTAAAGATTCAAAATACTGTCAAATCAACCACTTATGTACCAGTGGGTTGGTGTTAAAAATCCATGTTACATGGATAAATGCTCATCTTACTTGAAATTGCATTTTCATAGGTTAGCCTGATGCTTAAGGCAGTGTTATCTTCACATTTTGAATATCAATTTTCATTGTGCGAGATAAAGATGGCCATAGTTTCATTACTGACTTGCTAAATCTCAGCAAAGCTTTGAAAGAGACCTGAGGTCCGACTGGCAATCACAAACTGAGATGGTAAAATATGACAAGTGTTGATGATACACAGGGTCTCTCCAACATCTCGGGTGTCAGCTACATGTCCATCACCTTGGGGGAGGGCCTGTGCAAAGTTAAGTCTATGCGGGACACACGCATACAGTAAAATACAGACAGACACACAATCAACAATAGTCAGACGTGACAGAGACCTTCAGACACTGACAAAATACAAGACCATCACTCCCTCACGAATGTTAACGTATCCAATCTCAGGGGAAACAAAAAGAGAATTAGGATCTGTATAATACCCAGACATATCCTACACAGTATCAATGGGATGTGGAAAACAGCAAATGGCGACAACAGCCACCAACTGGACTAGAGCCAGTTTAACCCTGGACTTCTCGTACTTCTTCTCAGCCTGACTAAAGATGGCCGCCCACTTTTATTATCACAGCTTGCGTGGGCGAGTTGCAATTGATGTAGCTCTTAAAGACGTCCTCCTAGAAGGGCATGTATCTGCCTTTAATGAGATAGTTGAATAAAACGATTACGGAAAAGCATGCAACTCAAATTTGTTCGGGACCATGGACGAGATATGTATTATTAAGATAGCAGACTGACTAGTCAAGGTATTTTTCCATCTTTGCGGACTTACAGCAGTCTCCCCTACTATTCATCATTCTGCTCACGTAGAAAAGGCTGGGAAACATTATGTTGGACTGTCTGGAAACACTAGTGGGATGTACACAGGATCCAAAATACTTGATGTCTGTCAGTCCTTCCCTTTTAAAAGGAGCAATCTGATTGCTAAATGCATTTTTTGACTTTCAAATGAATTATAGCCATTGATTCTTGAATATAACATATGCCTAATGATCTTAGCTCAACTGTCGTACCCCATCAGAACCCAAAGTAAGCTTTTTTACTCATTTTTTGTAAATAAAATGTATACAAATACTGTATTGCCTCAAAACATGGTTAAAACAATCATCTTGATATCATGGACAGTCCAGTCCCTGTATCCATTGCTCTGTCCGTGAGTCGTTACACTTCTCCAGCCACATCCCTCAGCTGTTTACCAAATCAGTGGCGGGTTAGCTGTTTGGTATTATTCAAACTGCAGATTGACCATTTAACTCTATGGTCCTCAACTTACCCTTTAAATCAATTCAATCCATCTGATTGGATGCCTTACTTATTAACCTAGCATATGAACGGCGGCATTAGCCTTAACTTCTCATTTTGACCATTGCTTATACAATAACTTCATTATATCGTGTCTTACTTCAGCAAACCATAACAGTCCTAAAATCATTTGACAAAAAGAAATAGAGCCTATACCCTTAAGATTGGTATATTTACTGTCTATCATTTAAGTGAGATTCTACATTCTTACAAATAAAAGTGCATAATATCAAAAAGAACCAGCAACTGATGTATTATAAAGTTCTTACTGATGCCTTATCGCTCTAATCCATTGTAAATACTATAAAAACAAAAGAAGTAGCAGCAAAACGGATTATGATTTTTACTACAGTATAACTGGTTGCAGGGAGTTATTCTTCTATAAGATCGATTGAACCTTGCGTCTCTGAACTATGACATTACTGGATCTCGACACTAAAGAAACCCACCCGTTTGCTATGTGTTAAGTATGGCGACAGGGGAGGGCTGGTCACAGAATAGGGGGGGGGGGGGGGGGGGGGGGGGGGGGGTGCAAATAACCTAGTGTTGTTACCTTTGAACGATAAGCCTACTACCATTGTTTCCGAATGTAAAAATCTACTTGTAACAACAAGATACGCACACACACGTCACTTAACAAGAGGTGATCAATGCCATGCAAACCAATCAAACCCTTACTGGAGCTAGTCAAAAGGAAAAAATGACATTTGTCAGCACTACAGTAAATTATTTCTGGAAGGATTGTGTCGGTCTGTTGTAGTAAGAACTGGGAAAGGAAAAAAACAGACTACATTTAAATTACTATTTTTCTTAGAAGGGAAACAAATATCATTTCAAAAATAAATTCTGCAAGCAAGGGAAGAAAAATTGTCTAAATGTACCTGTGTTTTATAGAGATAAGTCCCAATATGAACAGGTACGGTAATGTACGGTCTATGAAAGCTTGTGTAGTATAGGTGCAAATTACTCTTCTAGAACTCTCCCCGTTATTATGTTGAAAAGCCTCTCATGCTTTCCCCTCTGAGGCTAGCCTTCAGGCAGCTATTATAAAACATCAGCGCTACATCTGTATCCCACCCACAGCCTTTGTATAGATTCTCAAATGACTATTGTAGAATGTATGCAATGTGCTTGTGCACCGATTGGTCGTTCGGGCCAGGGCAACTACCTTCCCTGCCTGAACTAAGTCTAAGTGTGCCAGTCTACATATGTGTGTTGTGTTTTTAAACTGTGGCTCCTGGGCTGGTTTTGAGATTTCTCCTTAATTTACTTATTCCGGGGTTGCTGCCACCCCGCCCGCCCTCCCACCACAGCTCTCCTCTAACCTTGGTTATCGAATGGATCTAGTGCCGTTCGTAGCCGGCCCGTGCATTTGCTTATCCTACCCTCCCTCCCCCTCTTATAGAACCCCTGTGGCTTTGGTTACATCGGAGTATGTCGTTGGATTTAAGTTTGGCGTTTGAAATCCAGAGGTTTTCTCCCCAGTTTCCCTCCCAGTAACCCTCCCTCCCACCCACCCTCACAGAGACACACAGGGTCGTGGGACTTGTAGTCTGAATGGACAGGAGCCAGGGCCAATCCCTCTCCTCCTCCCCCCACGATCAGGGCAGTGCAGTAACACAGATGGATGAGTTCCCCCAGTAACCCTCCCGTAGATTAAACCTGGAGAGGGGACAAAGTGGGAGAAGAGGAGCGAATAGGAAGAGGAGGGAGAAAAGGGAAAACAAGTTAATTTTTTATTCAGGTGAACAGAGAGAACATGGACTAAACATAACATTAGGATATGGGGAAAGGAAGCCGATCCTAGATCAGTTCTACCTAAAGTGAGTCAATACCTGACAGGCGTGTCCTGTGTCGGCGAGGGGAACTACACGCCATAGCAGGCCGACAGCCTCTCCTTCAGCAGAGGGGGGAATTGTTCTGAGAACTGCTGCCAGTTCTCCTCGCCCACCTGGTCCTTGAAGCCATGGAGGATCTACAACACAACAAACAAAGCTTGTAAATCAAGGTGGGGTATACGGTCAGTGGTCTTCAGCGACTGGCAAAGCTGGTTCTTTTGTTTTCTTGGCACCACACATCTCAGAGTCTAAAATATCCACAATATATGTTCAGATTTCGAATGTCTGTAGATAAAGATCATCACAGGGTGTGGAGGAAGAGGAGCATGAGGTCTACTTAGAACCCAACAGTCTAGAACCTTTGTATCCTGAGGATCAAACGTATGGGTGAGATTTGTTGAGGTATATATCTCCCGAGTGCTTACCTTGTAGAACATGTCTCTCAGATCGTCCTTAGGACTAACCCAGGAGGCCACAGCATCACAGAAGAAGATGAAGTCCTGAAGAGAGACACCAAAGTTCATATGACAACATCCTCATCATCCAACATTCATCCACATTCCCTTACTCATTTAGGTTCCAATCATCCTTCAATGACACCAAACACGCTTGGTTGAATACAATGTGCCTTCTCTCACCAGAGTTACCTCAGAGTCTAAATTACATCCACACTAGTTATTCAGATTAAGAATGTCTGTTTAGAGTTCATAATAGACAAGAGTGGAGAGGCAACACACTCGGGGAACAAAAATATTTAAAGTATTGGCCCCAGTAAATCCATATTCCTGTGTGGAACAGTGTTCACCTGAACCACTCCAGCGGGGTTGACGCCGATCATCATGCAGATTCCACGGAACGCAGAGTCTTTCTCCCCATTGTCCCTGATGTTCCTCAACGATGTGCACCAGGGTCTGATGAACTGTTGCAGCATGGGAGACACCTCCTGTGGACACACGCACCCCAGCCTGCCGATCGTAATGGCTGTCCCAAGAGAAACAGAGGAGTGATTATGTGTCAATAACTACAGGGCCATACCAATAAGTTTTAGAACAATAACTTCAAAGTCAGATCTCCTAGTCTCACACTCAGAGCTTTAACTTCCACATTGAACATCTCAGATTTCAAATGTCTGTTAAAGAGATCATAATAGGACTGGAGCCTAAATACTTGTTGTTTTCCATGGGGGTAGGGATTTAAACATGCGTCTGTGTGAGTACCGTACCTGTATTCTCCAGGAGGGTCTTGGGTGTGTTAGGTCTGTTGATTATCTCCACCAGGTTGTTGAGGACCAGCCCAACATAGGGTTGCATGTCTGATCCTACAGTCACCAGGGAAAACGCAACACAATCAACCAGCTGGAAATTATGGCATTGCTCTCCATACATTTACATTTTAGTGATTTAGCAGACGCTCTTATCCAGAGCGACTTACAGTTAGTGCATACATTACTTTTTCTTTTTCCCCATACCCCCCGTGGGAATCGAACCCACAACCCTGGCGTTGCAAACGGCGTGCTCTACGAACTGAGCTACATCCCCTGCCGGCCATTCCCTCCCCTACCCTAGACGACGCTGGACCAATTGTGCGCTGCCCCATGGGTCTCCCCGTCGCGGCCGGCTACGACAGAGCCTGGATTCAAACCAGGATCTCTAGTGGCACAGCTAGCACTGCGATGCAGTGCCTTAGACCACTGCGCCACTCGGGAGTATACCCATACCTGGGTTCAATTACTATTGGAAATCTTTCAGATACTTTGAGCATTTTCTCTAGCCTGCCTGGAGTGGCAAATGGACGGGGTTTAAACTTTGGGGCCTTTTCTATAGGTTCCTTTCATATACAATCAAGCACAGCTTAAGTATTTCAAATGATTTCAAATAGAATTTGAAGCCAGGTCTACAGTCAACTCCAACATCAGCGCTATCAAGTATTCACTGTCATTTAGAGTATTTATAGTGTCATCATTACAATCACTTCTATCAAATCACCATTACCAACATGGATTACTGATGGAGTGAATCTGGTGGTGTTGCTACAAAAATAGGGTTCTCGTGATTTCTGGCCAATTTCCCAAAATGGCCACCATCTTTAGCCATGGTTCCCCCTAGCTCACCTGAGCAATCTCCTTCATCCTTCTTGTCAGTTCTCCCTGTAGAGGTATTTTAGCACAATGTCACTACACTGTACTACTGCTGGTTGGCCTGCCATGCTTGCACACACCTGCAGGCCTCACTGTTAGAGTCCAATGGTAGCAGGACCCATCACTCAGGCATCTTGCAGCACACTGTAGTCAAGGGAGATTGACTCACTCGTATGACAGAGGGTCATTGAGTTCATGGGTTATAGAGCAAGGGCAGCGAATCAAATCTGACAGAGTTAGCTACATGCTCCATCCAAAAGACAGCAAACCCTAGCAGCATACACCATAACACACGTGACACCATTACCATCTGTGTGTTCATCCCTACACCGGGACCTCTGTCACACACTCAGACCTTTAACTTCCACATAGAACATTTCAGATTTCGAATGTCTGTTAGAGAGATCATCATAGGTGCAGACTGGTTGTTGGTTGTATGTGTGTGTTATTATGAGAATTAGTAAGGGAGGGAGAGAGCGAGGGAAAGCAGAGATAGTGAGATGCATTTAAGAGTGGTTGTGAGGTAAAGAGTGCAGGTGTGTAATAAATTAAGACTGCAGTCAGGACACACAGCAAGCAGTAACTCACCCATCTGCATGGCGATCTCGCCAATGGCCCAGGTAGCGTTGTTACACACAGAGATGAACTCTGGGTTCAGGTTCAGGCCCAGGATCGGCATGAACTCAGCTGGATGGGGGATACACAGGTTTATATACAAACACTACACACAACTTGTCACACAATCCCTGCTATACACAAACTCCCACAAACACACAGGTTAAACAAACAGTACACTCAACAAGTCACACAATCACTGGTATACACACTCACCAATATACAAATAATACCTAAACTACTAGTCACTCCAACACACATACCTCCTCAGCGCCAGCAACTGGTAATCTAGTCCTGATTATGAATCTACTTTTTCATGACATTGACAGGTAATTTCTTCATTACTATGGTCGACTCACCAATGCAGGGTTTGACGTGAGGGAAGCAGGCCTTGGTCAGGTCTCCCAGCAGAGCAAAGGAGCTCTGTCTCACCTCTGGCATAGGGTCCTGGTGGAACGCACAGTTAGTCTCAAAAACACACACACATCTGGTTAAAACAAATATTTGGAACTTTTAACACTCCAAACAGCAATAATACCAACTTTCATACAAACCAGTTTCAGTTTTTTTTTTGCGAACGACAGAGCAGCACTGTATAAACTATACGGCAACTTATCCTCCTTCAAATTGACTAATTTAACATTTTCAAAATGGCCACTGACAGTTGGCACTTGGATGCCCCTGTGTACCTGCATGCACTGGAAGAGCAGGGTCATGATGTTGCTGCGGGCAACCAGCTGGTCCACACTGCCCCCCAAGCCCTCGGCCAGGCCACTCAGCAGGTCCAGGGCCACAATCATAAAGTCCTTGTCAGGGGCTTCGTACTGGTCAGGGTGCTGGTTGTACATCTGGAGAGAGAGGAGACGGACAGAGAGTCATCAGTGGGTTGTTGTTCACAGTTAGTATATGAAGCTAAAACGCTGTACGATTTGTTTAATAAATTGCTGAATAAACGCAGTTTGTTTACGCTAACTTATGTTTTGTGGTGTAGAATAAATTGACAATTAACATTTGTTTATATTCTAACTTATAATTAATATCTGAAACCAGGTTTCCATCCAACCTTTTCATGCCAGTAAAGTACATGTTGGATTAAAAAAAAAATCACGACAGGCCTGATGGAAAGAGCAAATTTGTCTGTAACCTTTCCAAACGTCGACAAAACAAAATTCGCTAGACAAGGTGGAATCTTTTTGCTTCGGTAAAATGTATTATGCGAGAAATGGCGGTGGAAACACTTCTGCGCAAATATTGATATTACCATCATACCGAAGAGTCACACGATGGCATGTGTGGTCCTCCCACTACGACGTGGGAAAGCATGCAGTTTATTAGGCTACAGATTAAATAAATTATGATGAATTTCACAGGGTGGTGAAAGTGCAAGGTGATGAGCTTGATGCTCCTTTCCAATAAATATCGAGGGTCTTATTCTGGTGACATGATGATCGATGCTTGGCTGCCATTTGAAAACTAAAAATATTCTCGCTCTTTTGTCCATAATAATCTCATCATGTAGGCCAACGGTCACCAACCTTTTCTGAGTCAAGATCACTTTCTGAATCAAAATGGAAGCTGAGATCTACAGCTCTGATTTTTTTTTAAACATGACTTAAAAAACCTAAGCCTATGCAACATTAACCCCCCCAAAAAATAACAGTTCTGTAGCAATGAGGTTTGTGCAGTAGGCTATAGGCCCAATACATTATCACTGCATATTGGCTATGCTTGAATTACCAATTCTGACCATTAAAAAAAAATATATATATTTAAAAAATGTAGGTATATGATCACACTGGCAATATATCATTTGTTGTATTACTTGTGAGGCACAGCTAAGTGAGCATAATTTGTATATATTTTTTACTGGACTGATGGCCTGCATCCGATGATCAGTCTGAGGGGAGGAATGAGCAGCGGTGAGGCTGCCTCTCACCCGACTCACCATCTCTCCCTCACTCCGCTGAGAAAAGGGGACAGTCTTCCAGCTGATGGCAAAACTCAAGTCGCACTGCATTATTTCTGCCTCATGCACCAATTCATGTTGTTACTGCTATAAACAGAGAAAGTGAAATATTCCTCGATAATATAAAAGATAAGCTGCTAATAATAACAAGCTTATCGGCACACATGGCTTATAAAAAAGGTTTGAACAAAGTGTTGACAGTGATTAATAACTTAAACATTAATTTACTTATAAAACCAGTAGCTCTATGCTGTATTCATTGAGTCGCTCTCTAGTCATGGTTTTAAACCTTTGCTGTGTGTTCGAGGCTTCTTTTTGCAGTCTATGGCTTGAGGAAACTGTGCAGACAGTGATCTGAGCTATCTAATGGCCAGCGATAGTCCTATAGGTGCACTTGATTTGCTCTCTGGGCCTGCCGGGTAGGTGGAGTTCTACCTTCAGACACATGAAATGGTTCAAAATGGGAACACTGCCTTCCCGACGCTAGGGCTGCTGAATCAAGTGCACCTACCGCCAACAGCGTGAAACTAATTTTAAAAATCATCAGTAGAGTTGACTGGTAATATCAGTGTCAAGCAAGCTAACTTGCAAAATAGCCTTTGTTTGCCAATCAAGCGAGTAATCCTGGAACTTAACACATGTAAAAGTTAACAACTGTGATAACCAGCTCCTCGACATTGAAAGAAAACAGTGACCGATGATTCTTCTTTAACTCGAGTTTTATAAGAAATCGGATAGACATGACAGTTGCTAGCTACTGTACCGACAAATTGCTCCTTCATTCAAATGAGGTTTCCACTAGCTAGATGTATCGTCAAAATTCGTCAAAACAAAAACTAGCTTTTTGGTCTTAATTTAAGGTTATCAGTGTGGTTAAGGTTAGGTTTAAAATCAGATTTTAATAAGATAAATTCTAGAAATAGGCAGGGTTTATGACTTGCAGTGACGCGACGACCCTAACAAATGGGGTTTCTTTTCCGGCGCATTCCAAATTTCGTCATTAACCTAAGATGTAAACAAACCAGCATCTGTTCATCTTTTGTATGGCTATTTGTTTGTACTGTAGCGGTTTGTTGGCTTTTGTAAATTCTAGTGTTCATTAAACAAGAAAAACAGCATAGGATCAGTTTTGACAATGGTTTACAAATGTTGACATGTGTATCTCAGTTGGTAGAGCATGGCGTTTGAAACGCCAGGGTTGTGGGTTCGATTCCCACGGGGGGGCCAGTATGAAAATGTATACACTCACTAACTGTAAGTCGCTCTGGAGAAGAGCGTCTGCTAAATGACTAAAATGTTTACAATAAAGAATTGCATTAATACATTGAATGATAGGTCTGCACTTTAAGCGTGATCCATAGGTTGTCAGGCTGCTGTATGAAGGTTGTAGAAAAAGCTGAGTTCAGATCCTCTCATCTGATGGATACCATGGAAAAATTATACCAAATGTGACGGGGTGCAACATTAACTTGGCACAGCCAGGCTCAATAATATATGTCAACAAGTTGGTACATCTAAATAAAAACAGTCAACATCAGTTTATTCCCAGCTTGATAGAAAACCTTTTATTTCCCCATTCACAAAAGTAAACTAGAAAGTGATACATCAGTTAACATCCCACCTGCACCACAGTTAAGAAAAAAAACAAACGCTACTACATCAAATTCATTCGTCAAGAATGATTTCAAGATTGAAACAACATTTATACAGGAGTTTTCACAATTCTTCCCATCTTTCCCCAGGTATGCACCATGCTGTCTCCCACTCTCAGTACTACCACTTTACATTACATTTGACAAAATAAAATGGTCCGCTATAAAACAACGAAAACAAAAAAATTCTTTAAATAAAAAGAACATTACAGGGAAAAAACTTTTAAAGTCTAAAAAAAACTTTGTGCGCTTCCTCCGCACAAAAAAAAGCATTGAAAACAAAAAAGCAAATTTTTAAAAAAAAATTGTATATCTCGTAAGTCTTGAAAAAAATGTTTTAAAAATGCCTCAACTTGTGGAAAACTGTTAAACTTGAGAATAAGAGTTGGTTTTGAGATCAATATTTCGCTACTATTATTTAAGAGGCGATTTAACCTCAACGTTTTTACCCAATTCTTCCTAATAGGACCAGTATCACATTGGTAGCATTGTACAAAGACTGTGGCAATTAGCCAGTAGATCTGTGCACACCTATCCTACTCACAACCTTGATGGTGGACCGGACCCCCATCCACCAACACTTGCATATCAGTTTACCCCTTTAGGATACGATTAAAGTGTCACCCTCTAAGGGTGGAAGCGGTTTACAAAAGTGTGTAAAGATTCAAAATACTGTCAAATCAACCACTTATGTACCAGTGGGTTGGTGTTAAAAATCCATGTTACATGGATAAATGCTCATCTTACTTGAAATTGCATTTTCATAGGTTAGCCTGATGCTTAAGGCAGTGTTATCTTCACATTTTGAATATCAATTTTCATTGTGCGAGATAAAGATGGCCATAGCTTCATTACTGACTTGCTAAATCTCAGCAAAGCTTTGAAAGAGACCTGAGGTCCGACTGGCAATCACAAACTGAGATGGTAAAATATGACAAGTGTTGATGATACACAGGGTCTCTCCAACATCTCGGGTGTCAGCTACATGTCCATCACCTTGGGGGAGGGCCTGTGCAAAGTTAAGTCTATGCGGGACACACGCATACAGTAAAATACAGACAGACACACAATCAACAATAGTCAGACGTGACAGAGACCTTCAGACACTGACAAAATACAAGACCATCACTCCCTCACGAATGTTAACGTATCCAATCTCAGGGGAAACAAAAAGAGAATTAGGATCTGTATAATACCCAGACATATCCTACACAGTATCAATGGGTTGTGGAAAACAGCAAATGGCGACAACAGCCACCAACTGGACTAGAGCCAGTTTAACCCTGGACTTCTCGTACTTCTTCTCAGCCTGACTAAAGATGGCCGCCCACTTTTATTATCACAGCTTGCGTGGGCGAGTTGCAATTGATGTAGCTCTTAAAGACGTCCTCCTAGAAGGGCATGTATCTGCCTTTAATGAGATAGTTGAATAAAACGATTACGGAAAAGCATGCAACTCAAATTTGTTCGGGACCATGGACGAGATATGTATTATTAAGATAGCAGACTGACTAGTCAAGGTATTTTTCTATCTTTGCGGACTTACAGCAGTCTCCCCTACTATTCATCATTCTGCTCACGTAGAAAAGGCTGGGAAACATTATGTTGGACTGTCTGGAAACACTTGTGGGATGTACACAGGATCCAAAATACTTGATGTCTGTCAGTCCTTCCCTTTTAAAAGGAGCAATCTGATTGCTAAATGCATTTTTTGACTTTCAAATGAATTATAGCCATTGATTCTTGAATATAACATATGCCTAATGATCTTAGCTCAACTGTCGTACCCCATCAGAACCCAAAGTAAGCTTTTTTACTCATTTTTTGGAAATAAAATGTATACAAATACTGTATTGCCTCAAAACATGGTTAAAACAATCATCTTGATATCATGGACAGTCCAGTCCCTGTATCCATTGCTCTGTCCGTGAGTCGTTACACTTCTCCAGCCACATCCCTCAGCTGTTTACCAAATCAGTGGCGGGTTAGCTGTTTGGTATTATTCAAACTGCAGATTGACCATTTAAATCTATGGTCCTCAACTTACCCTTTAAATCAATTCCATCCATCTGATTGGATGCCTTACTTATTAACCTAGCATATGAACGGCGGCATTAGCCTTAACTTCTCATTTTGACCATTGCTTATACAATAACTTCATTATATCGTGTCTTACTTCAGCAAACCATAACAGTCCTAAAATCATTTGACAAAAAGAAATAGAGCCTATACCCTTAAGATTGGTATATTTACTGTCTATCATTTAAGTGAGATTCTACATTCTTACAAATAAAAGTGCATAATATCAAAAAGAACCAGCAACTGATGTATTATAAAGTTCTTACTGATGCCTTATCGCTCTAATCCATTGTAAATACTATAAAAACAAAAGAAGTAGCAGCAAAACGGATTATGATTTTTACTACAGTATAACTGGTTGCAGGGAGTTATTCTTCTATAAGATCGATTGAACCTTGCGTCTCTGAACTATGACATTACTGGATCTCGACACTAAAGAAACCCACCCGTTTGCTATGTGTTAAGTATGGCGACAGGGGAGGGCTGGTCACAGAATAAGGGGGGGGGGGGGGGGGGGGGGGGGCGCAAATAACCTAGTGTTGTTACCTTAGAACGATAAGCCTACTACCATTGTTTCCGAATGTAAAACTACTTGTAACAACAAGATACGCACACACACGTCACTTAACAAGAGGTGATCAATGCCATGCAAACCAATCAAACCCTTACTAGAGCTAGTCAAAAGGAAAAAATGACATTTGTCAGCACTACAGTAAATGATTTCTGGAAGGATTGTGTCGGTCTGTTGTAGTAAGAACTGGGAAAGGAAAAAAAACAGACTACATTTAAATTACTATTTTTCTTAGAAGGGAAACAAATATCATTTCAAAAATAAAAATAAATTCTGCAAGCAAGGGAAGAAAAATTGTCTAAATGTACCTGTGTTTTATAGAGATAAGTCCCAATATGAACAGGTACGGTAATGTACGGTCTATGAAAGCTTGTGTAGTATAGGTGCAAATTACTCTTCTAGAACTCTCCCCGTTATTATGTTGAAAAGCCTCTCATGCTTTCCCCTCTGAGGCTAGCCTTCAGGCAGCTATTATAAAACATTAGCGCTACATCTGTATCCCACCCACAGCCTTTGTATAGATTCTCAAATGACTATTGTAGAATGTATGCAATGTGCTTGTGCACCGATTGGTCGTTCGGGCCAGGGCAACTACCTTCCCTGCCTGAACTAAGTCTAAGTGTGCCAGTCTACATATGTGTGTTGTGTTTTTAAACTGTGGCTCCTGGGCTGGTTTTGAGATTTCTCCTTAATTTACTTATTCCGGGGTTGCTGCCACCCCGCCCGCCCTCCCACCACAGCTCTCCTCTAACCTTGGTTATCGAATGGATCTAGTGCCGTTCGTAGCCGGCCCGTGCATTTGCTTATCCTACCCTCCCTCCCCCTCTTATAGAACCCCTGTGGCTTTGGTTACATCGGAGTATGTCGTTGGATTTAAGTTTGGCGTTTGAAATCCAGAGGTTTTCTCCCCAGTTTCCCTCCCAGTAACCCTCCCTCCCACCCACCCTCACAGAGACACACAGGGTCGTGGGACTTGTAGTCTGAATGGACAGGAGCCAGGGCCAATCCCTCTCCTCCTCCCCCCACGATCAGGGCAGTGCAGTAACACAGATGGATGAGTTCCCCCAGTAACCCTCCCGTAGATTAAACCTGGAGAGGGGACAAAGTGGGAGAAGAGGAGCGAATAGGAAGAGGAGGGAGAAAAGGGAAAACAAGTTAATTTTTTATTCAGGTGAACAGAGAGAACATGGACTAAACATAACATTAGGATATGGGGAAAGGAAGCCGATCCTAGATCAGTTCTACCTAAAGTGAGTCAATACCTGACAGGCGTGTCCTGTGTCGGCGAGGGGAACTACACGCCATAGCAGGCCGACAGCCTCTCCTTCAGCAGAGGGGGGAATTGTTCTGAGAACTGCTGCCAGTTCTCCTCGCCCACCTGGTCCTTGAAGCCATGGAGGATCTACAACACAACAAACAAAGCTTGTAAATCAAGGTGGGGTATACGGTCAGTGGTCTTCAGCGACTGGCAAAGCTGGTTCTTTTGTTTTCTTGGCACCACACATCTCAGAGTCTAAAATATCCACAATATATGTTCAGATTTCGAATGTCTGTAGATAAAGATCATCACAGGGTGTGGAGGAAGAGGAGCATGAGGTCTACTTAGAACCCAACAGTCTAGAACCTTTGTATCCTGAGGATCAAACGTATGGGTGAGATTTGTTGAGGTATATATCTCCCGAGTGCTTACCTTGTAGAACATGTCTCTCAGATCGTCCTTAGGACTAACCCAGGAGGCCACAGCATCACAGAAGAAGATGAAGTCCTGAAGAGAGACACCAAAGTTCATATGACAACATCCTCATCATCCACATTCCCTTACTCATTTAGGTTCCAATCATCCTTCAATGACACCAAACACGCTTGGTTGAATACAATGTGCCTTCTCTCACCAGAGTTACCTCAGAGTCTAAATTACATCCACACTAGTTATTCAGATTAAGAATGTCTGTTTAGAGTTCATAATAGACAAGAGTGGAGAGGCAACACACTCGGGGAACAAAAATATTTAAAGTATTGGCCCCAGTAAATCCATATTCCTGTGTGGAACAGTGTTCACCTGAACCACTCCAGCGGGGTTGACGCCGATCATCATGCAGATTCCACGGAACGCAGAGTCTTTCTCCTCATTGTCCCTGATGTTCCTCAACGATGTGCACCAGGGTCTGATGAACTGTTGCAGCATGGGAGACACCTCCTGTGGACACACGTACCCCAGCCTGCCGATCGTAATGGCTGTCCCAAGAGAAACAGAGGAGTGATTATGTGTCAATAACTACAGGGCCATACCAATAAGTTTTAGAACAATAACTTCAAAGTCAGATCTCCTAGTCTCACACTCAGAGCTTTAACTTCCACATTGAACATCTCAGATTTCAAATGTCTGTTAAAAGAGATCATAATAGGAGTGGACTGGAGCCTAAATACTTGTTGTTTTCCATGGGGGTAGGGATTTAAACATGTGTCTGTGTGAGTACCGTACCTGTATTCTCCAGGAGGGTCTTGGGTGTGTTAGGTCTGTTGATTATCTCCACCAGGTTGTTGAGGACCAGCCCAACATAGGGTTGCATGTCTGATCCTACAGTCACCAGGGAAAACACAACACAATCAACCAGCTGGAAATTATGGCATTGCTCTCCATACATTTACATTTTAGTGATTTAGCAGACGCTCTTATCCAGAGCGACTTACAGTTAGTGCATACATTACTTTTTCTTTTTCCCCATACCCCCCGTGGGAATCGAACCCACAACCCTGGCGTTGCAAACGGCGTGCTCTACGAACTGAGCTACATCCCCTGCCGGCCATTCCCTCCCCTACCCTAGACGACGCTGGACCAATTGTGCGCTGCCCCATGGGTCTCCCGGTCGCGGCCGGCTACGACAGAGCCTGGATTCAAACCAGGATCTCTAGTGGCACAGCTAGCACTGCGATGCAGTGCCTTAGACCACTGCGCCACTCGGGAGTATACCCATACCTGGGTTCAATTACTATTGGAAATCTTTCAGATACTTTGAGCATTTTCTCTAGCCTGCCTGGAGTGGCAAATGGACGGGGTTTAAACTTTGGGGCCTTTTCTATAGGTTCCTTTCATATACAATCAAGCACAGCTTAAGTATTTCAAATAGAATTTGAAGCCAGGTCTACAGTCAACTCCAACATCAGCGCTATCAAGTATTCACTGTCATTTAGAGTATTTATAGTGTCATCATTACAATCACTTCTATCAAATCACCATTACCAACATGGATTACTGATGGAGTGAATCTGGTGGTGTTGCTACAAAAATAGGGTTCTCATGATTTCTGGCCAATTTCCCAAAATGGCCACCATCTTTAGCCATGGTTCCCCCTAGCTCACCTGAGCAATCTCCTTCATCCTTCTTGTCAGTTCTCCCTGTAGAGGTATTTTAGCACAATGTCACTACACTGTACTACTGCTGGTTGGCCTGCCATGCTTGCACACACCTGCAGGCCTCACTGTTAGAGTCCAATGGTAGCAGGACCCATCACTCAGGCATCTTGCAGCACACTGTAGTCAAGGGAGATTGACTCACTCGTATGACAGAGGGTCATTGAGTTCATGGGTTATAGAGCAAGGGCAGCGAATCAAATCTGACAGAGTTAGCTACATGCTCCATCCAAAAGACAGCAAACCCTAGCAGCATACACCATAACACACGTGACACCATTACCATCTGTGTGTTCATCCCTACACCGGGACCTCTGTCACACACTCAGACCTTTAACTTCCACATAGAACATTTCAGATTTCGAATGTCTGTTAGAGAGATCATCATAGGTGCAGACTGGTTGTTGGTTGTCTGTGTGTGTTATTATGAGAATTAGTAAGGGAGGGAGAGAGCGAGGGAAAGCAGAGATAGTGAGATGCATTTAAGAGTGGTTGTGAGGTAAAGAGTGCAGGTGTGTAATAAATTAAGACTGCAGTCAGGACACACAGCAAGCAGTAACTCACCCATCTGCATGGCGATCTCTCCAATGGCCCAGGTAGCGTTGTTACACACAGAGATGAACTCTGGGTTCAGGTTCAGGCCCAGGATCGGCATGAACTCAGCTGGATGGGGGATACACAGGTTTATATACAAACACTACACACAACTTGTCACACAATCCCTGCTATACACAAACTCCCACAAACACACAGGTTAAACAAACAGTACACTCAACAAGTCACACAATCACTGGTATACACACTCACCAATATACAAATAATACCTAAACTACTAGTCACTCCAACACACATACCTCCTCAGCGCCAGCAACTGGTAATCTAGTCCTGATTATGAATCTACTTTTTCATGACATTGACAGGTAATTTCTTCATTACTATGGTCGACTCACCAATGCAGGGTTTGACGTGAGGGAAGCAGGCCTTGGTCAGGTCTCCCAGCAGAGCAAAGGAGCTCTGTCTCACCTCTGGCATAGGGTCCTGGAGGAACGCACAGTTAGTCTCAAAAACACACACACATCTGGTTAAAACAAATATTTGGAACTTTTAACACTCCAAACAGCAATAATACCAACTTTCATACAAACCAGTTTCAGTTTTTTTTTTGGCGAACGACAGAGCAGCACTGTATAAACTATACGGCAACTTATCCTCCTTCAAATTGACTAATTTAACATTTTCAAAATGGCCACTGACAGTTGGCACTTGGATGCCCCTGTGTACCTGCATGCACTGGAAGAGCAGGGTCATGATGTTGCTGCGGGCAACCAGCTGGTCCACACTGCCCCCCAAGCCCTCGGCCAGGCCACTCAGCAGGTCCAGGGCCACAATCATAAAGTCCTTGTCAGGGGCTTCGTACTGGTCAGGGTGCTGGTTGTACATCTGGAGAGAGAGGAGACGGACAGAGAGTCATCAGTGGGTTGTTGTTCACAGTTAGGATATGAAGCTAAAACGCTGTACGATGTTTAATAAATTGCTGAATAAACGCAGTTTGTTTACGCTAACTTATGTTTTGTGGTGTAGAATAAATTGACAATTAACATTTGTTTATATTCTAACTTATAATTAATATCTGAAACCAGGTTTCCATCCAACCTTTTCATGCCAGTAAAGTACATGTTGGATAAAAAAAAATCACGACAGGCATGATGGAAAGAGCAAATTTGTCTGTAACCTTTCCAAACGTCGACAAAACAAAATTCGCTAGACAAGGTGGAATCTTTTTGCTTCGGTAAAATGTATTATGCGAGAAATGGCGGTGGAAACACTTCTGCGCAAATATTGATATTACCATCATACCGAAGAGTCACACGATGGCATGTGTGGTCCTCCCACTACGACGTGGGAAAGCATGCAGTTTATTAGGCTACAGATTAAATAAATTATGATGAACTTCACAGGGTGGTGAAAGTGCAAGGTGATGAGCTTGATGCTCCTTTCCAATAAATATCGAGGGTCTTATTCTGGTGACATGATGATCGATGCTTGGCTGCCATTTGAAAACTAAAAATATTCCATAATAATCTCATCATGTAGGCCAACGGTCACCAACCTTTTCTGAGTCAAGATCACTTTCTGAATCAAAATGGAAGCTGAGATCTACAGCTCTGATTTTTTTAAAAACATGACTTAAAAAACCTAAGCCTATGCAACATTAACCCCCCAAAAAAATAACAGTTCTGTAGCAATGAGGTTTGTGCAGTAGGCTATAGGCCCAATACATTATCACTGCATATTGGCTATGCTTGAATTACCAATTCTGACCATTAAAAAAAATATATATATTTTAAAAATGTAGGTATATGATCACACTGGCAATATATCATTTGTTGTATTACTTGTGAGGCACAGCTAAGTGAGCATAATTTGTATATATTTTTTACTGGACTGATGGCCTGCATCCGATGATCAGTCTGAGGGGAGGAATGAGCAGCGGTGAGGCTGCCTCTCACCCGACTCACCATCTCTCCCTCACTCCGCTGAGAAAAGGGGACAGTCTTCCAGCTGATTGCAAAACTCAAGTCACACTGCATTATTTCTGCCTCATGCACCAATTCATGTTGTTACTGCTATAAACAGAGAAAGTGAAATATTCCTCGATAATATAAAAGATAAGCTGCTAATAATAACAAGCTTATCGGCACACATGGCTTATAAAAAAGGTTTGAACAAAGTGTTGACAGTGATTAATAACTTAAACATTAATTTACTTATAAAACCAGTAGCTCTATGCTGTATTCATTGAGTCGCTCTCTAGTCATGGTTTTAAACCTTTGCTGTATGTTCGAGGCTTCTTTTTGCAGTCTATGGCTTGAGGAAACTGTGCAGACAGTGATCTGAGCTATCTAATGGCCAGCGATAGTCCTATAGGTGCACTTGATTTGCTCTCTGGGCCTGCCGGGTAGGTGGAGTTCTACCTTCAGACACATGAAATGGTTCAAAATGGGAACACTGCCTTCCCGACGCTAGGGCTGCTGAATCAAGTGCACCTACCGCCAACAGCGTGAAACTAATTTTAAAAATCATCAGTAGAGTTGAAAACACGATGGAAACAATTTGTATACTTTTTTGGGGGGGTATATGGGAATTTAACCACAAAAGTAATTTTTATGTGCACTACATCACGCACAGCCTTTTATTTAAATGTTTTTACATTTCATTCATTTAGGAGACGTTCTTATCCAGAGCAACTTAAAGGAGCAATTAGGGTTAAGTGCCTTGCTCAAGGGCACAGAGATTTTTCACCTAGTCGGCTCAGGGATTCGAACCAGCCACCTTTCGGTTACTGAACCCAACAATCTGGGAAAATGCGCATATTGTTTTTATGCAGATTTTCGAATGAAAATCTGTCGCCAATTAGAAGGAAACCTAGCTATATCTAGCTTATTTTGTAACAGTTTTTGTTGCCATACATTAACATGGTTCTTCACTGAAGGCATGTCTGGTGATTTAATATGTATAAAAGTACTATAGAGAGCAATAGTAATGGCGTATTTTTGTAGGTACTAACTCCACCATGGCTCGTTGGACAAAGCCTATGGGGAAAATCGTTTTTTGGGATAACCGCCGAAAATAAGGTCTGTGGTAAACACAGGCTTAGGAGATATACATTTTGTTCTATAAGAATCTTCATCAGCTAACGTCACTTTTTTGTGAATTGAAGCATTTATGTAATCAAAACAAGCACATAAAGGCTTCATAATTCATAAAGGTCATGTTATTAACCGACTGATATCTCAGAACAAAATGTATAAGATCTAAGCCTGCGTTAACCTCCGATCTTAATTTCACCGTTCATCCCAAAATCCCATTCTTTCCACATTAATTTCCCCAATAGGAATGGCTGAACGATCCAGAGGTAACTCATTTCCAGTTTTTAGGACTACAAGCTGGCGAGCTCTATAGGTTCTTACCATGGCCTGAGCGAGGGTCTTCTGGACCAGGGTGACACAGCGCTGGTAGACAGGCTCACAGTAGGGCAGGAAGCCACTCTGCAGGGCCGTGGCCACCGACGACAGACACTGGGGGGCCACAGAGAGACAGGGTTAGTTTGGTGGGTGAGGGACGGTAACAACTAAAACACAGGCTGCATATCAATAGGTCAAAGTGGTGTCCTGTCAGTGTGGCCTTTCACTCACTTGCACCGATCTTAAAAGGGACAGTTCACAAGTCCCTTTAAGATTATGCATTCTTTCACCGTTCCTGTGATTTCACTGCATATCAACGAAAGGAGTCAAGGAGAGGGACTGGCTTTTTAACTTTTCAGATACAGAAGTCTGTCAGTCCCCGTTTCGATCTCATGAGCCAATGAAAATGGAGTAAAATTGCATAGGGACGGCAACTTTTTTTAAATAAATGCAAGATCGACCAGAGCCTGTCGTATCCAATGGGAGGATATTAATCAGTGGGCAGAACAAGCAAGGAGGGGCAGAGCCAAGCACCAGCTAGTGAGATCCTGTTGGCGCGTTCTAGCATTTATTTGCATATCTCCATTAGGGAACGCGTACTCTGAAGTGTGCGTGTGCAATAACTCAATTCTTCCTTGCACTCCTTCTAAACAACACATTTTAATTGTTTTACTTCGGCAAAAGGGTAAAGTCTGGAAAACGCAGTCTACTCTGTTACAGATTCTAGTTTTAGAAACAGAAAACTGTACGGATATCAAATATTTTGTTGATAAGATTTGCAGAATGTCGGCAAAAATCCATCTCGCACCATCTTCTCCCACTGCCGGCCACTGGGCTTCCTCTCATCACCATATTTGGTAGTGAGTGGAAACGCCAAGCGGATGCTCCAACGCTTCTTTCATTAAGAGGTGTAGTACTGCTTTTCTTCCATCAGGGGGCAGTATAATACCGACCATTGGAAGCACAACAGTCACCCGTTTCCATTGTATGCTTTGAGAGGCTCTAAGAGCTATAGATAATTTTGTATTGATTTTAAAGCTACCTACAACAAAAACACTGCCTAGTGCCTGACCTCCGGCACCAGTTATTGTTGTCAGCTCAAGAGGTTAAGGAGACCAGTCCTATCAATATTCTGCTGTGGATCAGCAAACGATCCTAGAGACATCATATATGGTTCAATGAGAACGTGTCATCATGTCCACAGCAGCAGTTAAATGCAAAGTCATTCTGCAGTCGGCACACAAACACAGTCACACACACTAGCAACAGCCTACACTCCACTTCAGCCGTTCTAGGTTTTCCCCCCAACAAGCCAGATTCTCCATTCACCAGAATATCATTATTGTTGTATCGCTCACAAGACTAGCAACTGCCCTAAAGCAATGACGTAAATTTCCACAAAATCATGTCTAAGAAGATTCCACCTGTATGCACCAACATGCATCATGTATATAATAATGATAACCTCCGAAGGGAAAGACCCTGATCATGGAGGAGAGGAGGAGAGAGAGAGAGGGTGTTTTTGTCACAGACACAGGATGAGGTGGGGAAGGAGCTCCGGGAGGTAGGCACCACAATGCATGGAATTTTACTTTACCTTCTATAACGGTCTTTTAATATTTGGGTTGTGATTGGGGTGGGGATCTGTTTACTAGGGAGGTCATGAGTTCAAAGCACGCATAGAGAGAAATGTAAACTTAATTATTAGCAGGTTTTAACCATGACACATTGTCTTTACCTGGTGTAATTGTGAAGTGATTCAATTGAATATTGCCATCTGTGTATCGCTTAGGCAACATTCAATTCCTCCTTTCATGCCGATAAAGTTAGATAGAATTTGAATCAACTTCGATTAGACAACAAATGTAGGCCAAGTTATATCACACACAGCCAGTGAAGACAGCCAGTCATCTGGCTTAAAGTGTTTATATGTTTTAATATAAAATATACTCTCAAATGGAATCCAATTAGTGTACATCCTATTAGTGACGTGTTAACTGGGGTCAGCGCAGTGGAAAGACATATGGCATTACAACTACGCTGCATTAGGACAGCGACACGTCTCCATACACTGTCAACATCTTCTGGGAGCCTATATTAGTGTGTCATGGACCAACACTGACAGTGGGGTCATAAAGGGCTGAAGAGTGAGAGAGAGAGAGAGACAAAGTGTAGCAAATTCACAGTGGAGAGAGAGAAAGTAGACAACTCGAGTGACAGGGGAACCAGACATTGGCGTGAGCATCCACTGACAAAAATGAATGGCGGCACCACTGCTAAGTCAATCTGAATTGATATAATGCAACAAGGAACTAGAGTTCCATTAGCAGAGAAAGAGTCTGCAGGGACAGAGAGCCATGTTAATTCCGTCAACAAAAATATTCAAACCCCTATTTTTCAGTGGCAATCGACGAGACGATAACTGACTAAACAGACCCAGAAAAAACTACAACTAACCAAAATTATTTTTCTTTTTGGTTCATGAAAATGAGACGAAATTATCTCTGACTAATATCTGACTCGTTTTTTTATCTGTTGCAGAGTAATGTGTTCTTCTGCCAATTTGGCTGTTGGGAAGAGAATTCGTGAGATAGGATGTTATGCAGAAAGATATGTTGGTAGGACAAGGATATGTATATTTGTGAACATGGAAGTCAGTGATTTATGTTTACTATAGGTTTATGAGGCAATACAAATGTGATGTGACAAAATGTGACTAGAATGAAAGGGCATTTAGTGGACTAAAATGGCCCACTGTTTGTCCTTTTGACAATAATTAGACTACGGTACATCATTATTCAAATGACAAAAATCTGGCTTCATGATATTTTAGAAAAAATGTCTAAGACTAGCCTAAATTTAAAGAGTGGCAAAATTAACAGTATAGGAATATGACTGTATGAGAGACCTCTGGATCAGACAGTATGAATACTAACACCATCATTAACAGTCAGGAGTTACATAGAATGCATCATATCCAGAGGGACAGTCAACTCTCAATGGAGTGATAGAGAAAGAACCACTGTGTACTGTACATCACAGCAGAGAGGAGAGCAACAGCGCAGAGAGATGGAGAGTCGAGAGAATCAGTTGAGAGAAAGAAAGAGTCACACAGATGAGACTGAGCAAGAGAAGGAGAGAGCTATGTGAAGTGTAAACAGTGTGACTGATTGATTTCCTAGTCCTTACCCTCAGCGATGGCTCCCAGCACCAGGATGCCAGACTCCTTGATGACCCAGTCAGGGGAGAAGAGAAGGCCCTTGAGCAGGGGCAGCAGGTGGGGCAGCAGCTCGTCCCGGAACACGTTGGCCAGCACGTCCAGCGCCGCCGCCGAACACTTACCTACAGGGAGATAATAGGGATAGTTCACTCAGAAATATGATGAAAAACATCTTTACAGCTGTACTGAAAGTGCTCCATCTTGAAAACTTGACTGCTGGGACATGTGCAATTTGGGGGATGTTATTTACAGTGGACTAATGAACAAAATACTAAGATGGCTTTAGAGCGAACTAGCCATTTAATATCATACCCTTTTCACAGTACTGAATCTGGGCCAAGCCATGTTGTACTGGTCTGAACAGTAACAGATTCTTCAAATTAAAAAAAACACGCTGGCCTATACACCCATTCCTTTGAGGTTAAGGAGACCAGTCCTACCAATATCCTGCTGTGGATCAGAAAACGATCTCTAATTAGCATCATATATGTTCAGATGAGAACATGTCATCATTTCCACAGCAGCAGTTAAATGCAAAGTCATTCTGCAGTCGGCAAACACGCAAACAGTCACACACACTAGCAACAGCCTACCCTCCACTTCAGCCGTTCTCGGTTTCAGATTCTCCAGTCACCAGAATGTCATTGATGTTGGTGTCTGGCTGACGAGACTAGCTACAGCCCTGAAGTAATGACACAGCAATTTCCATAAAAATCATGTCTAAGAATTATCCACCTTGTGATCTAGCTATGACACCAGTAAAAAGCTATATCATTTCAGTAACGGTTACGTGAACTAACACTCAGATACAGAATAACAATTCTATGTCGTTTTGTTCTATGCAGACACCATTGTGATAACAGTGGTCTTCCACCTTTCTGGCGCATCTCTGCATGGGAATCGCTCCATTGCCAGACAGCAGCAGGGAGCATCACTGATGCCAGTAATCACTACTCTGGCTGTGCTGTTCAGTGTTCACACTGTCCAATTACCACCTCTAGCTTTACTGCTAATGAGACGCTGGGGAGCAGTGCACTGACAGTGGAGAGCAGAGCAGCCAAACAGGGAAGTAACTGAATCAGTGTACTGTTTAGATGGTGAGAGAGTACCTCTGATCTTGGCTAGAAAAGCAACACTAGGGACCTAAAGAGTCTATAGAAAGACTTAACAACTTTCCACTTATATTTTCACAAATACAGAAAGAATATCCACTTAATTGTTTTTGTTACTTTTGCCACCATATTGTCCCACAGGAATGACTATCAAATGTAGTTATATTATGCTGCTTTAAGCAAGCATACACAGACAAGCCTCATGTAGACTGCAGCAGATACAATCCTCCTGCTCTATCCATCGACAGTATCAGTCTGTTTTCTAATTCTTCTCCCATCCTGGCTGTGGTGGTTTCAGTAACAGTTGGCTTAAAGTCATGTCAGACTCACGTAGGTTCCAGTCAGATAACGTATCGTCATCATCATCGTCATCTTGGTCAATGTCCTCTCCCTCCTCTCCCTCTCCTCCCTCGTGCTGCAGGGTGACGGTGCGTGACTTATGGAAGCGGGGCTTGATGTCCTGCTCACTGTCCGGCACTGCCTCGTCCTCCTCCACATCACCCTGGAGAGAGAGACTACATTAATCATTGCTATATTTTATTTTTCTGGTCCGAGGTCTGTGCTGTGAAACATGACAGCAAGCATAAGAGATGGCTATACAGCACAAAAATATCTGGGACCAGGCTAATATTTTATAACTTGGGCAAGGAATTTTTCCGGGAACGCGTGACCTGACTAGGAAAACCTCCAGGCAATAGTTCTAGGCAATACCTAGGGCCGAGACTGTTTCCTAGTATAGCAGGACCAAATGAGGTTTCAGTTCAGGAGGCCAAGACCTTCTCATTCTAAAAAGCATGCTGTAGCATGGACATACAGTGGGGAAAAAAAGTATTTAGTCAGCCACCAATTGTGCAAGTTCTCCCACTTAAAAAGATGAGAGAGGCCTGTAATTTTCATCATAGGTACACGTCAACTATGACAGACAAAATGAGGAAAAAAAATCCAGAAGATCACATTGTAGGATTTTTTATGAATTTATTTGCAAATTATGGTGGAAAATAAGTATTTGGTCAATAACAAAAGTTTCTCAATACTTTGTTATATACCCTTTGTTGGCAATGACACAGGTCAAACGTTTTCTGTAAGTCTTCACAAGGTTTTCACACACTGCTGCTGGTATTTTGGCCCATTCCTCCATGCAGATCTCCTCTAGAGCAGTGATGTTTTGGGACTGTCGCTGGGCAACACGGACTTTCAACTCCCTCCAAAGATTTTCTATGGGGTTGAGATCTGGAGACTCCAGGCTTAGAAATTTTCAAGCACAGCCGGGATGGGTTTGACAGTCATGAAGACCAGGTAACTCAAGCACCATGCTGAGAAGAGAAGTGCACTCATAACTCCGATAGTGTATCATCTTTACTTACACGTGTCTGTCCCTGATGAAAACCCAGCCCAGAGATGCCAGCGTTCAACCCAGTCAGGGGAGGTGAAGGCCCTGTTCCCAAACAACGGCAGAGGTTGGCTCCGAAACGTTGAAGACACTTTGGATAGGGATGTTCACTCGAAACATGATGATCTTACAGTTTTGCTCTGTACTGAAATGCTCCATCTTGAAGACTTGACTGCTGGACATGCACATTTGGGGATTTATTTACAGTGGACTATGAACAAAATACTAAGATGCTTTAGAGCGAACTAGCCATTTAATATCATACCCTTTTCACAGTACTGAATCTGGGCCAAGCCATGTTGTACTGGTCTGAACAGTAACAGATTCTTCAAATAAACCAACCACGCTGGCCTATACACCCATTCCTTTGAGGTTAAGGAGACCAGTCCTACCAATATCCTGCTGTAGATCAGAAAACGATCTCTAATTAGCATCATATATGTTCAGATGAGAACATGTCATCATTTCCACAGCAGCAGTTAAATGCAAAGTCATTCTGCAGTCGGCACACACGCAAACACAGTCAAACACACTAGCAACAGCCTACCCTCCACTTCAGCCGTTCTAGGTTTCTCCTCAAGTCAGATTCTCCAGTCACCAGAATGTCATTGATGTTGGTGTCTTGCTGACGAGACTAGCTACAGCCCTGAAGTAATGACACAGCAATTTCCATAAAATCATGTCTAAGAATTATCCACCTTGTGATCTAGTTATGACACCGGTAAAAAGCTATATCATTTCAGTAAAGGTTACGTGAACTAACACTCAGATACAGAATAACAATTCTATGTCGTTTTGTTCTATGCAGACACCATTGTGATAACAGTGGTCTTCCACCTTTCTGGCGCATCTCTGCATGGGAATCGCTCCATTGCCGGGAAAAGCAGCAGGGAGCATCACTGATGCCAGTAATCACTACTCTGGCTGTGCTGTTCAGTGTTCACACTGTCCAATTACCACCTCTAGCTTTACTGCTAATGAGACGCTGGGGAGCAGTGCACTGACAGTGGAGAGAGCAGAGCAGCCAAACAGGGAAGTAACTGAATCAGTGTACTGTTTAGATGGTGAGAGTACCTCTGATCTTGGCTAGAAAAGCAACACTAGGACCTAAAGAGTCTATAGAAAGACTTAACAACTTCCACTTATATTTTCACAAATACAGAAAGAATATCCACTTAATTGTTTTGTTACTTTTGACAACATATGTCCCACAGGAATGACTATCAAATGTAGTTATATTATTGCTGCTTTAAGCAAGCATACACAGGACAAGCTCATGTAGACCTGCAGCAGATACAATCCTCCTGCTCTATCCAATCGACAGTATCAGTCTTTTTGCTAATTCTTCTCCATCCTGGCTGTGGTGGTTTCAGTAACAGTTGGCTTAAAGTCATGTCAGACTCACGTAGGTTCCAGTCAGATAACGTATCGTCATCATCATCGTCATCTTCGTCAATGTCCTCTCCCTCCTCTCCCTCTCCTCCCTCGTGCTGCAGGGTGACGGTGCGTGACTTATGGAAGCGGGGCTTGATGTCCTGCTCACTGTCCGGCACTGCCTCGTCCTCCTCCACATCACCCTGGAGAGAGAGACTACATTAATCATTGCTATATTTTATTTTTCTGGTCCGAGGTCTGTGCTGTGAAACATGACAGCAAGCATAAGATATGGCTATACAGCACAAAAATATCTGGGACCAGGCTAATATTTTATAACTTGGGCAAGGAGTTTTTCCAGGAACGCGTGACCTGACTAGGAAAAACTCCAGGCAATACCTAGGGCCGAGACTGTTTCCTAGTATAGCAGGACCAAATGAGGTTTCAGTTCAGGAGGCTAAGACCTTCTCATTCTAAAAAAGCATGCTGTAGCATGGACATATGGACACAGCTTAGTGCCAGAAATAGCCAGTAGGGTATTAATGCACTGAAATGAGTAAGTGTGTGGCTTCTATGACAGAGGACTATGAGTCAGGGTAAGGAGTGTCTGGCAGGCAGAAATTCCCTGTGGGTTAGCCTAGGTGATGTGTTATGGAACTGGAAATGTGTGGACAGTTAGCAGGGGGGAAAACACTGCTACACCATTAACTGGCATTAACCAGATACAACGCCTTAGGTCAGAGAGTATGAATACATCAAATATCAGTAAAGTCTCAAGCTAAAGCTGTCATCACACCAAGAGTACCAGTAAGGAGAGGGTGGGAGGAAAGACATCTGGGTCGTGTTCATTAAGCATGAAACTGAACAAATGGTCCGAAACAGGGAGGTAGTATCTAAACTGGTCCAATAAGAAACAGTCATTTTCATTTTCCGTTGCAAAACGTTTTGCTACAGTGTGCCCTAATGAACACAACCCTGGTGGGGAGAAATAGGTGTGGTGTCATCATTCACACCCAGAACAGATAGGCAGGCTCACCTTCAGCAGGATAATGTCTATCTCAGAGTACTTCATGCCGTTCACCAGGATAGGAATGAGCCTACAGGAGGGAAGAGAGAGACAAGGCACCATTAGTCAAGCAGTCTTTCCATTGTTGGTCAATCAACAACACAGCATTTCTTGGTTCCATATAATAATAGATTGAAGTTATACAGCGTCAGATGTGGCAAGTGGGCTGCAGCTGTCTGGATCAGACAGTATGAATACAACAAGCATCACTGACCATCACAGTTAATGTGTTATGCATCATATCCAGACAGCATGGGAAGGGGAGAGGGTAAACGTCATGAGAGGTCTTATACTACAGCTAGCCAACACTACTGAAATGGAATCAACATTCTCTGTTCCTCTGAACTTCCTTCTCTTCACACCTAATAGAACACAGTACAGTATGTTGACAGAATTAAATACACTATGAACTATAGGACCTCTATGGGTATGTTACTCTTACAAGCTGTACTATTGACTAACCTCTGTTCCCCTCTTCACCTCTGACCTGACCGTTCCCCCCTCTCTCTACATCACGTACAACCAACACAATCCAGGTGATGCTGTATGTTACAGGTATGTTTAGGATTACTCACTGCACCAGGTGTCCAGAGAGCACCTCCTTGCAGATGGGCTGCTCGGCCAGGGTGAGCCAGAACTCACAGGCCTCCAGAGAAACGTTCTCATCCGGGTCCTGTGTGCGCTGCAGCATGTACTGGCGGGAGAGAGATACAGACACAGCAGTGTCAGGGGTTGGGATTGGCTGATGAGGTATGACAGTGTCGGACGTGCTGATTGGTCTGTGGGAGTGTAAATAAGGAAGTGGTGGTGGTCTCACTTGTATGATGCTGTGCATGTGAGGGATTAGCCGGTCGATGCGGACCTCCAGCAGCATGACCAGAGCGCGGCACACGTTCTTCCTCACCTCCGAGTCCTCGTCTGTAGCCAGCGCAAACAGGCTCTGAGAGAGACAGAGACACGAAGAGAGAGAGGGAAAGAGAAGGAAAGAGTGGTGCCAGAGAAGAAAATAAGAGAAACCGATGTCAGTCTTGAATCTACAGCTATCCTCAACACCATTGATTACAGTTCACACCGTTGCCTAGACGATGGACATGTAAGAGGCTGTAGGGTTTGGATCAGACAGTATGAATACAACAAGCATCACTGACCATCACTGTCAAGGTGTTCTGCATCATAGCCAGAAGAGCTCAGTGTTCTTCAGTGTCACCACCATAGAGGTAGAACTACTAGAATGGGCATAGCCCATCAAACCACAACAATTATATTTCTATGGTCAACACAGTGTTGTGTGTTGCCTGATGCTCACCTCGATGAAGGTGTCGATGTTGTCCATCAGGGCCTGGGCTCTGCCGATGATGAACTGGTTCACACAGGCGATGGCATGAGATCTACAGGCAGAGACAATATCACCATGAGTCACAGCAAATGAATGTATTTGAAAACAGTGGGATAAGTAGGAGGAAAACTTTTTGAAACCGACCCAAATGTTCCACGCAACTACCTAAGCTGGTCCAATAAGAACACAGATGTGTAATCCGTTGTAAAACGTTGTGCTATGCTCTACTGAACACAACAGTAAGAACAGAAACAGCCAATGGAGTCTAGAGGCAGCCTGTTCTCAGATCTGTTTGTGCTGTCTTGCCAACTCTTCTAGTCATAACTATGACCACAGGAGTTGGCAAGACAGCACAAACTGATCTGGGAACAGGATAGTCTGGAGGTACAGGGGACCTCGGACTGACCTGATCTTGGGGCTGCAGTGCTTGAAGAACTGCAGGAACTTGGGGATCATGATGTTGAGAGGGCGGTTGAGCGCGTCGCTCTCCAACAGCTCCGACGAGTCCTCGCAGATCTTCTGCAGGGCGCCAAACGAGCCCTGATCAAGAGAACACACGCAGACAGACAGAGTCAAACTCAGAGCAACAGAGGGGGATGACGTAGGATGATTTGAGACAATAGGCTACAGGTCTGGATCAGACAGTATGAATACAACAAGCATCACTGGCAATCACTGTCAAGGTGTTCTGCATCATATCCAGATGGCATGGGATGGGGAGAGAGAACGCTACTGAAAACATTTAGCAACGAGTAAAATAACTCTTAGGAGGTACAGAGAGTTGTGGAGAGGTAAAGAGAGCTGTGGAGAGGTAAAGGAGGGGACAGGGAAGGAAGACCGAAGAAGGGATATGAAGACATGGAAGGAAGGGGAAAGAGAGAGGGACAGGGAAGGAGGGGAAAAAGAAAAGCAAGGGAGACGGGGAAGGAGGAGGACAAAAAATGGAGAAGGGCGACAGATGGAAAAGAAAGGGAGAGTAGAAAAAGAGGTGAGTGTGAGGTAGGCAGGTAGCTCCTGACCTCGCAGGTGTTGTAGTCCTCAGAGTTGAGCAGGTTACACAGCTGGGGCAGCAGCTCCGGCCATGTCTGCAGCTCCCCTTTGGAAGTGATGGTGGTGATCAGGATACCTGAGAGAGAGATGAAGAGAAAGAGGTTAGGAAGCAACACTCACACGGTGGCTTCCTCTTAACACTAAAATAGCAGTCTCTTGGAGGTGACACTGCCATTCTCACTGAGCATGTTGGTTTTGCATTGCCCGGTAACTAGGGTGGGCAGAGTTTGCACATTTTAGACCATCGCATTGGTCCTTAAGTGAAATCTCCACCCACCCGGGGCACAAGGCGAAGCAAAACAATTGAACCCACTGATCTGGGAGAAGTGGAGAGGTGAAAGTAAACACTCCTGAAGGGTTCCACTACATTGCTTCCACCTATGCTGTCTTGTCAGACCAGAGATGTGGGGAAACAGGGATGTACAAGAGAGTTAAGGTATAGAGAGACCTCTGGATCAGACAGTATGAAAACTAACACCATCATTAACAGTCAGCAGTTATATAGAATGCATCAAATCCAGAGGGCAGGATGGGGGAAGAGAGATGTCTGTTTGGGGGGGGATGAGGAAAGTGAAGATAGCTACTAAAGCAGGTGTGTCAAACTCATTTTAGCTCAGGGGCCACATGGAGGAAAATCTATTCCCAAGTGGGCCGGACCGGAAAAATCATGGTATATATAACTTAAAAACAACAACTTCAGATTGTTTTCTTTGTTTTAATACGATCAACATACAACATAAAGCTGGAGCCTGAGGACAGTGTGTCCAAAATAGTACAAGCACAACATCACTATTAATCATAAAACACGTCAAGTTTATTTGAAAATTCTAATGAAAAAGAACACAAACACACAATGCCTCAGTGATTAACAGAACTGTTTCACAGATCACAGAACTATATCAGGGTGTCATTTCTCAGGCAGAAATGTAGATAAAAAATAATGAAATCCTGTTCCCCAAACAAGTGCAAGAACCACATAGTCAAGAATAGGTTAAATATACAAATAAAATAAAATCAATTAAAAACAATAGCACATCAACATAAAAACATAAATCTGAAAGCGTTGCTCAAACTCCCGTAACAGTCCCGTTATTTTATCTTTGAACCGCTTCATGTCTGCCACATGTTGGGTCGCGCACACATTTTTCAGACAGGGGAAGTGAGCTGCATCACCACCGGCAAGTTGCGTCTCCCACAATGACAGCTTCAACTTGAAAGAACGTATGCTGTCATAATACTGCGTGACAACTTTGTTGCGCCCTTGCAGCTGTTTGTTCAAGTTATTCAGGTGCTCTGTAACATCCACCATAAATGCAAGGTCCTGCATCCATTCTGCGGAATGAAATTCTAACACTGGTTTGCCCTTTTCTTCCATGAACTGTTCAATTTCTTCTCGTAAATCAAAGAAACGCCTCAGCACAGCACCTCGGCTTAACCATCTTACCTCAGTGTGGTATGGCAGGCCATAGATGTGGTCTTTCTCTCTGAGAAGGCTGTCAAACTGACGGTGATTCAGGCTTCTGGATCGGATGAAATTAACAGTTTGGATGACCACCTTCATGACGTTATCCATCTTTAATGACTTGCAACACAAAGCCTCCTGGTGCAAAATACAGTGAAAAGTCAAAAAATCACGTCCTCCATTTGCAGATTGCACTTTCTCTCTGAACTTTGTCACAACGCCTGCTTTTTTCCCGATCATTGAGGGCGCACCATCTGTAGCCAGGCCGGGACCAGTCCACTCCGACCCTGTCCAGCGCGCCGACGAGTGCGGTAAAAATATCAGCTGCTGTCGTTGTATCTGTCATCGGCACCAACTCCACGAACTCCTCGGTGACGGTCAATGTGTCATCAACTCCGCGGATGAAAATGGCCAGTTGTGCAACATCTGTAATGTCCGTGCTTTCATCAATTGCAACCGAAAACGCAATAAATGACTTTACTTTTTGCTTCAACGGGCTGTCCAAATCCACTGAAAGATCGGAAATCCTGTCTGCAACTGTGTTTCTTGTCAGGCTGATATTTGCAAAAGCCTGCCGCTTTTCAGGGCACACAATCTCCGCTGCCTTCATCATGCATGTTTTTACAAATTCACCCTCACTAAATGGTTTTGAAGCCACTGCGATTTCATTAGCAATGAGGTAGCTAGCTTTCACTGCAGCGTCACTGATGTCTCGGCTGTGAGTAAACACAGACTGCTGTTTCTTCAGACCCGCCAACAGTTCATTCACCTTCTCTCATCTCCGCTGTCCTTGAAAGTTGTCATATTTGTCGGCATAAAGACTCACATAGTGGCGACGAAGGTTATATTCTTTCAGCATAAATAGGATGACCATTTTTCTTGGAACACTCTGCGTCCACATTTCTCTTTTTTGACAGAGACATATTGGGGCAATGAGGGTGCCAAAGCACATAATGTTAAAAGTAGAAGCCGTAATAAATATCGCGGGCAAAACAAAGTAGCTCATTGGCTGCACGTGCTTGACCTACTTGCTCTGCCCCGGTATAAACAGTTTGCTTGCTTAACACAATTGCTATTGCGCCATCCAGTGGACGCAATTGGAACAGCAGTTTATTTTATTGAAAAATTGCAGCGCATTTTTATACTGTACAAAATTATTATTAAAAAAAATTGTTTTGTTTTTTTTATCTCGCGGGCCGGATTAAACCCGTGGGCCGGACGTTTGACACCCCTGTACTAAAGGGAGGGACGGTGAGAAAAATTAACCACATTAAAGCCAAGGACAGCAGTTACCCGAGACAGATGCAATGCATGCCAAGACACACCTACTGTCACCACACAGACAGAACCATGTCTCTGTCTCACACCCACCCAGACCTAACCCCCCCCCCCCCCCCCCCCAACACACACACACCCACCCACCCAGACCTAACCACGCACACACCCACCCACCACCACCCAGACCTAACACGCACGCACACACCCACCCACCCAGACCTAACACGCACACACCCACCCACCCAGACCTAACACACGCACACACACCCACCCACCCAGACCTAACACGCACACACCCACCCAGACCTAACACACGCGCACACACCCACCCAGACCTAACACACGCCACACACCCACCCACCTAACACACACACACCACCCAGACCTAACACAACACCACACCCAACACCACCCAACCAACCACACCCACACCCCACCCAGACCTAACACACAACCCACCCAGACCTAACCAACACCCCAGACCTAACACACACACACCCACCCAACCTAACACCACCACCACCCACCCAGACCTAAACACACACACCACCACCCCCCTAACCTAACACACCACACCCACCCAGACCTAACCACAAACCCCCCACACCACACCCGACCCTAACACACACACATACCCCCCCCACTCACAACACCAGACCTAACCCCACCCACACACCCAAACTAACACACACACACCCACACCCAACCAGACCTAACACACCCCCACCCAGACCTAACACACCCACCCAGACCTAACACACACACACACACACACACCCAGACCTAACACACACACACTGACTCACCGATGGTGGCACGGATGAGGGGTGACGGGTCGCCTATGTTGTTGAGGCATTCCTGCTTGATGAAGTCAGCCACGGCCGGGGGGAAGTTCTGGTAGTGGGCCTTCACATTGTTCTTCAGGATCAGACCACTCAGAGAACGAGTGGGCTCATCTGGAGAGAGAGAGCAGGAGGGAGGAATGGGAGAAGAGGATGAAGTCGGGCGGTCATGGGGTAGAGGAAGAAAAAGAGGAGAATGTCAAAGATGCAGACGAAGGCCACAGCAACGTGCGTTCCAAATGACACGCAGCAGTCTGGAGAACCACTAATAACAAGGCAAGCAGATAATGACGGCATGCTGACCAAAGAATGGACAACACAAAGAAACCAAAAACTCATTTGAGCTAAGAAGTAATACGGTGTACCCTAATGAACACGACTCAGGCTACTGGACGCTCACCTACAACATATAAACTCACTCACACAGACAGAGGGCTCTCACCTTCAGTTTTCAGTCTTGTGAGCACAAAGATTAAATAGTTGTTGAAGTCAGGGAACTGGTTGAGCTGTTCAAGTTTCTGACAGCACGGTTAAGGGCAATTTCACATCACAGACAACTCACATGATGCTAAACTCAAACAAATAACTAGAAGTACACTTTCACTGCAGCAGTGTAATCTACTGGTGACATTTAGACAGAGGAAAAATACCACCAGTTGAAATACTAAGTGCGGTGCTTATTTCAGAAGTTAGGAATTTGACAGAGTTTGGAATGCAACGGATCTGTGATTTCGTCACATACCAGCTAAGTTTAATTCTAAAGCTGCAGAAATGGTTGCCACCCCTTTGTATAGGTTGTACCATATGAATGATTTTGAAATAACTGCTGCTATAAGTAGCCTTACCTATGGTTCCTAATGAGGACAAGGGTTTAAGTAAGTAATAAGTAGGCTAGTGGAAGTTATGGATTGGAGGGTTAGGATTATATGCTATACTAACAAAGGCAAACTCTAAAGGACCAGACAGAGTAGTATGAGAGACCTCTGGATCAGACAGTATGAATACTAACACCATCAGTAACAGTCAGGAGTTCTATAGAATGCATCATATCCAGAGGGACAGTCAGAGTGACTGTCTTATAACACTATCGCCACTGTGATACATTGTCAATACAGGCCCCATAGACTGAGATCCCTGCAAACTGAACTAGATGATGCAATAACCATAGAATAATATGCCATTTAGCAGGCACTTTTATCCAAAGCAACTTACACTAATGTGGTGATACAGTTTACGTATGGGTGGTCCCAGGAATCTAACCCACTATACTGGTGTTGCAAGCACCATGCTCTACCAACTGAGGACCACAGAAGAGCACACAGAAGTACCACTGCCATACAGGTCCCCATCCCACTAACCCCCTCTCCAGTCAGTGTCTGTACATGAAGAGGATACTTGTTGCACGGCTCTCTGTGTGGCCGTGTTGGGGGACTGGGAGTCCTTGAGGAGCTGGAGGACCTGCTGGAGTCCCTGTTCATCCGGCTGCCACTCCATCCTGCATGGGGACCACACCCACACACAAAGTTACAGATATATGAATTACGTATGTCCCCATTACTGATATAAGATAATACAACAAGGAAAATTAGTGATATAATAGAGAGTTATATTAGCAGAGAGAGTCTGCAGGGACAGAGAGAGAGAGTATAGGAGTATGACTGGGACGGCAGGTAGCTTAGTGGGTAAGAGCGTTGTGCCAGTAACCGAAAGGTCGCTGGTTCTAATCCCCGAGCCGACTAGGTGAAAAATCTGTCGATGTGCCCAAGGCACTTACCCCTAATTGCTCCTGTAAGTCGCTCTGGATAAGAGCGTCTGCTAAATGACTAAAATGTAAATGACTAAGAGAGACCTCTGGATCAGACAGTATGAATACTAACGCCGTCTTAAGTAGGGAATTATAAAGTGTGCATCATGTCTGGTGGTCTATTACTTATTGGTGCATTACTTTTGACCATGATCCATAGGGTTCTGGTCAAAAGTAGTGCACTACGGGGAATAAGGTGCTATTTGGGAAGCAGCCATGGGCTGACTGGCCTTTCTATAGTTTAAATAATTGATGAGGGTTTATAAACGGATGCATCTTGTGATGTGGCACGGATTGGCACTGGATTATATGACAATACAAATCAATAATTTGATATGTAGAGCTAAGAAACAGGCTACAAAATCGACATGCTCTTGCAGCCGGCTTCCCAAAGTTAACATTCGGGGATTCTATTATTAAAATATCGACTGCCAGACTAAACGCCATATGCTCACTAATGATGGGGAATGCAGTGGCATTATGTGACCGAAGGTGAGCCATGCACATGGCCAGAGCGGGGCATGCAAAAATAGGCCTGCAAAACAGCGCCGCTTGCGCGGTTTCGTTGCATGAGCTTGTTTCTACCCGGAAACGGGTCTATAAGGCCGGGTAAAGACAGCAGCAAAGTTTGTGGGAGCTCGAAGCTGCAGTTGAAATGGGGAATCGGATTGTGGCAAATAAAACGAGGCCATGCTCTGCTAAAGACAAGGAGTAAAATATATCGGTGACCCAGCTTAACCGCCCTAATCCTGCCCCACCCCCCACGACACCCGGTTCCCTTCTGTCGGTGTGCTGCAATATAGCTAGAGATCCCTGGACCGGGGACGACATGAAACAATAGCCGCCCTACAACTTTCTTTGGTCACAACACAATTAACTAGCTGATATGTAAACACCACAAACTATCTTCTTGATAGTTGTTTATGTTACACTTCCCACTATCTGACTAACGTTGGCGCTATGGTAATATTAGTTCCGACGATCGAACTATATAACTAGTCACGAAAAAACCCAAAGTACCGGCCACGGTAGCTAGTCGGGTCAACGCCGTAAACTTAACCCTTCTCACCACGGCAGTCCCCGGCTTCACCAGCCACACACATGCAGTATAAAAGAAACAAGGCCAAATATGCGGCCTCGACACTAACAAACAGTACAAACATGGGTTAGTTAGCTAACGTTAGCTTTATAAGGCAGTCGATATATTATTCGATTGAACATGGCAGACAAATAACGCCAACTGAGAAGTAATCTAGACAAAGTTACTATCTCGCAAGTTTAGCTAACGTTAACTGTTAGCTATTCTACTGCTAAACATGGCTACTAACGTTAACCTAGCTAGTTAACGAGCTAATAACACAAATATTTTCAAATTTGGCCAGTAGCCTACTGGCTACTTGGCGTTTGTTAGTAGCCAACTTTATATGAATCGCTAGCTAAATCCTACCGAGTATCGACAAATGGTCAATTTGTTTGATGTTGCGTTTGCTTGCTATTGTGGCCCAATGCATTCATGTGCTCTCGCTAGCTAATAACCTAGCTAGCTCGCTAGCCGAAATTGTCAGTTTGTTAGTTAGCTAATGCTAACTAAGCTATTTCCTTTCCCAGCGCTTAACGTTACCTGCTTGCTAATGTCACCAATTATTCAGCTATCAATCCAATTTCGTCTTATTTTGTTTAATATAGCTAGATAACACATCACATGCTACGTACAATATTGATTTGTAGACTGAAGTTTCTCGACGGGGCAGCTTCTTTCTCGTGCTCGTCCTCGCTTGTACTACAGGTTTGAAACGAGCACGCCGATTCTGTAGGAAGCACTGACCCTTTCCGGTTTCCGTTCACTTTCTTCTTCTTCGGTAGGGTTTAATGGCGGTTGGCATCCAATATAATGTTGTATTACCGCTTCCAACTGGACCGGATAATAAATCCATTCTACTTTGTGATATAGCAAAAAAAAAGTACCCTGCCAACTTTTTTAACACCCCATTCCACTAATTTAACCTTATTTAATCCTACACCAGGCCAATGGACAGGACACTACCATTCAACACCCCCTGTAACTCTTCTGCAGTAATATATTGTAATCCCAAGTACTTCTCGGCAGCTGCCACCGCAACACCTATTTTCTGTGATTTTACGTTCCATACCTGTGGTACAGTTAATAACCATAGCAATGAACGCTAAAAAGGCCAACCTTACTGAAGCACATTTCATTCGTATGCCTATCACTCTGTACTGGCAAAATTCTACTACTCACTGGGAGCCTCTAAGTATCCCTCACCCTTGACCCATCTTCCTCTACTTTCTCCACAACTCTGACCATGGCAACCTCAACCTGCCTCTCTCACACAGGACACTTCTGATCCCAGCAACATGGGCACCCCTACAGTTTACACACACCACTTCTTTCACTGATATTACACACTCCTTTGACTCATGCCCTCCTGTACACTTCTCACATCTATGAATCTTCCTCCTACACACTGCTGCAACATGACCATACACTTGGCACCTGAAACAGCGTAGTGGGTTCGGCACAAAAGCTTGTGCAGGAGAACTGATATATCCTACCATTACTTTGTCGGGTAAAGACTCAACATCAAAACTCAAAAGAACAGACAGGGCGTCGCTCCAGACGACGGGTGTCACAGACAACAGGAATCTTTCACTTCAGCTGACCCATCCCATCTTCACCCCTACCCCAGTAATCACTCCTTTCAATGGCGCCCTGTTCTTGAGAGCAAAGCAAAGCAAGGACGAAGATGTAATATCTCTTGCCCCCATCTGTGTGGTGCGGAGCGCACACTCCCTCTGGGCGGAAGAAACACAAAAAATCATCACAAGACCACTTCGGGTTACCTTCATCGATTCAACAGCACCCAACTCCTTTCCCACCAGTGGTGTAAAGTAATTAAGTAAAAATATTTTAAAGTACTACTTAAGTAGGTTTTGGGGTATCTGTACTTTACTATTACAATTTTCTACAACTTTTACTTTTATTTCACTACATTCCTAAAGAAAATAATGTACCTTTTACTCAATACATTTTCCCTGACACCCAAAATTACTTGTTCCATTTTGAATGCTTAGCATGACAGGAAAAATGTCAAATTCACACACTTATCAAGAAAACATCCCTGGTCATCCCTACTGCCTCTGATCTGGCAGACTCACTAAATACAAATGCTTCGTTTGTAAATTATGTCTGAGTGTTGGAGTGTGCCCCAGTCTATCCGTAAATAAAACAATCCAGAAAATGGTGCCGTCTGCTTTGTTTAATATAAGGAATAAAACATTATTTATACTTTTACTTTTGATACTTAAGTACAGTATCTCACAAAAGTGAGTACACCCCTCACATTTTTGTAAATATTTGAGTATATATTTTCATGTGACAACACTGAAGAAATGACACTTTGCTACAATGTAAAGTAGTGAGTGTACAGCTTGTATAACAGTGTAAATTTGCTGTACCCTCAAAATAACACAACACACAGCCATTAATGTCTAAATCGCTGGCAACAAAAGTGAGTACACCCCTAAGTGAAAATGTCCAAATTGGGCCCAAAGTGTCAATATTTTGTGTGGCCACCATCATTTTCCAGCACTGCCTTAACCCTCTTGGGCATGGAGTTCACCAGAGCGTCACAAGTTGCCACTGGAGTCCTCTTCCACTCCTCCATGACGACATCACGGAGCTGGTGGATGTTAGAGACCTTGCACTCCTCCACCTTCCGTTTGAGGATGCCCCACAGATGCTCAATAGGTCTGGAGACATGCTTGGCCAGTCCATCACCTTTACCCTCAGCTTCTTTAGCAAGGCAGTGGTCGTCTTGTAGGTGTGTTTGAGGTCGTTATCATGTTGGAATACTGCCCTGCAGCCCAGTCTCCGAAGGGAGGGGATCATGCTCTGCTTCAGTATGTCACTGTACATGTTGGCATTCACGGTTCCCTCAATGAACTGTAGCTCCCCAGTGCCGGCAGCACTCATGTAGCCCCAGACCATGACACTCCCACCACCATGCTTGACTGTAGGCAAGACACACTTGTCTTTGTACTCCTCACCTGGTTGCCGCCACACACGCTTGACACCATCTGAACCAAATAAGTTTATCTTGGTCTCATCAGACCACAGGACATGGTTCCAGTAATCCATGTCCTTAGTCTGCTTGTCTTCAGCAAACTGTTTGCGGGCTTTCTTGTGCATCATCTTTAGAAGAGGCTTCCTTCTGGGACGACAGCCATGCAGACCAATTTGATGCAGTGTGTGGCGTATGGTCTGAGCACTGACAGGCTGACCCCCCACCCCTTCAACCTCTGCAGCAATGCTGGCAGCACTCATACGTCTATTTCCCAAAGACAACCTCTGGATATGACGCTGAGCACATACACTCAACTTCTTTGGTCGACCATGGCGAGGCCTGTTCTGAGTGGAACCTGTCCTGCTAAACCGCTGTATGGTCTTGGCCACTGTGCTGCAGCTCAGTTTCAGGGTCTTGGCAATCTTCCTATAGCCCAGGCCATCTTTATGTAGAGCAACACTTATTTTTTTCAGATCCTCCGAGTTCTTTGCCATGAGGTGCCATGTTGAACTTCCAGTGACCAGTATGAGGGAGTGTGAGAGCGATGACACCAAATTTAACACACCTGCTCCCCATTCACACCTGAGACCTTGTAACACTAACGAGTCACATGACACCGGGGAGGGAAAATGGCTAATTGGGCCCAATTTGGACATTTTCACATATGGGTGTACTCACTTTTGTTGCCAGTGGTTTAGACATTAATGGCTGTGTGTTGAGTTATTTTGAGGGGACAGCAAATGTACACTGTTATACAAGCTGTACACTCACTACTTTACATTGTAGCAAAGTGTCATTTCTTCAGTGTTTTCACATGAAAATATATAATCAAATATTTACAAAAATGTGAGGGGTGTACTCACTTTTGTGAGATACTGTATATTTAAAACAAAATACTTTTAGACTTTTACTCAAGGAGTATTTTACTGGGTGACTTTCACTTTGACATAAGTCATTTTCCTATTAAGGTATCTTTACTTTTACTCAAGTATGACAACTGGATACTTTTTCCACCTCCGTTTCCCACCCACCCTGAAACCACATATGGGTCCACTAAAAAACAGGGGTCCACTTTCTCCAAAAATGTCAGTCTTACTGGATCAAATTCATCCTTATCCTAAACATCGGTGTGAGGCTCAGGCTCCAAGATCTTCTCCGTTCACTTTCCAAAGACATTTGTCGAAGTAAAGGAACTTCCAGTTGACCGTGGTGAGAGGCCAGTTGAATTTTTTTTAATGGCCTCTCAAAAGGGACATAGTTATTATTTAGCTAGATATAAAAATATGTTTAATAAATCAAACAGCAATTAACTTTCAAAAACATTGTTTTATAAAAAAAAGTCAAACATAAAAACAGAGGATTTCAGGCAACTCAACCTTTATCGAGATCCAAGCTTCCAGAAACATCCTGAAATAGCATTTAATCTGACCTAAAGAGCAGACATGATTGGCAGTTGTAGTTCAAAATTAACAATGTAGACAGTGTGTACACCGTAGGCAACGTGGTTTTTCACACAGGTCTACATTTGCTGTAAAAAATGTTTACTGTTCCCAAACAACATTCCTTGTAGTCGGAGCACGGAAAACAAACGGTCGACAACATCCCTTTTCCTTTCCTTGAAAACAACAAGACAAGTGGCGTACTTCGACTTGTGCACTCGTGTTGTTTTTAGGGCAACCCTTTCCCATGAATCAGCGATCTGCATCTAGATCAACAAGCACAATAGCCCACAATTGACCTGTTTGGCCCTTGGGGTTCCGACTGAACAATGGCTGTCCTGTCTTGTCGTTGGTATGAGGAGATTATACACACACCAAAAGAGATGATGGTTAGCACCACACCAGACAGACAATAGGGTCATACATCCAAAGGCATGAAATGCTTCTCATAGTCCGAAACAAACTGATCGTCCCCCGACAAGCTCCCGGACTCTCCCCCGTCCCTCTCCTCCTCGTCAGTGTCAATAATTTTACTGTAACCCTTGTCAGCAACCTCCTCCTTATCCCCCTCTGTGTCAGTCCTTGTGTGGGTGCGTTCCTCTCCCAACATCCCCTCTGTCTGTCCATCAGGGCTGGACCTTTTCCTAGGGCAGGCCTTGGCATCCCAGAAAAGGTTTTCCACCACCTCCAGCTCAGAGATCTTTGGGTTAGACTCCAGAGGAGAGCATATCACCGTCAAGGAGCTGTTAAACTAGAGCAACGACAGGCAGGGAGTCAGACACATTCATTTAGTCCTCTATGGTTGTATGTTATGCCTCTGACTGGTGATAATATAACTCAAGGGAATGGTATATTACTAGCCCAATACAGCCCCTGCTACTGTATGTGGTATAATCAATATTTAGGTTCATATAGTACGCACATTCTTTATTTTACAACAGGTTCTTACTGGAACACTACAAAGAATATACCATCTCTATCTATAGGTAGTTAGCTCCCAACCCTAAATGGCTGGAGGAAGAAAAACCAGGCAGGAAGACATGATGAACTGGGCCTCTGCCTGGGGCTCTGTCTACCACTAACTAGAATACTATAAGACTAACTAATATCAGACTAACTGATAGTAGATCAGTCAGTCACAGCCACATAGTGATAGTCTGCTCTGATCTCACCTGCAATTTCATCTGTTGGAACAGATTGCTGTTGCTGGGGTCAGGCCCTTTCTCACAACACCACTCAGGAACCAAGAAGCAAGTCTTCATTTGTATACTACAGAAAATAAACAACACTATCATTCACATACTTCACACCAAAAGGGCCTAAAGAGTTCACAATTCCTTGAATTGACTTGTCCATTTGTATATCACCCTAAAAGTGGTAGAAATATATTATCCAGTATGTTTTAGTTGAAAGGGGTCAAACATATTGTTTGTTTTATGTTTTTGATCAAGACCACTTGTTACGAATGGAGGGCACAATTGAAAGCCCAACTCAACTGCCCGTTCGGATTTCCACTTCCTCAAGCGTTTCCCCTTTTGTAAACTATTTCTGGCATGGGTGAACTTTCAGAGGGTTAGAGGAAGGAGACATGAGAGAGCACCACACCCTGTATGTGTTCAGTCGGCACGAAATGTTGCAAAGCCTTTAAAAACATTTTGTATCAGTGTGCCCTAATGAACATGGCCCTGGTTCAAGACAATGAGAAAATAATCAGAATTAGGCTATTGGGGTTGAAGTATGGGAATCCAGTCTCTCACCTTAAGATGATGACCAATGGCAACATTATTAATATTAATATTAATGGCAGCAGATATCTGAGGTAACCTGTGACAACAAAGGGAGAGAGATGGGGGAGGTCAGAAGGCAAAATGACCAATTAGATCGCAATCCATGTTCATAATCACATACTGTAGCACAAAGGTGCATTCAATATTAGACTGTTATTACTTTCTAAGGAACTTCAGGACCCTTTTCTGTTTTAAAGGTGATGTTATATACAGTATTATACACAACATACAATAATATTTCTAGGTTGTTTAATAATAAATAATAATTACAGTGTTATACACAACCTCAGTGTCACCAGTTAGGGCACATAAACACTTAATACATCTCATCACGGTTGTTAGAGAACCTATAACAGCTATACACTATCAAATTACTACATGGCAGAGTGAGGCCAGTCCAGGAGGACCACAATCAAACGACAAGTGGTAGAATACCATGGCTGTTCTTGGTGGAGAAGCTGATGGTTTCACTGGGTCCCAGTCCAGCCTTAGTCTCAGCCCTGATCCAGACCTGGTGGTGACCCGGTGTAAGTCCTAACAGATGGAAGCTGCTCTGGTCCGCACTCACGTTGTACACTGCAGATGGAGGAAAGGTTGAATGATTGTGAGCAAGGCCACTGATGTGTGGGAACTAGAGTGTGCAGTACGGTAGCCTGTGGATAGTCTGGTCCCAGATCGGTTTGTGCTGTGTCTGTGTGACAATGACTATAGGAGTTTGCAGGACAGAACAAACAGATCTGGGAACAGGCTTAAATATTTAATACTATTTAATCTACTACAATTTAATGCTGTATTTTATGCTAATGTACACAATGAACAGTGGACACTGTACTTTTATTATAACAATATAACAACAAAAGATAGCTCATTTATCCCAGATGGTCCTCCAATGTCTTTGTGTTGTATACCTGTAAAGTTGTTTAGTACCAGCTGATAGCGCAGTATGAGCCCCTTACTCTGGTTCAGGGAGATGTGTTGCCAGGACAAAGTCACATCAGAGTCAGCGATTTGCTGGACATTGAACACAGGCACTTTGGGTGGGACTGAGGAGTGATAGAGAGAAGAAAAGATGGAGGTGAAACGGAGTGAGGAATAAACAAAAGGAACACAAATGTAAACAATAAAAAAAATAATCATGTTTTACAGGGAGTTAAAAGACCGGACAAATTAACATTAGGTAAAGACTTTATATTTCAAGTTCGTTTACTCCACTGAAAATCGGTCATGTGCACTAATTGCACTGATTACATACTGGCAAGTACATTATAAAGACTTGTATTTCCATGCTCTAATATACTTACGTCCATGAAGTGAATACCCAATTGTAGATGCAAGCAGGCAGCTACTGTTGATGAACACCGCAAACAATGACACATTGTAAGCAGTGTGTTTCTCAAAGTCACCTGTAGGTGGAGACAGAGACAAAGGTGATGCTGTCATCTTGAAACCAATTTGAAACACTACAAAATATCTTATAATAATATAATAATATGCCATTTAGCAGACGCTTTTATCCAAAGCGACTTACAGTCATGCGTGCATACATTTTTGTGTATGGGTGGTCCCGGGGATCTTGAAATATGTTCAGAGAGAAATGGTATTATTGATCAATTTAAGCCACACAAACCTCTTAAAATGATTGATGTATTTTTTTGGTGTACTTTTATCCAATCAAAACCCTTTGTCAGAGGATGTCCCATCTTCTTGTACTGTACCACATACTCCTGCATGTTTTCAATGGCCTGGGGTGGCAGAGACCAGGATACATTGAGGCTCAATATATCCAGGTTCACAGTGAAGGATAGCTCTGGCACCTGTAGACCTGAGCGGAAGAGAAAACGTGTGAATATGTGAAGACAGAAACATACAAACCTTCACTCTATTATCCCTCTCTCTTTTTAACAACTCCCTTTATTTCTCTCTTTCTCTCACACACAAACACACACACACTCACACCCCATTCCCTTACCTAATGTGGGTAGAGCTAGGGGAGCAGGTTTGCTGGCACCCTGGGAATTGTAGACTGACACATCCACCCCTGATACACCCTGCAGAGAGGGAGTGAAGCGGCATCTCTTCTCTTGACAGACACACGGGCCATCAAGCTCTGACGTGGACATGTTCACAACCTTCACTGTCCCATTACTGTGTGATAATGTCACCACGTACCCCAGCACCTTCCCCTGAGCCAACCAGGTGGGCATCTCCTGAGGATAGATACCAGACAGGGGTATTAGTTATAGCAGGCTGTAGGGAACGGGGGTGTTTTGGGGCGGCATGTAGCCTAGCGGTTAAGAGCGTTGGGCCAGTAACCGAAAGGTTGCTGATTTGAATCCCTGAGCCGACTAGGTGAAAAATCTGTCGATGTGCCCTTGAGCAAGGCACTTAACCCTATTTGCTTATGTAAGCCGCTCTGGATAAGAGTGCCTGCTAAATTATGTAAATGTTTTGAAGTTCTTATGATTAGAAAATGCATAATCCTTTGAAACATGAATCACTTGTCTAACCTGATTATATGGTATAGAGTTTGCTATATATGTACAGTCCCAGTCAAAAGTTTGGACACACCTACTCATTTAAGGGTTTTTCTTTATTTTTACTATTTTCCACATTGTAGAATAATAGTGAAGACATCAAAACTATGAAATAACACATATGGAATCATGTAGTAACCATAAAGGTGTTAAACAAATCAAAATATATTTTATATTTGAGATTCTTCTAAGTAGCCACCCTTTGCCTTGATGACATCTTTGCACACCCTTGGCATTTGCTCAACCAGCTTCACCTGGAATGCTTTTCCAATAGTCTTGAAGGAGTTCCCACATATGCTGAGCACTTGTTGGCTGCTTTTCCTTCACTCTGCGGTCCAACTCATCCCAAACCATCTCAATTGGGTTGAGGTCGGGGGATTGTGGAGGCCAGGTCATCTGATGCAGCACTCCATCACTGTCCTTCTTGGTCAAATAGCCCTTACACAACCTGGAGGTGTGTTGGGTCATTGTCCTGTTGAAAAACAAATGATAGTCCCACTAAGCGCAAACCAGATGGGATGGCGTATCGCTGCAGAATGCTGTGGTAGCCATGCTGGTTAAGTGTGCCTTGAATTCTAAATAAATCACAGACCGTGTCACCAGCAAAGCACCCCCACACCATCACACCTCTCCTCCATGCTTCACGGTGGGAACCACACATGCGGAGATCATCCGTTCACCTACTCTGCGTCTGACAAAGACACGGCGGTTGGAACCAAAAATCTCAAATTTGGACTCATCAGACCAAAGGACAGATTTCCACTGGTCTAATGTCCATTGCTCGTGTTTCTTGGCCCAAGCAAGTCTCTTCTTCTTATTGGTGTCCTTTAGTAGTGGTTTCTTTGCAGAAAGTCGACCATGAAGGCCTGATTCACACAGTCTCCTCTGAACAGTTGATGTTGAGATGTGTCTGTGACTTGAACTCTGTGAAGCATTTATTTGGGCTGCAATTTCTGAGGCCGGTAACTCTAATGAACTTATCCTCTGCAGCAGAGGTAACTCTGGGTCTTCCTTTCCTGTAGCGGTCCTCATGAGAGATAGTTTCATCATAGCGCTTGATGGTTGTTGTGACTGCACTTGAAGAAACTTTCAAAGTTCTTGAAATTTTCCGGATTGACTGACCTTCATGTCTTAAAGTAAGGATGGACTGTCCTTTCTCTTTGCTTATTTGAGCTGTTCTTGCTATACACACATTAAGAAGGAAAGAAATTCCACAAATTAACTTTTAACAAGGCACACCTGTTAATTGAAATGCATTCCAGGTGACTACCTCATGAAGATGGTTGAGGGAATGTCAAGACTATGCAAAGCTGTCATCAAGGCAAAGGGTGGCTACTTTGAAGAATCTTTGTTTAACACTTTTTTGGTTACTACATGATTCCATATGTGTTATTTCATAGTTTTGATGTCTTCACTATTATTCTACAATGTAGAAAATAGTAAAAATAAAGAATGAGTAGGTGTGTCCAAACTTTTGACTGGTACTGTACAGTATATATGATATATTATGATATATTTCCTATTATGATGGGATGTTGCGTTAACATACCTTCCACATAAGGGCACATTGAGAAAGCTCAGAGGTGACTCCACAGTCACTCCACACATCCAATGCTTTCACAGGCGCTGAGAGAGAGAGAGAGAAATAGTTTGATCATCTATCACCACAGAATAAGTGCACACATATTTTCAAGCTGTGGAGACCACAGGACTACATTACCCATCAGCACCCACTGACAGACCTGACTCAGAACTCTGTGCTGTGTAGACTGAGCTCCAGTCACTCATCAGGGCCTCAGGGCCCTCACAGGCACAGCGCACCTGGAACTCATACACAGTGTAGGGCCGTGGAGTCAGGAGCAGGAAGTTGCGTAGGAGCTGGTCTTCCTGAGCAGGACATGAAAGAATGACACACAAAAGAACAGGGATGGGAAAGAGGCGGTCCCAGGGATGGGGGATTATTTTGGATTAAAAAACAACTCCAGGCTACACTTTCACATTTAAAACCTTATAGAAAGTAAAATGATAATAGAGCTATATATATTTTGAAATAGCTGGCCTTTTCTGCCTGCAAATTGATTTTGACAAACAAATTGGTCCCCAAAAAATCTAATACTTCAAACATAAAGTGGATAGCAGAAAACATGATTACCGTTTACCCTCACTCCTATGGCAGACCAGAGCCTTAGATATGCAGTTTTAGAAACTGTTCTTCATTTTCTAAGCATTACATGGCAAAGTAGACAAAGTTGTCTATCAACTGCAAAAATGTAGAGCAACAGAACCAGTTACAACTGAAATATCAACAACCACATATCATCAGGTAGGGCTATATGCACTTGTATCTTTTCTTCGTTTGGGAAACTATCATTTTCTAATTTATTCTATTTTATTCCATAATATTGTTGTTACAAAATTGATTTGTGTTGACTGTGATTAGGGCATGGGAATATAAGAGTATCTGCTAGGCTAAATTAACAAACTAGGCATGCATAGCTCACTGCATGATCTTCAAACCAAAGACCGGCCAAACTCGTGTTCCTAAAAGTGAATTAAAAGGCAGTATAAAATGACTGTATGGCCTAATAAGGCATTTTTCCTTTCTTTATTATTTAATTCAAAGTATATTTTATTCTCATTTTATACAACCTAAATGTGAAATGTATAGTCATGTTGTTGAAGTGCTGTTGTTGATGTGTTGTTGAAATGCTGAGCGCTCCTGCCAGCCTGTAGCGTGGCACAAACGCTTCACAATTCATTTCTTAAAATGGCAGGCTATAGCCTTGTTATTATTATTAATAATAATAATAATAATAATAATAATAATATAGCCTAAATAATTCATTTTCGTTCCTTCTTAGGCTACCTGGTTTGCTACTGACTGATTTGGAGGTAGTGTGTTGTTTAATAGCCTGTTGAAATGTGGAACGTCAATTGATAGTGACAGAATCACACATTACTTCTCAAGCAAAGTACATGTTTTGTCTCCTTGACTATAGAAGGTTGTAGCACAGCCTTTGAATGTCATAGAGACAAACCAAAGATATCCCATATGCATCAGAGTTTCCCCAGCATTTTACAGCTTGTTTCTAGCATTGCGGACTAAAGCGTTGTTACAGATCACTTTATATAATCAGGTCCATTAACTGTTTTTCTAAATCTTAAGCTAACAAGGACTATGCTTTTAGCCATTTTCTCAATTCAAGCCCTGGTTTTAACTTAACTCACCAAGCCCTTCACTGACACTGAGATCTTTAAGGAGTGCATGGTGACTGAATGAATTGGCTGACAAAATCTATGGATAGTTGGCTATAATTGCATCTGTCAAACAGTTAGTCCTACCACTTATTTATTGAAAAGTAAGAAATAGGCTCCAACACAAAGCCCTCCTGTTGTTAGTAGCCTAAAGTCAAATTAAAATTAACTGTTTAAATGAATTAGGCCTCGAATTAGCCTACTTTCAGCACCCATGCGCTGTCCATCTCCGTGGCTGCCGGTTCATAGTAATGTAAGTCTTGAATATGGCTTATCGTGAGGTCAATAACTCTGATAAATATCTTCATTATGGGCAACGAAACATGATGTTTACCTCCAGTCCTCCTCATCTTCAGCTCTCCCTCTCAAACTGAACAGGACATCAGCAGGCCAACTCCGCGCGAACAGATATTGCAATTTTTGTCCAGGGCTCATGATTGGGATAGCCTATCCATTGCAGTGTGTAATGCAGTGTAGGCTAGTTTTATATACACCATCCGAGCAGCGCATAAACTCGGGAAGAAAGTAAATTTTCTTAGAAGCATGCTTTTCGTATAGCCTTGGCCTATTGCCTATAGTATAGGCTATGGATCATTTGATTGAGACCACACTAGGCTGACTTGATATTGCGTGACCCTCCCCTGGACTAAATAAAAAAATACTAAACCCTCCCCAACTGAAATTGAAAAAACATAATTGGGTTTGTCTGCTAAATGGCATATTATATTTTATTATATTATTATTATATTATTATTATTATTACATATCGACCGCTCCCAAAATACCCAGTCTTCTCTCCTGAAGTGCACACTCGCACAGTACTCCCCACATTGGATTGGTGTAGGTTTGGGCTAGGAGTGGGCGGGAGGGACTTTCCAACATATTTCTTATACCAGTCATTGTATTTTAAATCCATGAATGGAAGTGAACAAGTGCGCACTTGGGGAGAAGGGTGGAGAATCGGTAGACAGCCATTGTATGGGGAAATGAACAAAACCCCAGCCATGCTCAGCTCACTCACCTGAGTCCAGCCCTGCTGGTCCTGGGTGCGATACTGGACCTCACAGTGTGGGTCAGAGCTGCCTAGATCATGACACTGCAATGTCCAGTAGATCTCCAGAGGCGGAGGACAATGGTGAGTGATGTTAGGGGTGGGTGGCTTTTCTGGTAGAGGAATGGATAGGGAAGAGAGGACAGAGTGGGAGAGAGTGGAAGAAAGAGGGAAAGAAAGAGAGAGAAAGAGAGAGAGAGATAGAGAGAGTGAGGGTGGGTGGGGGGAGAGAAAGAGCACGAGAGAGAGAGAGTGTGACTGAAAGTGTAATGTCTGTCCCTCTGAATGAATAGGGAATGTACAGAGAAGAGTCATCCCTGACTGACTCACTGATATCGCCAGAGTTGAATTCAACCGTTTTAGACTTGGCAGAGCCATGCTGGTTCTCAGCTCTGACCAACACAGTCATGAAACTGAAACTGGAGTAAAGGTCACGAGGGATCACGCCACTCACATTGGTGCCCTCCACGAAGCCGCTACCGCTGAAAAGGAAAAGGAAGATGCAAGACACATAAATACACACCCAAACCCCAAACACCACAGCTGACAGCACTGTGCAGACATACAGTCCTAGACCACAGACACAGACCTAGCTCCAACACACCAGGCATAACACACGGCAGCAGGTAGGGCTGTGATGGTCATGGAATTTTGGATGACAGCTATTGGCCAGTCAAATGACCGCGGTCACGTAACAACCGTTCACATAGCAAAGGAAAAGACTCACATTTTCTACTCTCCGCCGCTCCTGACTGCAGGCGCTGCCATAGAAATAGAATGAACAAAACGGGCGTCCCCATCAAGTCAATGATGGCATAATGGGTGGACTGGAAGCCATTGTGAGTGTCCCATAGGAGCAAAGCTAGGTTGAAGATGGGAAGGTTAAGACAACAGCGTTACAAGGATCTACCGCTCTGAGTCAACCATGGGACCAACTCAAGCGTTGTAGCTACGGTGCCTAGGCAGAAGGCAAGCGGTCTGAAGCAGATCATAAGGCTGGTGAAAACTAATGCCAGAAAAAAGACAACAACCATCTAGCCAGCTAGCTAACATCTAGGTTACAAGGTAAGACAACGGGGTTCTAATATCCCATAACTCTTTGCAAGTCATGGGACCAGCGATGCTAGTTAGCAACGGCGTTAGTAGTTATAAAGATTATGGATATACTGAAAAAATGCATCTCTCCACCCTATCAATGGGAGTCGTTGTCCACAAAGTGGCACGGCGGGCTGTCTAGCTCCCGCCTATCCTTTCTTTGTATTGGTGGATACATCACATTATTGTAATTCTTTTTTGACTATTCAAATAGGGTTGTTGATGTCAACCGCCTGTACTCAATGGAGAGAGATGCTATGCTACTAGCCTCATGCCATGCATATGCATAGCCATCTCGAGACAACTCCAATATAAAGTGTTTTTTTCTCAACGTTGCCGGGACGTCATGTGTCCTACTTATATCAGTACACTCATAACAACTTCAGCATTACGAAACTTCTATTCGATCAAATAAACCTCACGTAGCAAATAAGCCATACATTTTATGTTGACCAAATTCGACATTCTCATTAACCTCAGAAACCACAGAAAAACACCACCTACTGGAGGGAGACAGATTTTCTGCCGAGTTGAGCCTCTCTCATCCTCCTCGTCTCTGGTAGTTATTAATGGCGCTGGTCCCATGAATGTTAATTTTTTTCTAATGCAGTACAGTATGAAGATAGGCTAAAACTGCTTATCCAATAGAAATAACCTGGTCACACTTGTAGTTGATGTCATGGCGACGTTGGCTAACTTAGCTCATGTGTAGAAACACGGTTGTCTCGCGTCGAACTGCGCATGTGCAGGCCGTCAAATCAATGGCATTCCTTCAATATAAAGTTGTTTTTGACGAAAATGTAAACGTGTCATTTTATCACCTTCACGAGGTTTGACTAATAACAAGTTCAACTACTTAAAGCTACAATATGTCTCTCTCTCTCCCGCTACTCTCTCCTCTTCCATCCTATCATCTCTTCCCTCTGCTCAATCCTTCTCCCTCCAATCTCCTGATTCTGCCTCCTCAACCCTCCTCTCCTCCCTTTTTGCATCCTTTGACTCTCTATGTCCCCTATCCTCCCGGCCGGCTCGGTCCTCCCCTCCTGCTCCGTGGCTTGATGACTCATTGCGAGCTCACAGAACAGGGCTCCGGGCAGCCGAGCGGAAATAGAGGAAAACTAGACTCCCTGCGGACCTGGCATCTTTTCACTCCCTCCTCTCTACATTTTCTTCATCTGTTTCTGCTGCTAAAGCCACTTTCTACCACTCTAAATTCCAAGCATCTGCCTCTAACCCTAGGAAGCTCTTTGCCACCTTCTCCTCCCTGCTGAATCCTCCTCCCCCCCTCCCCCCCCCTCCTCCCTCTCTGTGGATGACTTCGTCAACCATTTTGAAAAGAAGGTTGACGACATCCGATCCTCGTTTGTTAAGTCAAATGACACTGCTGGTCCTGCTCAATCTGCCCTACCCTATGCTTTGACTTCTTTCTCCCCTCTCTCTCCAGATAAAATCTTGCTACTTGTGACGGCCGGCCGCCCAACAACCTGCCCGCTTGACCCTATCCCCTCCTCTCTTCTCCAGACCATCTCCGGTGACCTTCTCCCTTACCTCACCTCGCTCATCAACTCATCCTTGACCGCTGGCTATGTCCCTTCCGTCTTCAAGAGAGCGAGAGTTGCACCCCTTCTCAAAAAACCAACACTCGATCCCTCTGATGTCAACAACTACAGACCAGTATCCCTTCTTTCTTTTCTCTCCAAAACTCTTGAGCGTGCCGTCTTTAGCCAACTCTCTTGCTACCTCTCTGAGAATGACCTTCTTGACCAAACCAGTCAGATTTCAAGACTGGTCATTCAACTGAGACTGCTCTTCTCTGTCTCACAGAGGCTCTCCGCACTGCTAAAGCGAACTCTCTCTCCTCTGCTCTTGTCCTTCTAGACCTGTCTGCTGCCTTTGATACTGTGAACCATCAGATCCTCCTCTCCACCCTCTCCGAGCTGGGCATCTCCGGCGCGGCTCACTCTTGGATTGCGTCCTACCTGACCGGTCGCTCCTACCAAGTGGCGTGGCGAGAATCTGTCTCCGCACCACATGCTCTCACCACTGGTGTCCCCCAGGGCTCAGTTCTAGGCCCTCTCCTATTCTCGCTATACACCAAGTCACTTGGCTCTGTCATATCCTCACATGGCCTCTCCTATCATTGCTACGCAGACAACACACAACTAATCTTCTCCTTTTCCCCTTCTGATAACCAGGTGGCTAATCGCATCTCTGCATGTCTGGCAGACATATCGGTGTGGATGACGGATCACCACCTCAAGCTGAACCTCGGCAAGACGGAGCTGCTCTTCCTCCCGGGGCAGGACTGTCCGTTCCATGATCTCGCCATCACGGTTGACAACTCCGTTGTGTCCTCCTCCCAGAGTGCGAAGAGCCTTGGCGTGACCCTGGACAACACCCTGTCGTTCTCCGCTAACATCAAGGCGGTGACCCGATCCTGTAGGTTCATGCTCTACAACATTCAGAGAGTACGACACTGCCTTACACAGGAAGCAGCACAGGTCCTAATCCAGGCACTTGTCATCTCCCGTCTGGATTACTGCAACTCGCTGTTGGCTGGGCTCCCTGCCTGTGCCATTAAACCCCTACAACTCATCCAGAATGCCGCAGCCCGTCTGGTGTTCAACCTTCCCAAGTTCTCTCACGTCACCCCGCTCCTCCGCACACTCCACTGGCTTCCAGTTGAAGCTCGCATCTGCTACAAGACCATGGTGCTTGCCTACGGAGCTGTGAGGGGAACGGCATCTCTGTACCTTCAGGCTCTGATCAGTCCCTACACCCAAACGAGGGCATTGCGTTCATCCACCTCTGGCCTGCTGTCCCCCCTACCTCTGCGGAAGCACAGTTCCCGCTCAGCCCAGTCAAAACTGTTCGCTGCTCTGGCACCCCAATGGTGGAACAAGCTCCCTCACGACGCCAGGACAGCGGAGTCACTCACCACCTTCCGGTGACACTTGAAACCCCACCTCTTTAAGGAATACCTGGGATATGATAAAGTAATCCTTCTACCCCCCCTTACCCCACCCCCCCCAAAAAAAAAATATATATTGTAAAGTGGTTATCCCACTGGTTATAAGGTGAATGCACAAATTTGTAAGTCGCTCTGGATAAGAGCGTCTGCTAAATGACGTAAATGTACTTTTTTGGGCGACCCGACCAAATTCACATAGAAATGTGTGGTATAGATCTGTCATTCTCATTGAAAGGAAGTTTAAGAAGAGGTAGATATGTTCTAAGTGCGCTATTTCTATGCTTCCCGTTCTTAAGTTGAGCTTTTGCTTCTTTTACTTTCGGTTTTGCACACCAGCTTCAAACAGCTGAAAATAAAAAAATGTGGTTGTGGAAAAGATATTAGATGGTACAATGATTCTCCACACTATACTTGCTTGTTTTGTCACAAACTGAAATTAGGCGAACTATTAGAATTTTAGCAACCATAGAGCATCTTTAAGACATTGGCTCGAATCTAGGTTGTGCCTTTAGATTTCAAGAAAATGAACAACTAAGGAAAACATTTTCACTTCTCTCATTGACTTCTCAAACCCCAAATCCCGGCCTGGTCTCAAGCGTTCCCGGATGTCTCGCGATGTTGCGCCTCTGGGTTTAGTAACTCTGTGATTGTATTTTTTTAACCTAGTCTTCAGTCTAGGTAAAAGAAATACAACGTTAAGACCACGTAATAATTCCATGCAGAAGCATTCGAAAAATAAACAAATTCATGGGACCAGCACCATTGATAACTACTAGTGCCATTGCTAACTAGCAATACTGGTCCCATGAATTGCAAAGAGTTATGGGATATTAGAACACAGTTGTCTTAACCTTGTAATCTTCAACCTAGATGTTGGTTAGATGGTTGTTGTCTGTTTTCTGGCATTAGCTTAAAATGCATTATTTTTTTCACCAGCCTAGTCACCATAGCTACAATGCTTGAGTTGGTCCCATGGTTTATTCAGAGTGGTAGAACCTCCGCATTATTGAGACGCCGTTGTTTTAACCTTCCCATCTTCAACCTAGGAGCAAAGCAGGAAGTAAAAGCGTGAAGCGTACCCATCAATATGTGCTGTGATTTGTTGATTCAACTCAACTGACATTACAAAAAATACATTATATTACATGAGCCACATCAGTTAACGTCATTAGAATTAACATTTACAATTGAAGTTGGAAGTTTAGTCCCCTGTAGCTCAGTTGGTAGAGCATGGCGCTTGCAACGCCAGGGTTGTGGGTTCGTTTCCCACGGGGGATTATACAGTATGAAAATGTATGCACTCACTAACTGTAAGTCGCTCTGGATAAGAGCGTCTGCTAAATGACTAAAATGTAAATGTTTACATACACCTTAGCCAAATACATTTAAACTCAGTTTTTCACAATTCCTGAGATTTAATCCTAGGACAAATTCCCTGTCTTAAGTCAGTTAGGATCACCACTTTATTTTAAGAATGTGAAATGTCAGAATAATAGTAGAGAGAATGATTTATTTCAGCTTTTATTTCTTTCATCACATTCCCAGTGGGTCAGAAGTTAACATACACTCAATTAGTATTTGTTAGCATTGCCTTTAAATTGTTTAACTTGGGTCAAATGTTTCGGGTAGCCTTCCACAAGTTCCCACAATAGGTTGGGTGAATTTTGGCCCATTCCTCCTGACAGAGCTGGTGTAACTGAGTTAGGTTTGTAGGCCTCCTTGCTCGCACACGCTTTTTCAGTTCTGTCCACACATTTTCTATAGGATTGAGGTCAGGGCTTTGTGATGGCCACTCCAATACCTTGACTTTGTTGTCCTTAAGCCATTTTTCCACAACTTCCTGACTGATGTCTTGAGATGTTGCTTCAATATATCCACATAATTTTCCTTCCTCATGATGCCATCTATTTTGTGAAGTGCACCAGTCCCTCCTGCAGCAAAGCACCCCCACAGCATGATGCTGCCACCCCGTGCTTCACGGTTGGGATGGTATTCTTCGGCTTGCAAGGCACCCCCTTTTTCCTCCAAACATAACGATGGTCATTATGACCAGAGGACATTTCTCCAAAAAGTACGATCTTTGTCCCCATGTGCAGTTGCAAACCGTAGTCTGGCTTTTTTATGGTGGTTTTGGAGCAGTGGCTTCTTCCTTGCTGAGCGGCCTTTCAGGTTATGTCGATATAGGACTCGTTTTACTGTGGATATAGATACTTTTGTACCCATTTCCTCCAGCATCTTCACAAGGTCCTTTGCTGTTGTTCTGGGATTGATTCACACTTTTCTCACCAAAGTATGTTCATCTCTAGGAGACAGAACGCGTCTCCTTCCTGAGTGGATGAAGGCTGCGTGGTCCCATGGTGTTTATACTTGCGTACTATTGTTTGTACAGATGAACGTGGTACCTTCAGGCGTTTGGAAATTGCTCCCAAGGATGAACCAGACTTGTGGAGGTCTACAATCTTTTTCTGAAGTCTTGGCTGATCTCTTTTGATTTTCCCATGATGTCAAGCAAAGAGGCACTGAGTTTGAAATACATCCACAGGTACACCTCCAATTGACTCAAATGATGTCAATTAGCCTATCAGAAGCTTCTAAAGCCATGCCATCATTTTCTGGAATTTTCCAAGTTGTTTAAAGGCACAGTCAACTTAGTGTATGTAAACTTCTGACCCACTGGAATTGTGATACAGTGAATTATAAGTGAAATAATCTGTCTGTAAACAATTGTTGGAAAAATTACTTGTGTCATGCACAAAGTAGATGTCCTAACCCACTTGCCAAAACTATAGTTTGTTAACAAGAAATGTGTGGAGTGGTTGAAAAACGAGTTTTAATGACTCCAACCTAAGTGGATGTAAACTTCCGACTTCAACTGTACATTACCATGGAAATTATTGCGTCACAATAGAAAGCAGCCATTGCGAGTGTACTCATGAGTTTACCAGTCAAATTGCCAGGGTCAGAGGTTCTAAGCCTGTTTTATTCATTCTACAGTATTTCTATGTGTGCTGCTGCTGCAGGGAGAGAGGTTTTGCCTAGGCAACCGGAGACTTGTTTGCTACAACACCTTGCTTGTTTCAGCAAAGAGCAACAAAGTTTTATCACGTTGTTAAGAGTCCATGTTACCGCAGAAACGGACTCAACCACAAGAATGCCCAGCCGTCCCACCTTCAGTCAGCTGTTCATTCCACACCACGGTTATGACAGTTATTTTATTTTCATGACGGTTTTCATCCATAACCGTCGGTTACACGGTTATACAGTAATTGTGCCAGCTTTAGCTGCAGGTTAACATTGTGAATGCGCATTACCCCACCACCGCGGAAAAGAAAGCCAAATTCCCACTTGGTTACGAACGCAGCATAAGAGCTCGCCTCTTATGCTGCATTTGTAACCAAGTGGGAAGTGGGAATTTACCGCCATAGGGTTGGATAGAGAACTGTAGATGCATAAAACCCATTTTAGCATGGACATTGCCATTGAGGGCTTCCACCATTTTAAAGTAGTCAACTGGTTGGGACTTCTTATGGGTGATGGAAGGATCACATGATTCCATTCGGGTCATCAAGAGGGATCAGACAATTAATTATACTCGTGAACAAACATTCCAAATTAAATAAAGATGTATTCGTCACATGCTTCCTAAACATGTGTAGACTAACAGTGAAATTCTTACTTATGGGCCCTTCCCAACAATGCAGAGAGAAAGAAAATAGATAAATAATAGAAAAGTAATAACAGGTAATAACGAAAGTAATAATAAATATACAATGAGTAACAATAACTTGGCTATATACACGGGGTACCAGTACTGGGTCGATGTGCAGGGGTACAAGGTCATTGAGGTAGATATGTACATATAACTAGGAATGAAGTGACTAGGCAACAGAATAGATAATAGACAGTAGCAGCAGCGTTTCTGTGACGAGTCAAAGAAGTTAGTGCAAATATGGTCAATGCAGATTGTCCGGGTAGCTATTAAACTAACTATTTCGCAGTCTTATGGCTTGGGGGTAGAAGCTGTGTTGGTGTGTGTGGACCATGATAGATCCTTAGTGATGTGGACATCGAGGAACTTGAAGCTCTCGACCCACTCCACTACAGCCCTGTCGATGTGAATGAGGGCGTGCTTTGCCTTCTGTTTCCTGTAGTCAACGATCAGCTCCTTTGTCTTGCTGACTTTTGAGGGAGAGGTTGTTGTCCTGGCACCACACTGCCATGTCTCTGACCTCCTCCCTATAGGCCTACATCGCTGATCATGCCTACCACCGTCGTGTCGTCAGCAAACTTAATGATGGTGTTGGAGTCATGCGCGACCATGCAGTCGCGGGTGAACAGGGAGTACAGGAGGGGACTAAGCATGCACCCCTGAGGAGCCCCCGTGTTTAGGGTCATTGTGGGGGATATGTTGTTGCCTACCCTCACCACCTGGGGGTGGCCCGTCAGGAAGCACAGGATACAGTTGCAGAGGGAGGTGTTCAGTGCCAGGGTCCTTAGCTTAGTGATGAGCTTGGAGGGCACCATGGTGTTGAACGCTGAGCTGTAGTCAATGAACAGCATTCTCACATAGGTGTTCCTCTTGTCCAGGTGGGAGAGGGCAGTGTGTGGAGAGCAATAGAGAATGCGACATCTGTGGATCTGTTGGGGCGGTATGCGAATTGAAGTGGGTCCAGTGTGTCTGGGATGTTGGTTACCTTGGTGTTCTTGGGCACAGGGACTATGGTGGTCTGCTTGAAACAAGTAGGTATTACAGACTGGCTCAGGGAGCACTTGAAAATGTCAGTGAAGATACTTGTGTGGAGTAAAGGTGATCTAGAGTTTTGTCGTCTGTAGTTGCACAGGTGACATGCTGGTAGAAATTAGGTAAGACAGATGTCAGTTTCCCTGCATTATAATCACCGGCCACTAGGAGCGCCGCCTCTGGATGAGCATTTTCTTGTTTGTTTATGGCGCTATACAGCTCGTTGTGTGCGGTCTTAGTGCCAGCATCGGTTTGTGGTGGTAAATAAACAGCTACAAAAATATTGATGAAAACTCTCTTGGTAAATAGTATGGTCTACAGCTTATCATGAGGTATTATAACTCAGGCGAGCAGAACCTTGAGACTTCCTTAATATTAGAGAATGCACACAAGCTGTTGTTAACAAAGAGACACACACCTCGGCTTTAAACCTCTTCGAACAACACAAACAACGCAGTATGCACCCTTTCAGTTTGTTTGCCAACTCATAGAAGTAGTAGAAAAAGAAAACAGACTACTTCAAAATGGAGATGGTCTCAATGGCGCTGCCTGTGCTCTTACATATGCCATAATGGGACAGATACAAAGATGATATCTCTATCATTCTCTGTGTTTACCACACATGACTGGGAAAAAATTATAATTTGAACGGCCCTCCAACTGGTAATTACTAGTGGGAAACTTGTCTGTTTCGCTCGCTTGGATGCTTTATCTGAGATTGATACGTCTTTCTGTCGGTGCGCCTCTGTGTCAAATAAATGATCACTATTTCAATATTTTATTTGGACCGACAAGGAGGTACGTTAGGGCACATAAGCCCGGCCCTGGCACGGGCAGCGCCATTGAGCCATCTCCATTTTGAAGTAGTCCATTTTCTTCTTCTACTACTTCTATGAGTTGGTAAACAAACTGAAAGGGTGCGTACTGCCATCTAGAGTGTGTTGTTTTAACAGGTATAAAGCCAAGGATGGCGATTTACTACCACCTACAGTATTGTAATGCTTACTCACAAGTATAATTCATTGGCTGATCCCTCCTGATGACCCGGATGGAATCATGTGATCCTTCTTTCACCCATAGGAAGTCCCACCCAGTTGACTACTTTAAAATGGTGAATCCCTCAATGACAATGTCCATGCCAAATGGGTTTTATCCATCTAGAGTCCTCCATCTAACGCTATGGTGGTAAATTCCCACTTCCCACTTGGTTACAAACACAGCATTAATCCATCGGTTTCTAAACACCACGAGTCACCGCAGGTTTCCAAACACAGCAAATAAACAGCTATTCTTGCATCTGTGTAGGAACAGTATACAGTGGGGGGAAAAAAATATTTAGTCAGCCACCAATTGTGCAAGTTCTCCCACTTAAAAAGATGAGAGAGGCCTGTAATTTTCATCATAGATACACGTAAACTATGACAGACAAAATGAGGAAAATAATTCAGATTTTTAATGAATTTATTTGCAAATTATGGTGGAAAATAAGTATTTGGCCAATAACAAACGTTTCTCAATACTTTGTTATATACCCTTTGTTGGCAATGACACAGGTCAAACGTTTTCTGTAAGTCTTCACAAGGTTTTCACACACTGTTGCTGGTATTTTGGCCCATTCCTCCATGCAGATCTCCTCTAGAGCAGTGATGTTTTGGGGCTGTCGCTGGGCAACACGGACTTTCAACTCCCTCCAAAGATTTTCTATGGGGTTGAGATCTGGAGACTGGCTAGGCCACTCCAGGACCTTGAAATGCTTCTTACGAAGCCTCTCCTTCGTTGCCCGGGCGGTGTGTTTGGGATCATTGTCATGCTGAAAGACCCAGCCACGTTTCATCTTCAATGCCCTTGCTGATGGAAGGAGGTTTTCACTCAAAATCTCACGATACATGGCCCCATTCATTCTTTCCTTTACACGGATCAGTCGTCCTGGTCCCTTTGCAGAAAAACAGCCCCAAAGCATGATGTTTCCACCCCCATGCTCCACAGTAGGTATGGTGTTCTTTGGATGCAACTCAGCATTCTTTGTCCTCCAAACACGACGAGTTGAGTTTTTACCAAAAAGTTATATTTTGGTTTCATCTGACCATATGACATTCTCCCAATCCTCTTCTGGATCATCCAAATGCACTCTAGCAAACTTCAGACGGGCCTGGACATGTACTGGCTTAAGCAGGGGGACACGTCTGGCACTGCAGGATTTGAGTCCCTGGCGGCATAGTGTGTTACTGATTACATTTACATTTACGTCATTTAGCAGACGCTCTTATCCAGAGCGACTTACAGGAGCAATTAGGGTTAAGTGCCTTGCTAAAGGGCACATCGACAGATTTTTCACCTAGTTGGCTTGGGGATTAGAACCAGCGACCTTTCGGTTACTGGCACAACGCTCTTAACCACTAAGCTACCTGCCGCCCCTACTGATGGTAGGCTTTGTTACTTTGGTCCCAGCTCTCTGCAGGTCATTCACTAGGTCCCCCCGTGTGGTTCTGGGATTTTTGCTCACCGTTCTTGTGATCATCTTGACCCCACGGGGTGAGATCTTGCGTGGAGCCCCAGATCGAGGGAGATTATCAGTGGTCTTGTATGTCTTCCATTTCCTAATAATTGCTTCCACAGTTGATTTCTTCAAACCAAGCTGCTTACCTATTGCAGATTCAGTCTTCCCAGCCTGGTGCAGGTCTACAATTTTGTTTCTGGTGTCCTTTGACAGCTCTTTGGTCTTGGCCATAGTGGAGTTTGGAGTGTGACTGTTTGAGGTTGTGGACAGGTGTCTTTTATACTGATAACAAGTTCAAACAGGTGCCATTAATACAGGTAACGAGTGGAGGACAGAGGAGCCTCTTAAAGAAGAAGTTACAGGTCTGTGAGAGCCAGAAATCTTGCTTGTTTGTAAGTGACCAAATACTTATTTTCCACCATAATTTGCAAATAAATTCATAAAAAATCCTACAATGTGATTTTCTGGATTTTTCTTTCTCAATTTGTCTGTCATAGTTGACGTGTACCTATGATGACAATTACAGGCCTCTCTCATCTTTTTAAGTGGGAGAACTTGCACAATTTGTGGCTGACTAAATATTTTTTTCCCCCACTGTATGATAGTTTATGGTCCTCTGTAGCTCAGCTGTGGTCCTCTGTAGCTCAGCTGGTAGAGCACGGCGCTTGTAACGCCAAGGTAGTGGGTTCGAACCCCGGGACCACCCATACACAAACATTTATGCACGCATGACTGTAAGTCGCTTTGGATAAAAGCGTCTGCTAAATGGCATATTATTATGTTATTATTATTTATGATAGCCTATGTCTGTGTCATTTGTGAATGTGATTATAGGATGTCCTGTATATATTCTATTAAGATGGGATGTATACAGACTATAGTAGACATGTGTTTACCCCTCCGTAGAGTTCCAGCACAGTCTGTAGGAGGTGGGGATCTGTGGGTCCTGTCCTGGCTCCCAGAAACAGTGGATACCTGCCTGTTGACCCTCCGTATAGGGGATGTGACACTGGGGAACGGAGGGAGGAGATGGAGGGCCTGCAGAGAGTGAGGGAGAGAAGGGGGAGGGAGGTAGAAGTGAATTTCAATTGATAGAGAAAAAGAGACCGACAAAAAGAGACACAGTTTTGCTGATGTTATCGCAGATGTTATCGCAGATGCAGCAAAATGCTTCAGTTTCTAGCTCCAACAATGCAACGATATCAGGCAATACAATAATAATACACACATAATCAAAAGGTTAAAAAAAGAACAATAAATTAACACAAATCAGAACGAGCAATGTCAGAGTACGGAATATAAATAATATATACAGTACCTGTCAAAAGTTTGGACACACCTACTCATTCAAGGGTTTTTCTTTATTTTTACTATTTTCTACATTGTAGAATAATAGTGAAGACTTCAAAACTATGAAATAACACATATGGAATCATGTAGTAACCAAAAAAGTGTAAAACAAATGTCAAATTCTTCAAAGTAGCCACCCTTTGCCTTGATGACAGCTTTGCACACTCTTGGCACTCTCTCAACCAGCTTAATGAGGTAGTCACCTGGAATGCATTTCAATTAACAGGTGTGCCTTGTTAAAAGTTCATGTGTGGAATTTATTTCCTTCTTAATGTGTTTGAGCCAATCAGTTGTGTTGTGACAAGGTAGGAGTGGTATACAGAAGATAGCCCTATTTGGTGAAAGACCAAGTCCATATTATGGCAAGAACAGCTCAAATAAGCAAAGAGAAAGGACTGTCCATCCTTACTTTAAGACATGAAGGTCAGTCAATGCGGAAAATTTAAAGAGCTTTGAAAGTTTCTTCAAGTGCAGTCGCAAAAACCATCAAGTGCTATGATGAAACTGTCTCTTGTGAGGACCACCACAGGAAAGGAAGAATGAGAGTTGCCTCTGCTGCAGAGGATAAGTTCATTAGAGTTAACTGCACCTCAGATTGCTGCCCAAATAAATGTTTCACAGAGTTCAAGTAACAGACACATCTCAACATCAACTGTTCAGAGGAGACTGTGTGAATCAGGCCTTCATGGTCGAATTGCTGCAAAGAAACCACTACTAAAGGACACCAATAAGAAGAAGAGACTTGCTTGGGCCAAGAAACACGAGCAATGGACATTAGACTGGTGGAAATCTGTCCTTTGGTCTGATGAGTCCAAATTTGAGATTTCTGGTTCCAACCGCTGTGTCTTTGTGAGATGCAGAGTAGGTGAACGGATGATCTCTGCATGTGTCTCAACGCAAAGGGTGGTTACTTTGAAGAATCTCAAATATAAAATATATTTTGATTTGTTTAACACTTTTTTGGTTACTACATGATTCCATATGTGTTATTTCATAGTTTTGATGTCTTCACTATTATTCTACAATGTAGAAAATAGTAAAAATAAAGAAAACCCTTGAATGAGTAGGTGTGTCCAAACTTTTGACTGTTACTGTATATGTATGTGAATGGTGTGTATAGACAGTATGGACAGTATGTGAATAGAAAAGGTATGTACAGCAGTAGTTATATAGGATGAGCCTTGACTAGAATACAGTATATACATATAAAGTGGGTAAAACAGTATGTAAACATTATTAAAGTGACCAGTGTTCAAAAGACTCTGTGTACATAGGGCAGCAGTCTCTAAGGTTAAGGGTAGAGTACCGGGTGGTAGCCGGCTAGTGACAGTGTCTAAGGTTCAGGGCAGGGAACTGGGTGGAGGCCGGCTAGTGATGACTGTTTAACAGTCTGATGGCCTGGAGATAGAAGCTGTTTATCAGTCTCTCGGTCCAAGCTTTGATGTGCCTATACTGTCTCCACCTTTTAAATGGTAGCGGGGTGAACAGGCCATGGCTGAGGTCCTTGATGAGCTTCTTAGTCTTCCTGTGACAATGGTGCTCTAGCTGTCCTGGAGGGCAGGCAGTGTGCCCCCAATGATGTGTTGGGCTGACTGCACCACCCTCTAGAGAGCCCTGCGATTGCGGGTGGTGCAGTTGCTGTACCAGGAGGTGATACAGCCCGACAGGATGCTCTCGGATGTGCATCTGTAGAAGTTTGTGAGGGTCTTAGGGGCCAAGCTGAATTTCTTCAGCCTCCTGAGGTTGAAGAGGTGTTGTTGACCATTTCAGGTCCTCAGTGATGTGCACGCCGGGGAACTTGAAGCTTTTGACCCTCTCCACTGCAGCCCCGTCAATGTGGATGGAGGCGTGCTCTCTCTGCTGTCCTTCATTTTGTTGACGTTGAGGGAGAGGTTATTTTCCTGGCACCAGTCTGCCAGGGCTCTCACCTCCTCCCTGTAGGTCGCCTCGTCCTTGTTGGTAATTAGGCCTACCGCTGTTGTGTCGTCAGCAAACTTGATGATTGAGTTGGAGACGTGCGTGGCAGATTCACGCAAACAGAGAGTGAGAGAGAAAAAAATCCTGATGACATTCACCTTTAAAGGAACTGTGCCAGTTTAGCGTCCCCCCCCTCCCCCTCCCCCCCACACACACACACACAAACATAACGTTGAAACCATAAGCACACACTGAGAGCGTTTCAAGGAACATGAAGCACGTAGCCAAGAAGGCATCAAAAGCGCAGCCACACAACGGAGCGCAAGCAGGAAATGAAATGACAGAGAACTTGCGAGGTGGTGACATCCTTCCTCTCTCAGAGTTCCTCTCCTCTGCTAGTATCAGTATGAAACATAAAATCACAACCATGGAAACATCAAGGGTCGTGTTCTTAAGGCACCAAACAGACGAAAACCAGCTGAAACCGGGAGGAACTACCTGTACTTGTCCAATAAGAAACACTCAGATGCGTTTTCCATTGCAAAATGTTTTCCGTTGCATTCCATAATGAACACAACCCGTAATGAACCATTTACCTCCTGGTCCCCTGTGCATGAGTTTTTAAGACTGATACTGATATGAGCTCTATGGAATGTTGTGTTGAATTAAACGAAGGAAAGGGGGATGCATAAACGGATGCGTAACATAACATACCAATCAAATCAAATCAAAGTGTATTGGTCACGTACACAGTTTAGCAGATGTTATAGTGGGTGCAGTGAAATGCTTGTGTTACTAACTCCTAACAATGCAGTCAAACAAGTACAGAAATAATAATCAAAAACTAGAAACAAGAAATCATGAATGTCAGAACGAACCCAGTTAACAACCCAAATAACACTGTATCAGTAATCCAAATACAATCTATGCATATATACACCAAAAATATATATTACAGTGAGCTATGTCAAGAATCCAGTATATAAATTACACAGTGTGAAAAACAGTATAAAAGAAACAGTCCAGTGTTTAATAATAATAATTAACTAATAATATAGACATACGATCAGACATATAGATCAGCATCAACGGTTTAGTCCAAATTATTTGAAGAAACCCCAAAGCTGATCAGAGAATGGTGGATCTGAGGGTGTGTCAAATAGAGATTATAAATAGTGCCAAGGAGAATTTCCTGGTCACATGACTTTACCAGGAAAAAGAACTGGGATCAGTCCAGTGTGAAGTACTCACCTGGTTGAGGTAAGCAGGTTTGTAGTAGGAGCAGCAGGATCAGCAGAAGGCATGGGACTCTGGGCCATGCCATTACTCATACCACTATGCCTTCAGCACCTATGGAAAACACACACACACACACACACCAAATAAGTGGTGAATGGCAGGTGTATGAATGTCTCAGAAGTCTCACACACACACACAGACAAAACATTTACATACACACACACACACACACACACCCTTAAAGGGCCAATGCAGACGTTTTTATCTCAATATCAAATAATTTCTGCGTAACAATTAAGTACCTTACTGTGATTTTTTTCAATTAAAATGATCAACAACAAAAAATAGCTTCTTAGCAAAGGGCGATTTATCAAGCAATAATTTTGCTAGGACTGTTTGGGAGTGGTCTTAGTGGGGAAGGGAAAACTGAAAACTCTCCTTCTTATTGGTCTATTAACTAATTTAACAGCAGGTGATGTCACCAGGCAGGTAAAAAGCTCCTACACTAAAAGGGCATTATCATAATTTTCACAATTTCACAGTATTATTCCAACCTCTTAGTGTGGAAATATATATAAAACACAGGAAAATCACTGCACTGGGCCTAGAGTCCTTAACTGAAATAATAACAAAGTGGGCACCCCGCCTCTGTTTTGGTAAAAATCTGAGGGAGGGAGAAATGTAACCATTCTCAAATTCATAGACAGTGCTATGGATGCAAGGACAGACCATCCATGATATCAAAATTATAGTTTTAACCATGCTTTGAGGCTAGACAGTGTTTGTTTACATTTACATTGTTTACAAACATTGGAGTGTAACAAGCTTATATTTTGGTTTCTGATGGGGCATGGCAGTTGAACTAAGCTCATGAGGCATTTTGAAGTTATATTCTTCAAGAATCAATGGCTATATACCATTAATTAATAAGTCCAAAAATTGATTTAGCAACTAAGGATTCTAGCTTTAAAAGTCATAACTTTTTGTCACATTGTGGTGAGCAAAGTGACATGATCTTGGGTGATAGGTGTTGTTCACACAGTAACGTACAAACATTTTCAGTGTTACATCCAATGATTTATATATACACTAAATGAATACTATGGGGCGATGTGTTGAAGCCACCGTGCCTCCATCTTGGCACTCCCTGACGTTGTAAAAAAAATATTTTGGAAGCTATAGAAATTAATTTATTAATGTCTACATTCGTTTTTGCCACATGTATTCTATTACAGACACCTTAATACATACTTTTACATTATATTGTGTGCTTAACATAAAAATAGAAAATGAAAAATTATATACAAATATTTTCCTTTATCATTTTTAGAGATGACTAATGTTACTGGCCCCACTACAACAACAAAATACTTAAATACATGTAATTTTGTCCTTGAAACATTTAATTGAAATACTGTAGATTTCCATTCCTTCCTTTGGAGGACTGTTCCTACTGGGGAGAAGAGCATGTTGAGCTGTTGGAAACATGCGCTCCATGTTCTTTCCAACCACTCTGCTAAAAACCACTCA